TTGTCATTGCGGACATGAGCTCCAACTTTATCAGCCGGAAGGTTGATGTTAGCAAATATGCTGTCATTTTCGTACGTGAATTGGAGAATCATCCGTATCCATCGAAAGCGAAAGCAACATTACATTTTAACATTTTACTTACTTATCCAACAGGGCGGCGCCCAAAAGAGACATCGGTGTTACCGGTATCACCATCGCCATCGTCCGTAAGGACCTACTTCCCCCTCAGACCGCAACTCCTCCCCCCGCACTCCTGCACCGTCTGAACATCGGCGGTCTCCCCGGCCCCGTCGTGTTTGACTACGCCACCATCGCCAAGAACAACTCCCTCTACAACACTCTCCCCATCTTCAACCTCTGGATCGCAGGCCAAGTCATGGCCGACCTTGTCTCCGAGTTCGGAGCCCAGAAGGTCACCGGACAAGAGCAGATCGCTGACAAGAAGGCGGCGCTCATCTACGGAGCTCTGGACAAGTACCCGGAAGCTTACCAGGTAGTTCCGGACAAGAGTGTTCGCAGCCGTATGAACATCTGCTTCCGCGTCTACAGTGGCGACGATGCGAAGGAGAAGGAGTTCCTTGCTGGTGCTGAGAAGCGCCTTCTTCAGGGGCTTAAGGGTCACCGTAGTGTTGGCGGTATGCGCGCTAGCAACTATAACGCTGTTCCGCTGGAGAATGTGCAGAAGTTCGTGCAGTACCTGGAAGATTTTGCTACTGGGCAGTAGACCTGTCCGAGTCTTTACCCAAGAGGCAAAGCAACCTTTTTTTTTGTTGACCGTTAGCGAATTCAACCTGGGGATCAAGAAGTTTTTCAGAGAAGTGAGTGAGTGACTAGTAGGGCTGGTGGTATATTGATATATCCGAAATGGGGTTCCTGCTAGTTGCACTATTCAACATAACCTTATGGTACGAGATTAATGATATATGCGCAAGAGAAATCCAAAAAAGAATATTTATTGATACTAGTATCTCTCTTCTTTCCATTGACCGCGCTCCATGCAAATTCCTTACCTGTGTGCCGTGATGGTTTACCTACTGGTTGTTAACTTCAACTTGAAGTTGAAGATCGAGTAGTAGCCCTGGAGTGATATGCTATAGATGCAATGATTATTGATTATTGTGATCTAGTATAAGACAGTGAAACAGCCTGAGATCATCCAAAAATAATAAGGATAATAAGACAGTGGAGAGAAAAGAAAATTCAAATGCACTTGGCAAGCCACCGTCATCACATCGTACGCCAACAGCGCGCTCAATAAATTCCAGAGCAACGCAAGGACAAGACATTTGAGCACATTGCTCAAACCATACACCCGGTTTTATATGCATGGGTATCAATCATCAAACTAAACAAATGAATAAATAGCGAAATCAACGAGGTCACGTAGGGGATCATTGGAATCCATCCATCCTCTACCGAGAGTGCGATTTCCAGAACTTCCAAGAAATCCCAGTTTGACCATCTCGCTGATATATGCGCCAGTAATAAATAGGGACGCCAGTGATGATGAATGCAACCACAATCAGAGTTTGAAGAGGCTCGGCGATGACAGCACGGCTGAGTAGAAATAGGCTAACACAGCAGAATATAATAGGAGTGGTAATCCAAGTTCGGTACGGACGCTCGAGATGGGGTTCGCGAATGCGGAGAACGATCAAGCCGAGGACAGTGACGAAGTAAAATGTATACCCGGCCACACCATAAAAGGTAACCAAGGTACCGAATTCGCCAACGGCAATGTATGCGGCGGTCAATACTGCATTGAACGCCATGGCGTAGATGGGAGTGAACCCAAGCCGGGATTCGTCGCCAAATAGACGCGAGATGGATTTCCGGGCCCAAGAACGGTGACGGAGACGAGTGCCAGCGGCAGGGGTTGGCGAGGAAGAGTTGCCCAATCCGATGCGTCCGAATAGCGATGGAAGATAACCTTCCTTCCCGGCCGCGTAAACAAGTCGACCGCTAGTGAAAGTCGTTGCATTGAGAGCTCCGAAGCAGCTGGCTCCCACAACTAGTGCGAGAACAACAGCACCGACGGGGCCGAAGACCTTGCTGCCAAATTGGACGGCAACTGTGTTGCTTCCCTCGATTGTATCGTGGGGCAAAACGAGGAAGTAGGCAACGTTGGCCATCAGATAACACAGAATGACCAAGGGCATAGCGGTATGGATCACACGCGGCAAATCGCGGTTTGGGTTCTTGAACTCGCCAGTCACATAGTTTGTCTGAAAGAAGGGCATTAGAGACAGCCTTTTCAAACCCCCCCAAAAATCAGTCACACTTACATTGTCCCAACCATCAAATGCCCACAGTCCTGCATACAACGCTACCGCAAAGTCCGATATTTCCGTATTGGTTCCTGCGAACCAACTAGTGTTTTTCCACTCGTCGCTGGCGCTTCCTTTCGACGAATAACCAGTGATTGCCACCACGATTCCCGTGACGGTCACACCAAGCAAAGCGACAAACTTGAAGAACATAAAAAGATCACCAATACGGGTCGCAATCTTGGTGGAGATGCAGTTGAACAGAGTCACCGCTAACAGGCCACCGATAGCAACGCCCTTGTTGATCCACGGGCTGACATGTTCTACATCGGCACCCACGAATGCTCGCACAACATATTCGCCAAAGATAATTGAAATAATAGCTGCCGATCCAGGCTTCAAGACCAAAACAGCACACCAGGTGAAAAGAAACCCAGGAAGTTCGCCGAAGATCTTTGAAAGATAGACCTGAGCTCCTCCATTGAGTGGGATCGCCCCTCCCAGTTCCGCATAGCTCGCAGCTCCTGTCCACGCGAGCAAGCCAGCCACAGCCCAAATGATGAGTGATGCGCCTGGCGATCCCGCGTTCGCATTGACCTGGCTGGGCGAGGAGAAGATTCCAGAGCCGATAATCAGACCAACGATCAGGGAGAGTCCGTTCAGGTATGTCAACGTCTTGTTCCGTTCCAAAGATCCATCCTGTCCCTGGCGATCTAATGTCGTGGGTGCGCCTAGAGGAGCGTATCCACCTTGTGTTTGGGATAACGGGAAAAGGTTGCGTCCGAAGTCGAATGCAGAGGATACGGAATAGCCTCTTTGGCGACCTGCTTCGAGGTAGACATCTCCTTGGTCATCGGCGAGTGGATCTTCATCTTCGAGTGACAGTTTGCGCGAGGACGAGATTCCATCGGGGGAGGAGGATCGCGAAGAACCGGCAACGGATACGGGAGACGAAGAGGCGAGAGATGCGAGTTCTAACGAGTCTCGTGGGGCGGCGAGGCCATTTCGGTCGTGTGAGTATCCCGGATTCGACATTCTTTTTGGTTGTTAAACCCGGGGTGGGTGGTGGGTGGTGAGAGAGAGAGAGAGGGCTCGATTCGACGGGGGGTCAGGAGATGTTGGCAAAACTCTCCATTTCCCAGCGATCGAGGTAGTAGAGAGGGTGAGGGTGGTGGAAAGGGAGGAGAAAGGAAAGAAAGAAAGAAAGAAAGATCCGCGGTGGAGAGAGGCACAGGGTCCAGGCGAAGGCGAAGTCTGCCAAGGGGGTGAATTGCTGTTGTTCGTCGATCGCCCAATCGGCTTTGACCTTCTGCAACTCCCAATTTCCCCGCGGTTTTCCCAACTTAATAACTTAAAACTCCTAGGAAAATGCGATGACCCTTCAAAGACCGCAAATCCCCATGAACTCCTCTTCTCTTTCATCTTTATGCTGCCGTAGGTCTGCACTGCGGCAGCCGGTGGCTCAATATCGCCGTTTTGCCTCTGCCTCGACTGCCTCCCCGAAATCCGCACCTCCGTCTCCGAAAAATCGCTGGGTAGGCATTGCCATTATAACAATTGCTGCTGGTAGCACTGGCGCATATTTACGGTCGCAAAGCCCAGCGTCCGATACCCTCAATCCAGAAACTTTCACCAAATATAGCCTCGTGTCAAGAGAGCCGGTCTCATCGACAAGCAGCCTTTTCACCCTCCGCCCTCGATACCATAGCGATCGCAACTACGATGTCTACGAGGATGCCTGGAGAACAGGAGTGTGGAGCGTGATGTTCAAGCAGCCTCAACTACAGATTGGACGAGACTATACACCTCTCCCTGCGACAGCAGCAACGCCGTTGACTGTCGACGAGGAGAATGAAGGCTACCTGCGTTTCTTTATTCGCAAAGACCCGTTTGGAGAGGTTTCACGATATCTGCATAGCCTTAGCATAGGCGCTGATATTGAGATGCGAGGGCCGCAGATTGAGTGCGCCATTCCGAAGGAAACTCAAGAAGTCCTGTTCATTGCTGGCGGAACGGGGATTGCCCCGGCGTTGCAGGCTGGATATTCTCTGTTGAACCGCACAACTGAAGAGAACCGACCGCGGATACATATCTTCTGGGCCAACCGGCTAAAACAAGATTGTATCGGTGGCCAAAGCGATACACCTGTACTTGAAACGACAACGACCCGTCGGTCATGGTTCTCAGGGTGGTTTGGTTCATCTAAAAACACAACCTCGAACGACCAGGTAGCGCTCCACTCCTCGGAAGACAAGACTACGTCTATGATTGTGCGAGAGCTGGATGGTCTCAAGTCCCAATACCCGGGCCAGGTCACCGTCGACTATTATCTCGACGAGGAAAACCGATTTATTAGCAAGAAGGAGATTTCAGATTATATTGAATCTACAACACGGCCTTTGGACAGTGTACCTGGGAGAAAACTAATATTGGTTTCTGGTCCCGAGGGCTTTATCAGTTATATGGTTGGGCCAAAGGTTTGGGCGGATGGTAAGGAGCTACAAGGTCCCCTTCGAGGAATTATCAAAGAGCTCGATCTCAAGGGATGGGCCGTGTGGAAACTCTGACAGTGTCCACTTCATTGTTCTGTATAATATTTATCCTCTTGGCTGCATATAGCAATTCGCATAAATTGGGGTTCAAGCAAATAATACCAATCATCAAGATCAATCACTTCGGTTTATTTCTTCAAATAATTATGAGATTTTGATGGCTAATGTGTATTGATTTGAATTATTGCGACCTTGCTTCGAGCCCATCCCAAGCTTGAGCTTCAAGGAGTATCGCCGGCTCGCCAGACTGGAAATTCGTTGCCTCGGCAAAGAATCTGATACCGAAGCATTGCTCCGAGGGATGGTAGATACGAGTTGAGATAACTGTCCTCTCATTCACAAAAACCTCGAGTACGCTCCTGTCGAAGAACGCATGCACGCGAAGCGTCTCTTCAACATCGTCGCCATGCTTACTGCGGAATGTGAAAAGCGTATGGGGTGCCGACTCATCTCCATGGTTGATCTCAGTGTTTGTTACTGGAGGTCGGCGGATCGTAAATGTTTCACTGTATGTATCCCAAGCAAGGATCGTCCGATGTTCAAAGTCTATCGCGCCCATATTAGTATCCAGAACCTAGCTAGGTGTTTTTAGTTTGTATACGAAGTCACTTACTGGCACTGTGTCCAATCTCGATACCAACCCTCTTACACGATTTCCCGACGGAGAATTTAGTCTGAAGTTCCCAACGAGAAGTCGCTAGAGGGATCTCAGCTTCGGAGGACACATTGAGAACTGCAGGTAAAGACATTCCGGTAAGTTGGCGCTCAATAGCACCAGCTCGAAGCCGAGAAAGTCGTGATTCTGGACTGATTCCTAACGTATGAATAGTAAAGGTGCCGTGCTCGGAGGAATCGGCAATCGTCTCAATCGAGGTAATAGTTTCCAGTCGCGAGCTGCGTGCCCTCTTCACATTATGCAATGTCATCATCCGGACGACACGAGGCAGCGATATCATACTGCTCCAACCCTGACGATGACGAGGACCATCAGGCAAATCCTCTTCCGTGATCCAGCCAAAAACGATGCGCTGGGAGGTCTGCGGGTCCCAGAAAGAATTGGCAGCGTATAAGCACCCGTGATCAAAATATCCAGCAAAGGCATAATCCGAAAGTGGCTCATTGATCGAGTTGTGCTCTTCGAGTTTGCGCGCTCTCACAGACATCCACATTTGACCCCGAGGATCTCTTTTAAAACGAGCCTGTCGGCGCGTCTCCTCGTTCGGATTTTCCGCACGCAGACACCCCTCAACTCCCATTATGACAAAGTCTCGCTCGTCACCGGAATCGTTGGCCAATGTCAGCAAATTCGATACCTCCCAATTGACGCCAAAATCACCGGACCAGCGTGATGGTCGAAAATTGAGGCCCACTTCTACCAATGGGCCGAGATATTCCCACTGACGAAGATCCTGGGCGTTGACTTTATAAACAAAGATAATTGGGGCTTTGCCTACAATACCACCGGCTGTTATCCCATAAAAGTTCGAATCTTTGTCGGTCGAGGCATCTCGGCATCCTCGGTTCCAGGTTGTGAGAAAGGGATCCCGCCATCCAGTCACGAAAAGGTGCTTAGGTGGTCCAGAGATGACAGGATTGCAATCCTGGCGCTGCCAGGTCTTTCCACCATCTTCTGACACAGAAAGACTGATTGATTCACAGCCATATGTATACGGTAATGTGAAATGAATCGGTAGATGACTGACAGACGAGTATATTATTGTCATCTTTCCAGGTTCGCCAAACACATCGGTAGACCGTAAACACCCGGTAAAGACACCTCGGCAATCATATTGAGCGGACGGCGTCATAGCTGGTTCTGGAGATGTTTCCCATGATACAAGATTCCTTGAAGTAGCATGTCCCCATGACATGTTGCCCCAATCGTTGCCCCAAGGATTCCATTGAAAGAAAAGATGGTATATTCCGGTGGTTGGATCGTAACCAAGACCACAGGGATCATTTATCCAGCCATGCGGAGCGGTCACATGGAAAAATGGCTTGGAAGTAGTAGCTTTTTCTAGAATTGGGTTCGATCCATCGACATGTTCTGAAGGGCAGAGGCGCTGCTCCTGCAGACCAGTGGCCACATCTGGTGAATCGAGAAGAACAGACATGTCAATTCCTTTGAAGTTGATTTGGGATAGAGCCGGATCAGTGTGATGATTCAATCAAAATGGTCAGGGTCGTAAGCAGGACCCCTTGGCAAAGCGGATCAATCACTTGAGAAATTAAATGCGACCGACTCGATCCCTTTCACAGGGGATTGCGTAAGAAAGTGCTCGTCGGATAAATGAGTGCAAGGGTTCGCATATGCCAATAGCAGTATGGACAATTTGACCGAGCCAGTTCCTCGAGAATGTCTTCTCACGAGCAGGACAGGATGGGAATTGGCCGGGACTTGGTCGGGGGTTGGCTCGGTGGATATCGATTGAAACGGAGGATTGTCGGCGAAACTTGAGTGCCCCGGAAAAGCAATGCTACCCCATATCTTGTCTGTATTGCATATGGAGTAGGCTTGAGCTCCCTTTGATCGATTTTCGTTGGACCTTCTTATTCGCTAAGGATCCGGGGTAGTTGAATTTGGGATTAGGGGAAATCCCAATACTCTGGCAGAACATGGATGGCTTCCCGCAAATAGTTGTGGATAGTGGCAGATCGGATTCCGGAAATGGTTATTTGAAAGTCGTTTTGAACTTGGCAAGGAACTTTCGGATCTCAATTAATACGAAATAATAAATACAGTTATATGAATGATTGATCTATCATCGTGCTTGATCCCGTGGATTCGGTCCAACTTGGAGTCGCGAGGCCCCTATAATTTTTGACTGGCAGAAAAAGCCATCACCCAGTTAGTTACATCAATCTACTTCCAACTTGTGGGAATAGGAAAAGAAAAGAAAAAAATAGATAAATAAAGAGGTACAAAGTCACAATTTCAAGCTTTGCTGTTATGCACCTTATTTCACATGTACTGCGACTATTCTGATGGAATTTCCACCTCATCGATGTCTGGGCCGTATTCAGTATCATATCCCTCGATAACAACCGTATTGGCCTTGCCTGCCTTTAGTTGAGTGTTTATAACGCTTCTCTTAACATTGCCTCCACTTGCTAAGAATGCGACCTTCTGAGCGGGAGAGTCATTGAATGTGACGTTGGCATACCGCGTTCCCGAGTCACCATTTCTATACTCGAACGTGATTGTGGTTGCTGTGGAATCACCGGCTTCGATGACACTCAACGTGACGCTTCCATCACTTGGCCCTCCAATATAGCCAGCTGCGTACCCTCCAGAGCAACCAGTACAACTAATGCTCTTCGCTCCCTCGGCATAGCTACCACTTTCTCCCTGAACTGTCGTATTGGATAGAGATGTCTGGAATCCAGATGAGGATCCAAGATTCGGGGCCCAGTGATCGTACCACTTCATAGTGACATCTGCGCCCGAGATTTCAAGTGGTAACCAGACATATGTGCTTGTCATAAGATCAGTGCTTACCCAACGATCTCCCATGTACATAGCCCGATTTTCATCGATGGAGAGCACGTAGTTTGTCTGAGAGGAGAACGTGTTGCTGCCAACAGGTGCAAATGTTTGCCAATCTGTCCATCCACTTCCGAGTGACTTCGATGTAGAGTAGACGTTGTCATTGTCTGACCAACCTGACAGATGCGACCCGAAAAGGTAGTAGAGACCATCGCGTTTCATAAGTGCTGGCGCTTCGATATTTCCTGGGTCCGGAAACAGATATGTCTCAGAGGATACGTTATGGTAGTCAGCCGTCAATTTGTAGATATGAAGTCCTTTTGGACGCTAGTGTCGCGAATTGATCAATTCTTAGCGGGCATATACAATCACCACGGGGACAGAGAATACATACGTCCTCGGAGATAAGATACCCAGATCCGTCGTCATCTTTAAACAGAGTCATATCTCTACTAGTATTTCCCATCGGCTGGAAGCTACCCAGGTAGTCTAGAACATTTCTTCAGCTATTTTCAGCGGACCATGTTGAGTTAGTTAGTCACTCACTATATTTCCCACAAACTGAGTCTCCCGTTGCCACGCCCACTTTCGCTTCGCCATAACTCGAGCTGTCAATATGGGCATAAAGCACATATTTCTTCGTGCTGTCATTGTAGATAACCTTCGGTCGCTCCACAACTCGTGAAGGGCCCAGATCGCCAGAAGCGGTTTGACTCAGGAGGGCACCGACATATTTCCATTGAACGAGATCGGACGAAGAATAACAGTTAATGTTCTGAAAGTAAGTACCATCTGTTTTATCCTCGCCGATCATGTAATAAATTCCATTCTCTTCGATGAATCCGGCACCATGGGCCTGTAGATGCTCCCCATTTGACTATATAAAAAGGCAAGGTTGTTACAACCAAGATCAAATCTAGTTTGTAACCATTAAAAGACTCACAGCAGTCCATGTTGCGCCAGGTACAAGCTCTAGGGCGGCCAGCGTGGGGCTTGCCAAGGCACCTAGCAAGACCAAGAGCAAATTCATGTCTGGAATTTTCATAAAAAAAACGGATCCGAATTCCAAGTGTGATAAGGCGTAGTAGATTGAAGAAAAGTCCAATATGGCGGGGGCATCATGGTAGTTTTTAAACAAGTCTCATTGAGATAACTAGCCCGAAGTCCGGACTGAAGGAAACCAACACCGGAAGATTTCCTATTGAAGGGGCAGCCAATATTCAGGAACATATTATGTTTTCGCATAATAGCCAATGAATTTACCTGTAGCTAGCGCCCGTGAATATGTACTCGTACCCCATTGCCAGGGTTCTCCGCAGACTTCCCCCACAGTGACGTGACATCTCACCATCAACTGTAACACTCCACCTGCCGATCAGCTCCGAGTAGGTATTGGTGTCAAGTAACGGCCAATCATTATTTCCTGCAAAAAACTATTCAGCGCAGGGGTTGTCTTGAACAGAATTTCTTAGCGGGGTTTTAGCTGAGAAATGAGTGGGAAGCGGCAGATCTCGAGCCGTGATATACTCCGGTAGCCCGATGAGTATTAGTTATATGGTTATAATGCTAGCCCCCAAATGCTAGAGGTGGGGCCTTGTAGAGCTTGCCATTGAAGTGTCTGTAGATGGATCTGATGAGTCCCTGACTCTTTAAGGGTACTATGTTTTATTTTGCCCTATCATTCACCAGGCGGGAATAATTTAGCATTTCAAAGGCCACATTTCCAAGGACTGAAAAGTACACTGTTCAGAATCAAGAATACGAGGGCAGTAAACACGGGCAACATCATTCTGTCAAGATACCATAATAACATTGCATTACTACAGTGGCGCCCGTTATTGCGTTCAGAGTTCAGGAACGTAGAGATGCTCTTTCAACCCCTAACATTTACTATGGATATTGCGTATTTATCCATACATTTCCTGATTTGACGTTAATAACACAAATCATGTAAGCATGGCTCAGTTGTAGTAAGCCATGTATTGTTACAGATCCAAAAATAAACAATCACGCCTACTAGGCTATCAGACGATTCAGACCCTTCCTCCAAAGGCGCATTCATGGTTTTGGTGCAAAACAGGAGAGCGCAAAGGGTCATTTTCGACATACAGCTATATGATAGAGACAATATGTGTAGCCGCCATATCTAGAAATGTGGTGTGCGCATTAGTTCAAGGTGTCGGGTTGTTGAATGTACTGGGCATATCTTATTCACCCACGTTGATGCCAGGGCTGATTCGTGTCACAAGAGAGCTAGAATATTAGAGTGACGCATAACGCTTCGGCGCTTAGTGTAATTACTGAGCTGCGAACTTATTTGATGCGGCGAAAGAGTAAGCACTGTAGAGGTGGCATATTTTGAAGCTATGCACGGCCTTAATTTCATACTAAGCTTGCAATCGACGTCAAGCGAAAGTCGTCATTTTTACTGATAAAGGCACTCGGGCTGTTGAGAAACCCGATTCAAAATGCATGGGTGCACATAATACAAGTTACATACTCGGTCACTATCATCCACCGCCACTTGTACCACCTCCAGTGCCGCCTTGAGCTGGTCCGGTACAACCAACAAAAGGTAGAAACTACGCAGTTAGTATGCTAATATATTAAAAGTGAGTAGAGAATCGGCTTACAACTGCCGCCGTACAGCAAAGCTTGTGTGATGGACTGCATCCACCTACAACTCACATTAGATAGAGATCCTAAAGAAGGGTGAGAGGGGCATACTAGTAGCAACCTTACAGCCCGTCCCGGCGCCGTAGAATTTCCCGTGTGGCTGCAGCGCTATCTCACAACACCAGCAGCCATTCACACCGACGGAGGGTTGCTTCTTCTCGAGGGCAAGGTTCTGTATTGGGGCTGCAAACGCCCAGCCCACGGTCAAGGGGAGTATCGAGATATATTCGAGACGCATAATACGTCGATAGTAATGGTTTCGATAATACTGCAATCGATTGCAGAAGACCAGGTCTAAGAAGAAGAGACGATTATCCTTGTCCTTTGAAGGTTATATACGTCGTGAATCATGAAGAGCTCAGATGGGTTCGTCTGGCCATCGCCACCTGGGCATGACCATGGCTAGATTCGACGGACCTGGCTAGACCTCTTTGCTGTCGAGGAGGACACTAAAGCTTAGCCCCAAGTCTCATGATAGGAGCCAGTCCCAAGATGGGAGCCCCGTAATCGCCACCTCCTAGTTTTTGAAAAACATGAGGAATCCAAGTCATTCGAAGAAGCTACTAATACTTAGAAGCCTCGCTTCTCTCCCATCCACAAAGGGTAAGCGGAGAGCGATGCGGTGAATAACCTTATACTTCAATTATGATTAGTCACCCGTTTTACCCCGTATTTTAGTTTTAGGAGAATCACGGGAGGCGCCCCGATCATCCCATGCTTCTCCAGTTTCTCCATGGGGAAATCCTCCACCCCGCTATGGCCCTGCGCAGACTGAGCACCCTGTATATAAATATCAATGCAGGTGGAGTCTCGTTTGCTCTCCAGAGCTTGCACTCCGACCGCCCTGCTTTCACACTGGGCTTGGTCCCTCCGTGCAGCCATGAATGTCGACAAGAATGAAATCGCCTCTGCGGAGGTTGAGCATGTGGATCCACGGAGATCAGAGAAAGGCGCTGTCAACTTTCTCCTGGTCTTTTCTTGTATAATATTCGGCGCGGCTTCGTTCATCTTCGGCTATGATGATAAACTCATCTCGCCCCTTGCGGCATTAACTCCGTTTGTAAGTGCATTCTCAATTGACCCTTGCCATTCAATCCAGGTATTAACAGCACTTTCAGGTTGCGAAATTCCAGGGACCCAACCCAGCAACCGGTAAATACGCTTTCACGGCCCACAATCAGGATCTCGTGTTCTCGATACCTTTAGTTGGCGCTGTATTCGGTGGATTGGTGGCCTCGCCATTGAATTTCCACTTTGGTCGCAAGTGGCCTGTGGTGGCGGCTTATATCATTTCAATTGGTGGAGGGCTACTACAAGTCTTCGCACCTAACTTAGGAGCTTTTGTGGGCGGTCGTTCTGTGAATGGTTTTGCCATGGGCATAGCTTTGGCGACTGCTCCCCTTTATGTTTCAGAGGTACAGCTCTTTCACTCTTGACCTGCTTGAAAATTTGATACTAATCGTTACTCCAGGTGGTACCTGTCTCTATCAGAGGTAGATGTGTCAGTTCGATCAACATTCTGAACCTTATAGCCGGTGTCGTAGGCACTGTCGTGGTATGGGGTACAAACAAACTGGGCGGAAAATTGGCCTATCAAATCCCTCTTGCTGTGCAAAGTGCCGTACCAGTCATTCTATTGATCTTGACAATTCCTCTACCAGAGAGCCCGGAATGGCTTATCTCCAAAGGAAATGTGGAACAAGCTCGACATAATTTGCGCAAACTCCGCGGCTTCAGTGATGAGAAAGTCGATGACGAAATTCAGCTCATAGAACTTTGTGAAAAATACAATCGCGAACTTCAATCCGAGGTCAGATTTTGGCATATCTTCAAACGAGAGCATCTCAAACGAACTATTGTGGCAGGCTCTTTCTTTTCCCTCAACCAAATTTCGGGTGTTATTCTCTCGACGACCTATACAACCGTGTTCCTCACCGAACTGGGTGTTGCAGATGCCTTCACATTGACTATCATTGCCTCATGTTGCACTTTAGCCGGTACAATCGCAGCACCATTGGTGATTGACCGCGTGGGCAGACGCCCAACCGCCTTCACTGGAATGAGTATTTTATTCGTGATCGATGTGGTCGCCGGCGCCCTCGCTTTTCAGAAAGAAAATAAGCAGGCGACCCTCGCAATTGCGGCGCTCTCCTTTATCTTCAATTTCTTCTGGGCATCTTCGTTCTTCTCACTCTCAAACCTGATGCCCTCTGAAATCGCCACTCCAAAGCTACGCCACTATACCATGTCTTATACTATCGCTTGCCAGGAAATAACCGCAGTCATCACCACCCTCGTTGTCCCACATTTGACATCGGCGGACGCGGCAAATCTCGGCGCGAAAACATACCTCATTTTTGCCGGGTGCATGGCCGCCATCCTTGTTTTCATGTACTTCTTCATGCCGGAAACACGTGGTCGCACTTTTGCCGAGATCGATGAGATGTACGCTGCAAATGTGCCCGCGTGGAAGTGGCGGTCTTATAAAACTTCTATCGAAGCGAGGACCGGTGAGAGGGCCCCGGACTCATTAGAGAAAATACGAACATAATCAATGGTATTTGTGATTTATTTCATTCCGATGGATATCTACATTTTTGCTTTAGAAATCTAAACTCATGCACAAATCGGATACCGTGGGCCTGCCGTGGGCTGGATGGAATATTTTATTCCGATGAAATGACTGTAAACCCAATTCCGACTCAGCTTCAAAGTGAAAGTCTATCTATCTAGAAGAATCCACCTGTCCCTTGCCTCGATCTGATGCTCACATCTTGATCACAACTTTGCCAATATGCTGACCGGAGTATAGGTGATCAAAGGCTTTCTGCGGATCTGCGAACGAGAAAATCTTATCATCAAGCAGAGGTTTCAGCGAAATCTTGTGGTCAGCCAAATACTTGCACAGGTTATCCTGGTCGATTTTCGAGCCGACAAAGATTGCTCTGCGGAGAAAGCTGCATTAGCACTGAACAGCAAGATCATCACCCGATGTTTGCAAAATCACTCACTTGATGGTGGCAGTATTCAGAATCAAAGGCGTGAAAGCGTCAGGGTAGCTATCCATCTGGAGTCCTCCCAGGATACCAATTAGGGAGATGGTACCTCTTCGGACGAGCGAATGAAGACTTTGGAGGATGGTAGTAGGTCCTCCCGTTTCAATCACAATGTCGACTCCTCGATTATTCGTCATACGCTTCACCTCATCTTCCCATTTCGGGTATGTCTTGTAGTTGATTGTTTCTATTGCACCGGGCGGCCCCAAGGCTTTAACTCTTTCCAGCTTTTCATCGGAAGAAGACGTAATGATAACGTGAAGGCCGGCACTCAAGCAAAGTAGCAAGGCGAATATACTCACACCCCCAGTACCTAGATGTATCTGTGTTTAGCGCCTATCTCCTCAATATCTGACCGAGAGGAGTTTGAGTTTACCTTGGAGAAGTACGGTGCCCTTTGCATTGGGCATATTCAAGCAGTTCCATGCGGTGGTACCCGAAATAGTCACACACGCGGCCTATAAGCCGAGATCAACCAACACAATTAGAAATGATTCTCGTATTGCTTGGTTTCCGAACACACTCACCTCCTCCCATGAGAGGTGCTCTGGCAAATGCACGAGTACACTCTGGTCGAAAATAGCGAATTCGCGCAACACGCCATCGATATCTCCACCTAGTGTTCTCTTCTCAATTTCAGTACCCTCTAGAGCATTGAGGTCAAAGATAGGAGCGACCCGATCTCCGATCTTGAAGCCAGATACATTATCTCCGAACGCGAGGACCTCAGCGGCGCAGTCAGATGCGGGGATACCTCGCTCAAGAGCAAAGCTTGGGTATTTGCCATTGAGCATGGCTACATCTCGATAATTGAGAGATACTGCTCGAATGCGAATCAATACTTCATCAGGGGTAAGCGAAGGAGGAAGTTCTTCTGTTACAGGCTGGACGATGAGAGGGGCTTCCCCGGAGGTACGGCGAAATACCTTGTAGCTTCTAGGAATAGGGAGCGACATATCTTAGGCTGCTTAGCATAAATTCTTCAAATTGAGCAGTTAAGATTGAACAGGGCATTGAGTCTTTGAGGACTAAATATATAGGCAGAAATTTGAGACTGAAATCCTGCAGGATCCGATATCTTCTGGGCATTATTAAGAGCTGAATAATCCATATCCATTTTGAGCCCCTGGCAGATGTCAAATGGCCCCCTTTTGGGCTAGTGTATCCTGTCGTAATCCAACGGTCTGCGGGGCAATTCTAACAACTCTGTCAAATATCTCAATGTATCGAGTTTCAATCGTCATTTCAATAGCCAAGAGTATATTTGCAGGAACTCAGGACCACTAGTGTAGTGTGTAGTAACCAAAAATGAACATAGCGAAAGAGATAAATACCCAAGGGAAAACCCCCACCAGTGCGAGTCTGCGAACTAGCTACGGCCGCTAGGGGTAGTAGGTAATAGAGATAGGATTGTTATTTGTAAAGAAAGAGATGCTTGAAGTGTTTCCTCGGGCAGGTCAGGCCTAAAATACATCGTGTAAGGATTTTGCAAAAATGGCTACCCTTAAAAATTTGGTAGGTCGAGCCTTGGAACCATATGACCTCGATATAATAACCTTGGAAGTACTGACCGCACCTTCCTCTTGAGCAGTTTCCTTCTTCCCCATAAATTACAAGTATTCACCTTCTTCATACCTCTCATCTTCAATATCTTCCCTCTTCCCTCTTTACTATATCTTCTTCCAACTTTATCACAACAAGTTTGGCAACTTAGTTCAAGAGTAAAGAAGAGTTCAGCATATATACTCTGCCATCTCAGAGGTGAAGGAACATTGTATCTTTATTTTCACAGACGTGTTTGAGCCCTGGGGTTACGTAGCATTTGAGGCTCTTAACGAAACAGTTAGTTATCTGTAAGTTGACAGAGCTATCTGATATTCAGAGGGCTTTTACTGATTCTTCTAGACGAACGTTAGACCTATACAACAATACTTTACGAATTAAGGTCAAGCTGGTCGACATATATATAATCACTGATCAGTGGCTTTACATAACGCTCTTCCAGTGGTGCTGGAAGGACCAAGTTATGACAGAAAACGTGCAAAACATACTGAAGTTCAAAGGCAACAAAAGTAAGTTATCTCATCATCCCCCATGCTTTCTGGTACAAAGCGATTGGAGCGAATTTTACAACAAATTTCTCGAAGATATTAATAGGCTCATCGTTGGGGGAGACTGTGAAAACAATATTGTAAACCTCATTAAATGGCGCGCGAGTCAACTGCATCGCTGGCACCATCGAAGTATACCGACGAGACCACGCAAACATTCCTCAACTCCTACACAAAGAGGTATGTACAAGACAAGATATTCAATTAATGGGTTACATACTAATTCCTTAACTTTCCAGGTCATTTTTCCATGCCCGGATCCCCCTACCCTTTCATTGATTCTGATTCGACGTATCGACTTGTTCGGACGATCCCTGTGGGCGTCGCCGGAAAAGGAAACGAAATACCAAAGTACCAATCTATGAAACTTGCCACTCTCCCGAGGTCGTCGTGTAGGATAAAGCCCCCGATTGTCAGAATTTGGAGAGCGTAATTGTCGCGTAGACTTGCTGCTAGCGGGATGTCATAAGGGTGGCGGAAAACAGCCACCAGTCGACGCTTCCGCTACCATCTGGTGCTGTTATTTTTCTTCATTGATGCCATCCTCACTCATGAAAACAAATGTAGCATTAATTAATATGTTACTATTAATCGAAGTCTTAGGTCTCTCAGAAATTGCTGTATCGAATTAACATAATATGGGGAAATGCGTTACTTTACAGCTACGCTGATACTTCTAAGGTTATACCAAAGTGCCAATACTAGGTTAGTGGCTTTGTCTCTATGTCGCTTCATTCATTATTGTGAAGGCTACAAGGAAGAAGCAAGGCGGGCATATAATAAGCAGTAGAGCAAGCATTGAACAGACATGTCTGGCAAAACCTGGCATGTAGGTAATAGCTGATCACAATAGCCATTAAAGTGGACAAATCCCGCTGAAGCTCTACCTATTCACAATTTACCCCGATTTGGCTCAGACTTTACTATGTAAAAACAGTAAGGCAGCCAATAACATCCAGGACGGAGAGAGAGAACGAGCCCTAAATAGTCACCTTTCATGCAATACCTCTGTAGAAATGGATGAGCCATTCTAAATAGTCCAATTAATCAGATAAGTATTTTAAACGTGACTCATCTATCTTTTCACCAATTAGTTAGCTATGGAATTTAACTCCGTACTACTGCTTCCTACTATTCCTTTTTAGGTCCTACTATTCCTTTTTAGGTCCCCTACTGAAATATCAGATCGATCGCCTGCACTATAAATACTACCCCCGCATTATGAAGTAAGGGATCTAACGAATCAATAACCAACTTGAACTACTACTAGTTAAATGCAAACCTCCCGACTCAAACTAGTCCGGCTAACCGAAGACCACGTCCCCGGCTACCACGCCATCTGGTCCGACCCATTCACAACCCGATGGAGCCCTCACGGCCACTGCGCAACACTGGAGGATAGTCGAGAGTGGATGTCAGCTCTGCTTCCCGACGTCAACCCCAAGGGGGTCAATTATGCAGTGTTACTGCGCGCCGATCTCGATCTCGACGTGGAAGTTTTAAAAGCGCGGAGTCCCGACAACAATGCAGTCCTCCGACCCGGCGGCTTTCTGGGATGGGTTGGGACGTGGACGTCCCAGCCGAGGCCGGAAGTTGGCCTTATCTTTCACCGATCGACGTGGGGACTGGGATTTGCTACGGAGGCCTTGAATGCTTTTTTGGAACTATTTTGGAAGGAAAGGCCCGAATTTGAGCATTTGGAGGCGTGGTGTGATGAGGAAAATGCTGCTTCGAGTAATGTTTTGCGGAAATGTGGGTTTCATCTTGTGGAAACAATTAAGGGGGATTATACTTTGAAATGGATGGTGCCTGAGTTGAGGAATAGTCTACATTTTCGCGCTCGGAAGCCTGATAGTAGTAGTACCACCTAGGTGATACTGGAAATGAGGATGAGAGGACTCATTCAGGATGACGGAACTTGAAGCAGTCGCGTCTTTCAGGCGATGGGCATATGTGTACAGGTTGATATTTGCATATATTCATACATATAATCGATATACATATTGCAGCCTAGCTATAATTGTGTAGCCCAAGCTATCTTTCCACTTGTAATCTGTAGCGACTGAAGGTGGGCCCTATATTTTTCCAAGAAGGGGTGATTTCCACCTCGGAAACTGTGCAGTAGTAACAGGAAATCCTCAGCCAGAGTCTGCGGGTTCGAAGTGGTGGGTATCGAGTCGGTGAAATTGCCCAATGGCGCCATTCCGGTCCCATAGGGTGGGTTGACGTTACAGAGAATATCGGTCGCGCTAACTGCAATATCATATAACTTCTCGGTCTTAATAAGAAAAGAGGTTGGTTAGCATTTTCCCAAATCTGAGTCCACATGGTCAGAGGTGATAGTGGAACATACAAATCCAATCCCGTGGGCTTCCATCGAGCTAAGTTTCAATGATCGGCAGAGTTGTAATGTTGATTCAGCGACAGAGACGGCATAACCAAACGTGAGATCAGGTCGCTCAGAATGTGACCGCAAAAAGCCATGATTTAGACATAGAAGCCAAACACGGTTCTGAATCCACCTCTGAGTGATGAATACGTCTGCGGCCTGCGTTTCACGCAATCCCATGGCCAGAAGAGCATTGTTGTCATTTCGATCCCCTCTTGCTTTCTCGAACCAGTCGTATCCCTTGAATCGCTCGGCTTGACTGATTTTTTCTAGACTGTCATACATCGACAATGCTTTGGCCTCGGTGAATCTTGTGCAGAATCCCTTGCTGATGTCGCATCGTTGGTTCCAGCAGTGTATGATGTCTTCGTCGATGACATCGAATAACTCCATCAGTCGAGCTAGGCCCATCATCCCCTCGGCATCTTTCTCGTTGTGAACGATAATACCCGAGACTAGACTGTGAGTTGCATTGTGAAGAAAATCGTGTACGGAGCGCATGCTGAATCCTGGTTTTCCGGAGAATGTTACCGGATGAAGCCGCTGAAGAGCATATGCTCTATAGTGGTATTGTCAGTATCTTTGACGCATTTAAAATCGGACATTAGAGATCATACCTTTCTGTAATTGACAAAACAAGATATGTCCGCAATCGTTGGCCCTTTTCATCCCCAGTTAAGTCGCGATAGGATTCAGGGTCATTGAGTCCGAGTGTGGAGGCTAGATCTAACGACTCTCGCAACCGAAGCCATGCAGCATTGTGCTGATTGCTACCAAAGAGACAACCGAAAAGGAAGAAACTTGTCAGAACTGCCTCAATGGTAGGGTTTTCGCCAAAGTCGGAACAGCTCCGCATTTTGGTGGCCTCGTGCATCATGGAACGTGCCTGTGTGGCACGTGACGAAGTTGTTGCCCGCTCGTTGATCTCGATTGGTTGCGTCAACGAGAACGCACACAGTGAAAGCAACATTGCTCCGAACTGGGGATTTTTGCGATGCTCCTGAGACATCATGCGGGTGAAGAGGGAAGAGCGACTGAGAACCGGAAGGGTGGGGTGTAATCGGTCGAAGTATACATCGATCCAGGGTATCATGTTCGATTCATTGATAGCCGCAGGCCAGAATTCGTCTGCGTCTTGGCTATCAGATTGGATTGATGATCCCACAGCTGGGGAGAATGCCATCCTTTGATGGTCCTGTGGGGACATATTCATGGCCGAGGCATCGGGGACTGGTTGAATGATGGAAGGGAGAGATGGTTTGAGATATATGTTACTTCCGGGAAATTCGAAGATTGGTACTTGGGTGCCCAGGTGGTCCGGAAGCCAGTATTCGACGTCTTGCCGGTCGTTCCAACCCACAGCAGCACTGTTGGCATGTGAGTCCATAGACGCGGCATCGGCGGCCCAGGCGTCTACGACGGCTGATGATTGAGCGGATGGTGCTAGTATGGCTGCTCCATCCATTGGCATCGTGACTTCGCCATGGGGACCTGCCCAAGATGTCCCCGGTATGGACACGGGCCGGCCGGGTTCCACCGACGAGGTCGGGACATGATATTGGAAAGATTCTTGTTTGGCGATCGGAGTCTCGGAGGGATCTCGAGAGATGATATGAGTTTGCTGCTGTCGAATTTGCGACACGCGACTACAAGCATGGTCAGAGCAGTGCCTTCCGGCGCGTCGGCGCGATCATGTCATGACTTTGACTTACTGGCCCGTTGGACCGCGCTTCTTCTGCGGCTGGAGAAATGTACAATCAAAGCCCATCGCTTGACAGGCCTTGCAGGGTTGCGACAAGCTACACTGTCGGAAGGATTAGCGCCCGTGTTGGCGGTCGGCCGGGAGAGCCAGGGTTAGGGGGTTACTGAGGGGCCGACTCGGAGGAAATGAAATACCTTGATCTTGCGGAACTTGCATTGGTCGCAGGCCCGCTTTGCGATGCTGGCGGCATGCTTATTGCGGGCGCGAATGGCACCGGGGGCACCCCCGGACGGCGATCCTGTTGTAGAAGCCATCAGGAAGCCTCCGTGGCTCCATGAAGCATCGAGATGAAAGGCGAGACGTGAGATGGGGTGTGTCGAGGTTGAAGATCTCCCGACCCACTTCGACCTCGACGGTTGGGAATTCCCCGCCTGGAAAATACACCGCGAACGGAGGAAGAGCTTAGTTGGTACTAGAGCTGGCTCAGCGTTGGCCATGTTTCTCAGGAATCAGCTAGAACTAAAATCATAGACTAAAATCATTAAAATAACTCAAAATCAAAATCAAAATTAAATCCGGGGTGACTCCAACAGGGCCACGAGACTTCTCCAACTGCCACATAACTACTAGTGCAGTACTCTACTCTACTCTACTCTGCAATCCCCCCCACCTTTGCCAATGACTCCATTCTTAGATAGCCGGTCGCCTTGCCGAGCCGCTGAAGCGGAGTCCTGTGTCCGCTACGAACTATTTAAATGCTTGGTTTTTCCTTGAAAATTGAGACTAGATTAACGCATCAAACATAATGGGGTCCACACACCAATCCTGGGAGCAGATTGTCTCCCAAAAGCGTACTGCAAGAGACCAACTACTCGCGCCATATTTGATCGATAATATCGAGCATCGAGGGCCCCGGGTCTTGAATGTTGATCAGCGCAGTCGTTTGGAGAACGATCCTCAAGTTCAGAAAATCACTGATATTGATAACATCGTGGTTCTGTTACAGTATCTTCAAAAAGGGGAGTTGACAGCGGAATCAGTGATCAAGGCGTATATCAAAAGAGCTGTGGTGGCACATCAACTGGTAACTTAACTTGTCCTTTATATTCTCCTTTTCCCTCCTATTTAATACAACTGATCTAATCGTAAAACAAGACCAATTGCCTTACAGAAGTTTGCTTCACAGAAGCTTTGGAACAAGCGAAGGCTCTCGATGCCGAATTTGAGATAACTCGCCAGCCCAAGGGTCCTCTACATGGTATACCAATTACCTTAAAAGATCAATTTAACGTTAAGGGTCTCGATACCACAATTGGATATGTCGGCAGGTCATTTTCTCCAGCAGACGAAGATGCAGTCTTAGTCCAGATGTTAAAGAACATGGGCGCCATCATCATTGCGAAGACAAATCTCTGTCAAAGCATCATGGTTAGTCAAACTACCACGCAGCTAATGACAACGACTTGAACTGACTATGTCCTCTAGTGGGCTGAGACCGAGAATCCACTCTGGGGACTGACAACAAACGCCCGAGACCCTTCTTTCACACCAGGAGGCTCTACCGGAGGCGAAGGACCACTGCTCGCTTTGCACGGCTCTATTCTGGGCTTTGGAACCGACATTGGAGGCAGTGTTCGCATCCCACAGAGCGTCGCAGGCCTTTATGGCTTAAAACCCAGCGTAGGCCTCTTCTTTCATTCATCATGTAACTCAAAATTTCCCACATATAGTTCACTCACAATCTTCAACAGAGCAGTCGATTCCCTTACCACGGCCTTCCCGTGTCCACCGAAGGCCAGGAACACGTTCCATCATCTGTAGGTCCAATGACCCGGGACCTCGCATCGATCTGCTACATCACACAGCTCGTAGCAAACGCCCGACCCTGGGATCTAGACCCACGCTGCGCACCACTCCCCTGGAACGAACTATCATTCCGAGAAATTCAACAGCGACCACTCGTCATCGGACTAATTCTCGACGACGGAGTCGTGAGAGTTCACCCACCCATCGCCCGGGCTTTACAAGAATTATCCGCGACACTGAAAGCTCACGGCCATGAAATTGTGATCTGGGATACATCCGACCACGCGACTGCGATTGAAATAATGGATCAATACTACACAGTCGATGGCGGCGAGGATATTCGACGCGATATCGAAGTCGCGGGCGAACCTTATATTCCCCACGTCGAAGCTTTGGTTAATCGCGGCAAACCAATCTCCGTATACGAGTATTGGCAATTGAATAAGCGCAAGACTGCTGTGCATAAGAAATATCTTGATAAATGGAGTGCTGCCCGTTCGGATTCGGGGAAGCCTGTGGATATATTGTTGAGTCCGACACTGCCTCATACGAGTGTTCCGCATCGCAAGTTTCGTTGGGTCGGGTATACGAAGATTTGGAACTTTCTTGATTATCCGGCTTTGACGTTCCCTGTGGATCGAGTCAGAGTGGATAGGGACCAGGGACCCGTGGAGCCATATGCGCCGAGAAATCCGGTTGATGAGTGGAATTGGAATCTTTATGATGCGGAGCAGGTGGATGGATATCCTGTGAATTTGCAGATTATTGGGAGGAAGTTGGAAGAAGAGAAGGTGCTCGGGGCAGCGACTGTTATTGAGAAGATCTGGAAGAGCCGTAGCTAGATCATCATCTTTCTAAGCATGCATTAGATATACTAGTAAGAGGCAAGTTTGAAACTTGAACTATATCTACCTGGGCATCACCCCTACTTATCTACTCAGGCACGAGCTTCAAAATCCACAACATAATTCATAATAGGAAGAGGCCAGACCTAGGGTCCACCTCCAATTTATTCAATGCACTAATCAGACACCGCCAACGCCACTAGAAAATGCTGTTGGATATCGTATTTTTATGCTCTGGGAGGCACGAAGAGCTCGGGCTTCATGTTGATTTTGCAGAGCTTCGAGATACACCCGCTCAATTGAAGTAGCGACTGCACACCGTCGAGGATACGCATGTGAGTGAATCCAATCTCGCGAACAAATTCCAGCTTGGAGTGCTCCGAGAGAGTGGGAATAGTCTTTGTGACTCGGAACATGGTGCTGATAATATCGTGGGAGGAGTATCCGAGAGTCCTATCAACAAATTGTTAAAAAAAAAAACGAAACCAAAGACAGACTGATTAAGTTTTCAAGGAAAAAGAAACAACTTACCAGAGCTCATTAAGTCCCTCCAGAGCCGCGTCTACTTTACCTTCCCAGCAAGCCTTGATCATGGCTTGAACCTTGACTGGATGAGGGCTATCCACGACACGGAACACATTATCGCCACTGACGAAGCCAAATCCAGACCAGGTACTTTGCAGATTGTTGATTGCTTGTCGCATGTCGCCCTCGGCGCTGAAAACGAGTGCGGCAAGACCGTCATCCGAGGATTGGATTTTCTCCGCTTCACAGATTTGTGTCAGTCGCTTCACGACTTGGGCGTCTGTCAGACGAGCGTAGCGGAGGATGGCGCAACGGGACTGGAGAGGCTCGATAATTTTGTTCGATTGGTTGCAGGCGAAGGCGAATCGTGTTGTCGTTGAGTAAATTTCCATTGTACGGCGCAGAGCTTGTTGGGCACCGGGTGTCATGCTTTACAATGGTTAGCGTGGGTAGGGTATGGTAGGGTATATCTAGAAGTCGTCGTGACTAACCTATCAGCTTCATCAAGAATCACAAGCTTGTGACGTCCCTGCGGGAGGGTGACCTTCTTTTGAGCAAAGCCCTTGATACGGTTGCGAACCACATCGATACCTATTTAGAGCATCAGAAACACATATTCCCAGGTATCCATAGCAAGAAGTGTAAGAATCGTCCAATCTGACCTCTTTCATCACTAGCATTCAGCTCCAAAACAGCCTCTTTATACGAATCACCCAGCAATTGTCGGGCCAGGCAGAGAACCGAGGTCGTCTTTCCAATACCGGGCATGCCGGAGATGATAACGTGAGGCATATTTCCATCTTTGGCAATGATTTTTAAGCGTTCAATTGTTTCCGTGTTGCCGACGATGTCATCGAGGAAAACGGGGCGGTATTTCTCTACCCTGCAGCGGAGAAGCAATGAAAAGTTAGCCAACGTACGCACGCTCGTGTCACGCCACATGAGGTGTGGTTACCAAGGAAGCTCGTAGTCCACATGAGCACCTGTAGTAACAGCTTTGGCGCCATTTTGCGCACTCGAGGAAGATTCGGCTTGTGTCATATTGGGTGATTTGGGGGGTGGGGAGAAGCGGTAACGTTTAATTGCAGAGACGCGAGAGGGTTCCCTCGCGCGCGTGTTGCGATAACGGCTTATCAGCTGGCACCACCCGGGACTCCCTTCCTGTAGGGACTGTAGGGTAGGGTACCATTGAGGTCTGTACCTACCCTCCTAAGTTAACCATTGGACACCAGACAATAAGCTGAACATCCATGGGCAACTGGTCTATCACTACACTTTCTATCTTTGCGCAGTCATTCGCTAACAGAATCTTGTTGCTGGTCGATCAGCCTTGATATCCCATCTTTCTGCCGTTCGCGGCCCATTCCTCCATCAACTTTCCTCCCTAGGGTCTCCACAAGCTATTCTTATCCCCAGCAAACAGTCAGAGAGAGCAGTCCACTCTGACAAACATAGTCTATCGATACAGAGTGTGATATCTCTCATTCATTTACTCCTTCAACACGTGTTCATTCGACACTCGACGTGATCCATCCCCACCAGCAACAAGAACCGCGTTTCCTCGTACACTCCCATCGCAAAACACCACGCCAGTCAACCCTATCCACCGGACTCTGTCAAAACCCGCATCCATGATGGGCCAACCAACCGTCCGTTCCAATATATTCCAACAAGGCCTCAGCCGTCGCCCGGCCTCAGCAGGACCGCCCAATGGCAATATGTCATCGGGGAATAATCCACTCGCAACTCGCCCTTCGCATTCGCACAGGCTCAAACCGACCACGACCTCGGACTCTTCCTCTTCTCGCGGCATCAAAATGTCAGAGAACAAGGATATCGTGGTCAGAGACAAAAACGGCGGCTATAAACTTGAGGTACCCGCTTTGCCGAATGGACTGGTTGGTGAGGATGGTGAAGAGCTGGGTGAACTTGATCCAGATGAGTCGGGTGAAATGGGTCTTGAGGCGACGGGTATGGGTGGACGTGATAAAGAAAGTATGTTCCTTGGATCGAAGGGGGGGGTGTTTGGAATGAAAATCATTCGTGAACTAATGATGATGATCTAGAATTTGACGCCGCACTCGTTGAGATGATGATTCGTCATCGGAATAGGCAGACTAGTGGTGAACCTGATGGTAGGTTACAAGTTTTGAAGAAAATCGGCTTTCACCCTCTCCCTCACTCTTCGAACTGCTGCTAATACGTTCCCAGAAATTTTGGATATTGTCCACCAAAGTTTGCGCAAAAAGGCCGCGTCCTTGGATGATGATAGTTGGATGTTCGAGCCAGAAAAGGACATTGTGTTCTAAAGAAATCTTCAATTATGCGCTACAGGTGTTCTTCATTGTTCATTACACTTTGGATTTGGGTATGTTCAACAATGCCCATGAGACATTCTTTCTCTCCAACGAGGCGGGTAGGCAGGCAGAGCAGCCCGCGACTCGATTTGTACCAGACGTCACATCACATCACTCTAATCGAGCTCCATACTGGAAGGAGGTGCAGCCTCGACCTTCTTCGCGGGCTTTTGAGCCCGTCTCCCACCAGCATTATCCTGGCCACCTTGACCGCCGAAAAGCATATTGCTCATCATATCCATGAGAGGGTTACCCTGGCGAGGTATCTTGATACCGAAATACTGCTCGCCAATCTGGGCCAGGAACTCATCCCAAATGCCAATGTCCCGGATCTGCGCCGCGTAGTGCGCAGTCAACTGTTTGAACAGATCCGCGCTTCCGCGCTGGACGGTCAGCAGCAACAAGCTGATGAAGTTGAACAAGGGTAGTGCGGGGTACACGCGGGCATCGGAGCTTGAGCTGCTGACGTCCTGCACGGTGAGCGAAGGGTTCGATGTTGAGAGTCGGGTGGTGAAGATGAGCAGGGCTTTGTTGGCACTGCGGAGGTTGCCGGTTAGGAGGTATGGGAAGACTGCGCGCGATGCGTAGATGGCTGCGGTGTGCGGCTCGTCATGGGTGTACCACTCGTATTCCAGCTTGGCCAGTGTCTCTGCCGATTCCGATGTTCCTAGAATAAGATGCTTCTCGGCGTCATACGGCTCGTTCTCTGCATGAGAAATCGAGTTAGAAAGTCCAGGACAAAATAAACCGCAGACCTAAGACCTAAGACCTAAGACCGAATAACATACCTTCCGCGTAGACCGAGCCTACAGCATGGTGCAGGTCTGGATCACCTCTCTCCAGCGGACCGAATCGGCTACTCCACCCCATCATCTCTTGAATAAAGCGCTTTCGTGTAGGTTCGTCCGAGGGGAACTCGCGCAGAAGTTCGATCAAGCGCTCTGTCAACGGGTGTTAGCTATTTTGTTGTCGCTGGGCCGGTCCCTCCATAAACCTCCAACATCAAGAGATCATGATCATCCGCAAGCCTTCCGAGAAAACTTACTCTTTCTAGCCCGGCCCTCGGTATCATTGTCCTCTCCTGAAATTTCCCACTCGGCCTTATTGTAAACCTCCACCACCAACATGATTGCCAGATCACCACCACTGGCCGAGGCACCCTGCTGGGCACCGGCTCTTAGCAGAGCCGTCGCACCCCCAGCTAGAAGATCGGCGGCCGCATCGTAGTTCGACTGTTTGATATAACGCACTGCGATGGTCCGCAGCTGTTGGTGTGCTTCGTAGTAGGCGCCGTCCGCGATCCTAGGAAAGAATGTGGGCGTTAGCAACTGAATGGTGTCCCGTTCCACAAAAGAGCAGAATGCGGTGATCTCACTTCTCTCGCTGGCGGGCGATGACCTTTTCAATGCGAGAGGTCATCGTGAGATTCTATGAATCGAATCGAATCTTAAAGAGTCGATGTAGAGATGTTAGAATGGAAAGTAAGTCAAGTTCAGTTGAGGCCCGAGTTCGCAAAGCGAGATGAGGGAGGTTCGCGGGGAGTTGCAGTTGCAGCAAGTCGAAAGTTGGTGGGGAACGCGGCAGCAGCTCCATGCACAAAAGTTAGGTACAACCATTGACATTACATTTTCTTCCGCGCTGCCAGACCCGACTGCGATCTTCTTAGTTCATATATCTCTTTAATCTCTCAGGGTTGTTCGTGGTCACTCCATCTACGCAGAATTGAATCTATCGCAAGAACACCTCTCAAGCGCGCCCCTTGCGACGAACTCCGACCCAACCCAGAGTCTCCTATGCGCGCCGACTAGTGAACCATTCTCACGAATCAAGCGCTGGGAACAGCGCTGCTTTGCATCTCTGGCTGGCCACGATCCATACCCCGATCTCACTAGCTCCCACCACCAAATCCAGCCATGAGCCAGGCTACTTTCAACATTCAACCGGTGAACCGCTTCGGCGGGCAGGGCACTACAATTCGGCGGCCCAGGGTAGGTGGTGTCCTTTATCCAAAGAAAAAGTTTGGTTATGTCAATATGTTAATAAATCCGTGGAATTATTAGGAAGTAACATGTTTCTCATATGACCGTGATCGTCAATTCATGTTGGGAGATAGTTCTCTGGCCTATTATTACCCGCCAAGTCTTCCAGCAGATCTGAATATCGGCTTTGAGACCTTTCAAAAGCTCAACGATGCTGCGGATGAGCATCTGGATGCTTTACTCGATACTATCGTTGCTCTCGAGAGGGATACGGAAAAGAAATGCGAAACTGATATCATTACCTGGCGAGGGATGATGACGAAGGTAAGATGCGATGCAGTTGGTCGTACTACGTGAACTCTATGCTAATTGTTCGTGTACTATACAGATCATGGCTGCTCCTTTTAATATGTCAGATGGGTATGTTATGCAATTTACGGGAACCGTTCTTTACTCACATAGTCCATTTCATATCTAGTTTTGAGATGAACGCGACATGTTTCCAGGTAAGACCAACTAACTCCCCTGCAACACTTACCCTATTTGGGTCCTGGCTAACTTGGCTCTAGGGTACAATGTACGATATTCTTCCCCTTCCAGGGTTTCTAAGTTACTTTGCTGATAAAAGAAGATTCATCGAAGAGAATAATTCATACAAAAACGAGCAGAAAGAGAAACAGAAAGCTCAAAGGATGCCCCCGGGAATGGCATCTCAAGAACGCATGATGTACTGGGGTATGAAGAAATGCGGAATTCGAAATTCTTGCCACACTCCGCAGGCCGTTTCTTTGCAAGTCGCTGACCCCCATTTCATTTCAGGTTACAAGTTTGAAGTTCTTTCTGTTTTACACAAGCCTTGGGATCCTACGACACGTGCCGAGATCGAAGGTCGTCAGGATGAAGTTGTGAACAATAGTGCACAATATTGCTCTGTGGTTAAGACGGGTATGGGAAATGTACGCATGATTCTTGGGGGTGAAGTTGATGCCGGTATGTTTCTTGTCTTGCCTTCTATTCTACTACCCTTCATCATCTTTTCAGTATGCTCTGCTGACTTTCAAATCATAGTGTGGGATTGCAAACCGGAAAGGAAAGAAGACCCAATCCACTGGGTTGAACTGAAGACGTCGGCGGAAATTCGCAATGATCGCGACATGCTGAAGTATGAGCGAAAGTTACTGAAGTTCTGGGCACAGTCTTTCTTGCTCGGAGTGCCGACGATCATTGTTGGTTTTCGCGATCAGGATGGTATTGTTCGTCGTCTGGAAGAACTTGATACGGCCAGTATCCCGGGTAAAGTCAAGAAGCTTGGACGAGGATCTTGGGATGGTAATATCTGTATCAATTTTGCTGCACAATTCCTTGAATGTAAAGGACCTTCCCTCCTCTTTTGCTTCTTTAGAAACGGACATACTGACACTTCACTTTTGCAGGGTTGAAACACACCATTCAGCAGGACGGGACTTGGAGAATACGGAAGCAAGAGAAATCATCGGTCATCGAGGTGTTCAAGGTTGAAGAGTCAGGTCATGGCGATATTCTCTCCCCTGCATTCAGAGACTGGCGGTCACAAGCTCAGGCTTAATCTGTGCCTTCATAATTCTAGGTGGACCTCTTCAAAGGCCAATTTTGTACTTATTGTGGGTGGTATCTTTATAATTTTCATGTTTGCCCTTGGTCTTCGGCGCTGGCTCCAGTTGCGGGAGCCTTCTTGGCCTCCTCTAATTCTCGTTTTCGGAAATATTCATCCCGTTCTGCTTTCCTTGCCGCCGACTTGAGGCCCTTCTTGTGCGGAGAGCTAGCCAAATGGATTTTCCACTGTTCTTCGCCGGCCATGGTTTTACGGCATATATCGCAGGTGAAACATTGCGTGGCCGAATCTGGCTTTTGAACTGCTTGGTCTTCTTTGGCGCCGAGGACGGTATTCGCAAGCTCCGAGAGAGACTTAGGGTCGGGCGTGCTCTTGCCGTGGAGCATTGACTGGACAAGATTCTCAGATGGCTCTGTAATGCAGGATTTCCAGTCGGCGACGTTGCTGCTATCAAGAAGGTACAGGCGATGTGTCATTCCTGCATCAGACATGGCTTTCCATAGTTTATTTCTGATCCATTTGATTTGGGACCGGCCATATTGGCGCGTGGCAGTTCTGATCGATTCGATGCAATTCTTTTTGAGAGTTTCAAGTTCTTCTCCGCTCATCTTGGTTTCGGCTTCTTGGAGGGCCGAGAAATAGGGCGCAAGCTCTTTGAACCCAATTGATACCCAGACGCCGCGGGTCATGTCCACCTCAATGCCCTCTGATTGTTTCTGTTGTATATAATCAAACATAGTCTTGGCTTCTGACATCAATCCCATCTTCAGCATATCATCAACACGACCATTCAGCCGTGTATTGAGAATCTCCTTTTCGGCATGTACCCAGAAGATCATGGTGTTGTCAAACCGCAGCAGTCCTTCGTCATTACTAACAGCCTCCTTTTTCATGACTTGCTGCTCGGCGTAAATATCCGAAGCTCGCCGTCCAGTTTGGAAGTATATCTCCAACGACCGTCGAATCTTCCGACCATCCTTCGGGTGCCACCGCTGGGCCATCACGGGATCAACCTCTCTTAGCTTCTCCATGAGCACCTCAGGTGATGAATCCAGAATAGGCCACTTTGCCGATGTTGAGGTCGAGGTTGAAGTTGAGGTTACCTCTGAAGATGATGGCTCCGGTCCGTCTTCATCCTCCGAACCCTCACCGACCAACTGATCCTTGAACAGTACCGCCTGGGTATAATAATGTGTGCCTCCGACCAAAACTGGCGTTTTCCCACGTGCTCGAATTTCGTCGATAAGCCGGAGAGCTTCGCTTTTGAATTGACTGATGCGCCATGCTTCCTCCTCCAGATTTACACAACTCAGCAGGTGGTGGGGAATGCCGTTTCGCTCCTCGACGGGGATCTGATTCGTAATGATCGGGAGGCCGCGGTACATTTGCATCGCATCGCCGTTGATAATTTCGCCGTTAAATCGACAGGCTAGATCTACCGCGAGCTGGCTGTAGCTATTAGCGTGGTTCCCATGTTTGCGTGCGACAAGAGATAGGATTGGATGGAGGGGTATTCATCCCATAGGGTTTGTTATTACCTTGGACTTGCCAGTGCCCGTTGCACCAACGACTGCTATGAGGGGATCCATGACTGCTGATGCTTTATGACGGAGCCAGAATGATCGGAGGAACGGGAGCATCCCGCGCTCATCTCATCCTCCAAAATTGTGAGATTCTGGAGAAGTTGGAGAAGTTGGAGACGGCAGAAAAAAAGTGTCGTGTTATCGCAAATCGCAATCGCAATGGCAAGGGCACCTTACCTCATCCGGGGCCACTCCCGCGTGCCCGCACTAGCAACACCCCAGTTTAGTTTCTTTATTCCCGTGTGACTCAATATTACTGCCTGTGTTGGGTTCTCCTTTTTTCTTCTTTTCTGATCATATTCCTTCCAAAGCTGCCCAGGTTTTGTCCGATATGGCGCCGTCATCCACTGCCCAAGCCCCATCCATCGAGGTGCAGAACCTCTCTTATAAATTCCAAGATGGGTCTGCGGGGCTCCAAGATGTGCAATTGAGTCTTCCACCAGGTAGCCGAACGCTGCTAATCGGCGGTAAGTAATTCTCCAAGGGTTCCGAGTCACTATTATATAGTATCTAATACATGATTTCCAGCCAACGGAGCCGGCAAAACCACTTTGCTCCGCCTAGTCTCAGGAAAACGCCTAGCACCCAACGACACAATTTCCGTGGGAGGCAAAGACCCCTTCAAAGAAGGCCTGGAGGGAGTCACCTACCTCGGCGTAGAATGGGTACTGAACAGCATCGTTCGCACCGACATCGACGTGCCAACCTTACTATCCTCTGTGGGCGGCGATGTCTACACAGAACGTCGTGACGAACTAGTCGATATCCTCGACATCGATCTGAGCTGGCGCATGCACGCTGTTTCGGACGGTGAACGCCGTCGTGTCCAGCTAGCTATGGGTCTTCTGCGACCCTGGCAGGTCCTTCTCCTTGATGAGATCACTGTCGATTTGGATCTATTGTCTAGAAGCAATTTCCTCGCTTTCCTGAAGCGTGAGACGGAGACGCGTGCTTGCACTATTGTTTATGCTACGCATATTCTGGACAATCTGGCGCAGTGGCCGACTCATTTGGCGCATATGCATTTGGGTAAGGTTAAGGCGTGGGGACCCGTTGAACAATTCTATCAGGAAATTCCGCAGTGGACTTCTGAGAATAGTCGGCTTGGTGAGTTGGTTCTTAAATGGTTGAAGGAGGATCTTGATGCTCGGGGCCCGCGGAAGGGTCGGCCAGCGGAGGGGAAAACTTACGAATCTCTTGAGGGACTGGGAGGTTATGGACTTGAGAAGCACAGTTAAAAAAATAACTTGACTGCTCTGGTTCACCTTTTACTTTTGTTTTTGTTTTTGTTTCTTGTGCTTTGTTCACTCTTCCGGCACCGATTTGAGGAAGTCTTTTAACATTATGCCGTTCAACAATCATCGGGTTCAACAACCTGGCATGGGTGGGGTTTTGCGGGTATCTGAAATCTACAGGATAGATTTATTCAACATCAGGAGTTTTTCAACCAGGACTCCATAGAAGGGTTATGTTCATGAATATACGAAAAGGTTCGGCAGCATGGATGGCCGAGAAGTGGGAAACTTTCTTTCAACCGATAGCGAAACCTACTTATACATGTGACAAATATTCCAATGCAATATCTGATCAATTTTTGAGTATTCCTGCTACCTTTTACTTTTCACTTGATAACTTTATAACTTTTCATTGTAAAGAGCCACAGAGGATGATTTATCCCCTGGATTTGATATTGAGGTAAATATGGATCATGAGAGTATGTTCGAAATGGTGTATATGCGTGCCGAAGTGTCTTCACTAGCGACAGCAAGTTCAAACTGCGTCTTGCTATTGGCCTCCTCCGTTGTCACTGGTCGCCAAGCTAGTTGTGTGATCGCCCTTGAGGGCGCAATGGTGCTATCGATATTCACCACAAGTTGTGCTTCCAGGCTATCAACAGCGATTCGGTGGATAGAAAGCGCCCCGGTATCCTCTCCAGCAGCAAGAATGAACGAGTCCTGATAAACAGCAGGCAGGAACTCAATAGCCGACACGGGCGATGTCAACGCAATTGTCGATTTGCAGATGAAAGTTCCGTCCCCAGACCTTTGCCAGAGTTTAACAGATTTGTCACGTCCAGCCGTAGCAAAGATATAATCCGAGGTCGAGGTTTTTGGGGCCCATGCTGCTCCCAGAATCATTCGAGAGTGACCCTTGGGGTTCGAGGCCAGATTAGTGAACAGGGTTGCGTCCTGCTCACTACGTTCGAAGACGGCCCATTGGCGGTCTCGGCCCACACTGAGAAGATACTTGTCGTCGTCGGAGAAGGATAGGTCGTAAATTGTTAGGGAGTGGGCTGTCAGAGAGGGTTTAATCTCATGCCAGTCCGATGTATCATACAATCGAATGACAGCGTGATCAAGAGAGGTAGCCTTGCAGGCCGTGGCAATGACCTTTCGGTCGTGACTAACCGCAACGGCTGAAATTTCATAACCGTGACCGTAGAGCTTTTCGTGTTCCGGCCACAGCGTATGTCGGGAGAGGTGGTCTTCTAGAGGTGGGGTGTCTGTGACCATAGATGCTGCGGCGGCGGCGGCGGAGCCTCCGCCTCCTCCTTCCTCGTCTTCTTCAACGGGAGCCTCGTCTCCTTGCGCTTTGTTCGAGAGACCAAGCACAGGAATTTCAGCAGTGTCAGGGAGCTCCTCCTTAGAGGTTTGTTTGAAACCGGTCAGTCTCTCCAGCAGCTCGGCAGTTTGTTTCGGCTCGTTGAAAACACGCAATAACTTTTCGTCTGCTCCAGACACGAATTGCAATGGGCCCAATGTATCGACGCAGTTCAGGTCGTATCCATGAATCTGGGGTCGGGCAAATTCGTGCCACGATCGTTTCTCGTCGCGCAGCCATTGAGCATGTAGACGAGTCGTTTGATCTGCACTAGTGGAGAGCAAATAGCCACCACTGGGTTCCCACTTAACACCATTGACTGAGCGCACGTGTCCGGAAATGCCAAAGTGCTGCACCCAAATATCTGCTTCGGCATCATGTCGCCAGGCTCTCCAGCTGCCGGTTCGGCCAAGGCTTACAACCCGTTTGCCATCTGGAGACCAAAGTCCAATCCAGAAACCACCCGCACTTCCAGTTGCTGTTGTTGCGCCTTTTTGCACGCTAATCTCACCCATTCGCTCTACTGACATCCACACACCTGATGCCGTGTCTTGCTCCCAGATTGTGACTGTGTTGTCGGCAGACGCTGTAAGAAGTTGCGAGCGTGTTGGGTCTGGGTTCCACGCCGTAGTGTAAATCCAGTCTTCATTTCCGAACAGAAGAGCTTCAAAGGTAACCGTATATTTCGATCCATTCGCTTCAAATTCATGCGCCTTATTGGAGAGTGTAGGCTCCATTCCACCCAGTAGCGGGTCAGCATCATCAATAGGAGCAGCGACGTCCGCTTCACCCCGACGCAACCGCCACAGACGGATATATTTGTCCTGGCTGGCGGAAGCTAGTAGGAGGTCGTTGTTGTCGTTCTGCTTGTCCTGAGTAAAAGAAAGAGACCTGACCCAAGCTTCGTGTCCAGATAGAATAGCACGACGCTGGAAAATGGGCTTGTTGACGGACGCTTCTGCGACGTAAATCTGCACCTTGGTCGTGGTACCGGCAACCGCTAATACTAGTGGACCACCTTTGACGTCGTTCTCGAGAGTTCGCAGGGCCAGAGTCAATGGGAAGAATCGAGGCGTCATCGTAATGGTATCGAGCAGCTCCGACTTCAGTTCATCCTGCGCATTGATTCTCCAAATGCGAACCGTTCCATCTGCGGCACCCGATGCAATGATATCACTCCCGTCTGCTACGGCTATCGCGTTCACGGAACTCGTATGACCGGCGAGTGTAGATAGATGGGTATAATTTCGCGAATTGGTCGGATCTTGGCGCCATAGTCGAATTGTGTGATCAACGGAGCCGGTAATGATCAATCTCGCCCCGGAGGAGGGGCATGTGTAAAATTTAACGACGCTGACTTTGTCGGTGTGCCCAACTAGTAGGGCGTAGACACCTCGTTGGGAGGATTCCTACAGTAACTGTTAGGTCCACATTTCATGTCGTAGACAACTTCCTTGGACTCAATCAAGAACTTACCAGAGGTTCCCACAAGGCGACATTATTGTCCGCTCCATAGGCAAGCACTCCGGACTGGACGTCCCAATCCGCAGCGCCGGGGTGTCTGTTTCCACCGACACTGATATAGTCTGTTGCAACAGACGCCATGGTTTGTAAGGACCCGAATCCACTGCGCAGGAAGTGCAGTTGACGTTAACTCTAGCAGTGGCGGGGAAAAGAGCTGTCGCAAAAGATAATTGTAAGGTGGAATTGGCGCCGCTTATCGATAAGTTCTTCCGCCCTGGGAATTTGAGAGCCCCTCCTCCGCCTCGCCGCAACTCCCTTCCTATTCCAATCCCTCCTCACCTTGAATCTTGACGAAAGTGAGACGCCAGAACCTGATATAAACAGAGCTACTTGGCTTTATTTCGATCTGAAAAAACTATGGCCAATTCTACCAACGACGGCGCGGCCGCCACCGTTTCAATTACCGTCGAGTTCACGTACCGTTCCCGCAATGTCCCAGATTACTTGCAGCCTCTAACCAAATCTAATAGTGGTGGACTCGAAATTCTGTTTTCCAATGAGCGCAAACACACTATCACACTCCCGGCCCGTCTAGACGATGCAAGCCAGCCGACAATTGCATACCTACTTCAACACCTAGTGGACAATCTCATGAAGGACGACAGGAAGGAACTTTTTATCATGGAAGACAATGTGTATGCGCGATCTATACCCCCTCCCGGAAATTATATCACAGACTTATGATTTGACAGCCGACCTGGAATTCTTGTCCTGATCAACGACGCCGACTGGGAGCTAGAGGGCGAGGAGAACTATGAGCTTCAACAAGGGGATAACATTGTATTCGTTTCAACTCTGCATGGAGGCTAGATCGGCATGATATTAAAAAACGCATTGACGATATCTGGAAGAATTTATTGCTATCAAAGATGTGCTCAAGACACGAGAAAGGAAGTTTAGCCCGAGGCCGTGTCATGCCAAGAGTGAGAGAGATCCCATCCTTCGATGTGAATGATTCCTACACAACATCTTCAACATGCTGCTGGGAGATCCTTTCAGGCTCGCGAGGGGTACGAATTCCACTCGGAGTACGGAAACCACTCTGGGGCGTTCCCTGGCCATCTGGTGGGCTTCCTAGGCCCTGGATAGGAGACACCATGCCGCTTGGGGGCACTGGGATCTTCAAATCCTCAGGCGATGCGGGTATGATCTCTTCTGGAAGGTCCGGGATATGAATTCGGCTTGCCTCGTTTTGGTAGCTTTCGGGAATGATCTTTAATATAGTTTGTTAGCCACTGAATTGAACAAGACATGATTGAGTGCACGGTATACCTCAATTATTTCATCACGAGGGAACTCAAGGAAAGGAATATCGGCAGCATTACAGGCCATGAGATAGCCATATAAGACGCGCAGTACACTTTCGTGAGCAATAATGAGCAAGTCATTATCTTCTCGCTCGAGTTCGAGAATAATCGGTTCAAGGCGGACAGCCAAGTCATGGTAGGACTGATGGGGGTTAGCCAGCGGGTCGGTAATTTATCATAGTCGACAATTCGTATTCATACCTCTGCACGGGGGTAGCGATGGTGGTAAGGATCCAGCTCATGCTTCGCAACTTCATCGGCGAACTCGGCCCGAATCTTGTTCTCTGACATTTTCTCGCAGACCCCTGGGTTGAGCTGGCTCATCTGGGACCGTTGTCGAACTTTGTAGCCCCTCTCATAGAGGTATCTCGCAGTTTCCACAGTTCGGCGCCTGGTTGATGTCCAAACTTTCAAAGGTCGGAGTTCGTAACCCGATTCGCCTCGATCGATCATCGCTTGTTTCTCTGATTCTCGGTGGGCCATCAAGCATTCAGTCATCTTTTTAGCATAATCCTCCCCTTGGTCGGACAGGGAGGCATCCGCTTTGTACGAGTCTGCATCAAGCGAAACACCAGCCTAAATTTGCGATTAGAACATCCGAAATGTGTACACGTATGGTTCAATCTGGAGGAATCCCATACCCGTGCAAAATAAGTTCTCCTGGATTTGATGTGAAGGTTCAAAAGATAGAAGACGATCCGATTGGACAAATATCCAAAGCTTCGGTTATTCACAATGAGTCTCTCGCCAGCATTCATCATCTGCATTCCTTTAGTTAAACGACTTGATAAGTGATCGAGAATGCAAACCTTGATGTAGTTCAAATCCTTCTCCTCCATAGTTTGGAATTGAGGAATGCGCGATGATATGCGAGTGAGGTAATGCTTAACAGCATCCTCCGGAGTCCATGAAACGTACTGCAATGTTTGTGAGCTCTTTGTACAAAATTCCATCTTGATGGTCCAGGTTCCACTCACATCGGGGGACGAAATCTTAACTCGACGGACATTCTCCTCAATAATCTTCTCGTCGTCACACCATGACTCGATGAAAAGCGTCTGCGTATTATTGTCAATATCATAGCACCGAGCTAGAAAGCAAATCACGGTTTACCTCGATGTCGTGTTTTGCAAATTCTTTGGCAAGCGAGCGCCGTCCCGAAGCGAGAGGGTTCACAGCATCATAAATGGCAATTTGGCCGTTTTCGTGGTTCAAAAAGTGGTAGATGTCTTCTCGGCATTTTCGCACGATTTTCTGGCGTAGGAGAACGGAAGAAGCGGTGGCTAAGGCACAGTTAATATCGTAATCTATCTAGATCAAGATGGGTCTAGGGGGACCACTTACCATTCACATAGAAATAATCATCAGGCATATCCTCACCAAAAGGGATAGTAGCACGGCGGTAATCGCCGAGATGGAATATCCTGGTTTTGACTCCAAGCCATCTTAGATACCGTGCCAGGGCCACAGACATATGCCTATTGTTTTTCAAGTGTCAGAAAAGTAAAATCCAAATGTCGGGGTGGTAAAGTTAAACGTACGTCTTTCCTCTTGCGGGTAGCCCTACTGTGATGATCACGATTCGACCGGAGTGGAAAAGTCGGCCGGACTCAGTGCTGTACAGCTGAGCTGGGGCAAGGTCGGCCTTTTCAGGCAGATCGTGAATCGCATCGACGAAGATTGAAGACTTGCGCCGGAATTGCGGCGAGTTGGCCACGATTTCCGCGGTGCTGGTTGACGTCAGTTATGTGTCGAACGAAGAGCCTGCTTTCCTGACGCAGTTTCAATCGCTAGGAAAACGGATATAGCATTCAATCAAGAAGCTGCGTGTACGTAGCGAGCGGCTTCCAGTCCCGCATATAACAATGAAAGAGTGGACTTACAGTAAGGTATCCATGATGGCGGGGCTGAAGAGGACTGAACCGGGAAACCAGCGGTGGGGGTCACTTTGAGATACGATATATCGGAGTGCTGCACCGGTACAAGCAGTAGTAAGAGTAGAAATTACTCGCAGCCTTCCAAAGGGCCAGGTCTTTCCGCGATGGGAGGAAAGTTAGGGGGATGAAAGCAAGGCACGAATGAAGGCGGTCCAGGCAATCACGGTGAGTAGATATCAGGCGGACCCATATAATTCGTCGTGTCCCCCAAAAAACAGGGTAAAATAAAGAACCATGTACAATTCAACAGCCACAACTATTTTCCAAATGCAAATTTGGTATAACAGATCGGTATTTATTATTCTACGGAGCTTAACATTCAAGAAAAAAACCCCTTTTTCCCAACTTCTTTCATGTTATTCGGTTTCCCCATAGTTCACCACCCCGAGAAGCTCCGGCTTACCTAAGAATCCGGCGGGCGGCAGCGGCCAAAAGCGCGGAGGAAGGAACTGGCATTTTTCACGGGAAGACTTCAGCTCCGCTTCATCCAAACCAATCCCCCGACTCCCCCGAGCGGTTCAATAACAGCTCTTTCCCAATTTCTACCTGATTTGTGACGTTCGCTCGTCCCAAATCTATCGGACCGATCTCAATTACTCTCCCTTAACGCCTTGATTGTCCTTTTTCCGCAACCTCTCCGTTGAACGGCATCGCGTGACGACACCTGTATAATCTCTACCTCTCCAATCACAAAATGTCCGATATTTCATCATCTCTCGGTTTCGTGACCGAGAACCCTGCCATGGCCGCGATCAAGGATGCATGCAACTCCTTCTCTGAGCGGAGGGCGTTGCTCAACCTGCCCAACCCGGGCACCGTGGATAACATCGCGAGGGAGGTGCAAAAGGAGGTTCTTCTGTCCAACTTCATGTTCACAGGTCTTCGCGCCGACTTGACCAAGGTCTTTGGCATGAATCCTCTCTTCCGTGTTTCCCACGCGTTCTCCATGGGTTCTTCCGGTAACCTGCCCCCATACGCCTTCTCCGCCATGTACGGAAGCCCCAAGGTAAGCAAATTTCATCTCAACTTGCGTGTCAACGCGATCATCTTTGATCCGAGAGTCTAACTGGTTGTTTTTTTTCTACCCATTAGATCTTCATGCAAGGTAACCTCGGCAGCGATGGTACCCTCTCCGCCGTCTACAACTACCGCTGGAACCAGGCTCTGGTTACCAAGACCAACGCCCAGGTCATGGCCGGTAGCACCCAAGGCCTTCTCCAGATTGACAACGACTACACTGGCGCCGACTTCTCTGCCTCTCTGAAGGCCTTCAACCCTTCTGTCTTCGAGGGCGGTCTGACCGGTATCTTCGTTGGTAGCTACCTCCAGTCCATCACACCCGGTCTGGCTCTTGGTTTCGAGGCTATCTGGCAACGCCAGGGCATGACCGCTCGCCCCGAGACTGCTCTGTCCTACTGCGCCAAGTACAAGGGTGACGACTGGATCGGTACCGCTCAGCTTCAGGCCCAGGGCACTTTCGCCGCTACCTACTGGCGCAAGCTCTCCGAGCGCGTTGAGGCCGGTGTCGATATGAACCTCCAGTTCGCCCCCAGCCCTGCCGCTATGATGATGGGTGGTCCCAGCCGTGACGGTACTACCTCCATCGGTGCCAAGTACGACTTCCGCGCCTCTTCTTTCCGTGCTCAGGTCGACAGCACCGGTAAGGTCAGCTGCCTGCTTGAGAAGCGCATTGCCATGCCCATCTCTCTGAGCTTCGCTGGTGAGATTGACCAGGCCAAGGTACGAATATTCCCAGCAACTTCTCTCTTACCCATCAACATGAATGCTAATTGTGTGTCTTATAGCAAACGGCCAAGGTCGGCCTTGCCGTCTCTCTGGAGATCGCCGGCGAGGAGCTGATGGAGCAGCAGGAGAATGCTGACCCCGCCAGCATGGTCCCCCCTCCCTTCTAAACTCCTCTCCTCGTCTCATCGAGATCTTTCTCTTCTCAAGATTGGTGCATCACTTGACCAGCACCTCTCGAGCTAATCACCTTTCGACCTCTCTGTTTTATTAGTTATTCGCTCTCCCCCTCCCCCCAATGTCTGGAATGGCATGGCATGTCACTTTTCCTCGGTATATCCCCTTGTCTCGGGTTGCTGGTGTAGGCGGCAGTTGTTTGGCGCCATGGAGATTCCAAATGTTTGTTCTTTTCTGTATAGATTCACACTCCGTTTTCCCTTTCTGGTGGGCCTTACTCTCTCCACCCGGCATTTCAACCCCGCATCTCCCGGCAATCTGTTGGTCCGTATCTTTGTTTATCTCGTTATGTGATGTTATTCAATGGTCATATGTGGCCGAAATCGTGAGGGTCAGTTGCAATGCGGGAGGCTTGGTGGATGCCTCGGGTGTTGTGGTTATGGTTTCTTTGCATCATAGACGGACCAATGTAAAACAATCTTTTTTCGACTTAATCTGATTCAACGTATGACTTGAGGCATATCAAACTTGTAGTTAAAAAAAAAAGAGTAGTACCACGACGCTGCGACTGGTAATGGTGGCTGTTACGAAGCTAAAAGACTTCTTGGTAACCTAAAGAGCTACTAGCGGCTACCTTGGTATGTAGTATATGGCTATTCCATGAGGGCAAAGTTAAACTTTGCAAGGAGACAATCGATGAAAGAATAACAATTGTGATTCACTATATTCCATATCACTAGGTCCTTCAGAACTTTAAATTGAAGCATGCCCCAAAAGCCCAAGACTCAAGGCCTTCTTCCGATCTTTGTTTTCATATATTCAATCAATCTACATGTCATCATAGGCTCGATAGGCTCGTCAATGAACACGTATAAACAATCATTCCGCTCCAACAAGAAACGTACGCACGCACAACATCATCCATTTCGAGCATCGTGCCTCCCAAAATGATCGATGGACTGTGGATTGATGGACTGCAGAGAATGCGGATTGATCCTGCTCGTGTCATATGTTCTATGCTGAGAGGGATAACTCCATGGACGTTAAACTTTCTTTTATCCACGCCCTGCCAATGATCAATGGAAGTCCGTATTAGTGTCTGCCATTCAACTGTTTGATCAGTCCCCGTCGAACAGGGTCATGGAATTCGGAAAATATATTGTGTTTGTCGATTTCCATGCTGTCAACAAGGTCAAGGTCGAGGACGTAAGCCAAGGGGGGGTGATAGCGGCCCGTAATGGGCTCCCTGCAGGATCGTGGTCTCGTCGACGAAAGACAGTGGAGGATGGGGGATGGTCGATGGGAAATGTAACTGCAGTTGATGAGATGTACGCAAGCCAGAGCAGTTTCTCCATGGGATGCTTGACAGTGCTCCGTACCAGAGTGATAGTCCAGTGGCCCACAGCATCTTCTTTGGCAAGTTCTCTTCGAGAGTGGGGTCTCGTAAGTCCATAATTATCTATGCATATGCATGGCTAGGTGAAGTTATTCTCTCATAAGAAGATCTTCCTTGCTCCAAGCTTACACCAATTCATTGCCTCACCATCGTCTGGATTCCAGACTTGGAAATCGTGCGAGTCACAACCAGGTCGCTTGAAAATAAGGATAGCTCTCCCAGGCCAAGCATGCTCCATTGCAGTTCCGAATGAGGTTGAGGTATGCTTTCCAGGGCCAAATAGATTGACATGATTACTCTCAACGATAACCTCCATGAAGAGGAATGATGCGTAGACGTGAGCATTGTGGGGCATGCCTCGGTAGAGTTGGTTCTCGTTGAATAAGTCAGGGTAAGAATCTTGAAGGCATTTCCGTTATCATACTGAGGAGAATTTCCTTGGCTTTCTTCTCTTGTTCGTTCGCACCGATCCTGTTTGACGGCTCATTCATGGCGTGAATCAGTCATAAACATCTGCCTTTCCTTCCGGATGTCTTTTTTGTCGAGATTTGTCGATATCCTCCATCGCGAGATCATCCTCAACGTGCACCGAAGGTCCTCTGACAATCGGGTGGCATCTTCGGCCATCCAACACCAGTCCAAGCATGGCATTAATGCGTGCACGCACTTGTGCGGCCTTGGCCGAGTTCTCATCAGCCTTGCACACCAGGGTTCATGGGAAAGCCCGAAATATTCGGGTGTGACTTTGCGGCTGCAGAAAAGAAGTTTCTCCCATAGTGGGAGGTCCAATGAGGCCCAAGTTTTGGCTTGTGAGCCACATCGGACTCCCAGTCTTGCGGGAAGTGGGAGTGAAAGCGAAAGGGCTAGGTCTCGTAATTGGAGGGCATTGTCTGATTCAATGGATGAGTAAACAAATCATTCTCAAGACAAGAAGTCACTCACTGAGTGCCCAAATAGTTTTCAGCACCGTGACAGCGACAGCAAATTCGACTGCAGTGTCGTTGAACCTTTTATATTGAGTCGAAAAATATATATCTCACGGGACATTTTAGCCCCATCAAACCCAGCCTTGTCCTTCATTGGAACAATCTTCATTCAACACAAGAGGAGATACAGCTACCCCAATGTCATCGTCCACGAAACAATCGAATCCGACTCCATCCAAGTTGCGCAGAGAAGGCTCCGAGTTAAGAGAGGGAATCTGGTCAGCAAGCAAGTATTTCGGTCGCGTGTAAGCGCTTGGATCTCTTGACAAGCATACGAGGATACGCTGGAAATGAATCACCGAGCCAAGGGGCATGAGAAAGGGATTAGGCTTGATAAGTGAAAAGATTTGTCTGACTTTGATCAGCCATGAAGAGATAACGAGATAGTTGAAGGAGGAAAAATGGAGGAAATGGGAAATCTACTTAATTACGGAGGAAAAATGCAGGGGGGGGGGGGGGCAAGAGCGTTCAAGTTATATGGAAGGCACACCCAAGGCGCAGGAGCGTTGGAGTTGCTTGGATCCCGGGCAAATGAAAGCTGTTGGAACAAACATGATGAAATTTGCAGGTCAGGAATTGGAAACATGCAGGACATCAAGAGCTGTAGTCTCTTGCTGATTGTCTATCAGCTCAGGAATAACATGTTCAAACGAAGAGCAATATCCCAAAGAAGCATATTCTACGAACTCAAACACGACCCCCAAATATCCTTTCGATATCTTCCAGACTTCATGAAGCTACTAGTACTAGTAGTTATTAATAACAAAGCGCTTGTAATTAGATATTGTCGCGTTAAGCCTGTACATGCGTTTTCTTATGACCACGTCGAGCTTGCAACCTACACATACTAGTGTGAAGAAGTAGGCTTTATGCCAGGTAATTTTCCTGCGACTTGCCACTTCATATTCAAAATTCCTAATAAGTGATATGTAATCTACCGAACGTTTGTTTCGACAGTTTGATTTTTGGGACATGCCGCAGATGTTATTGAGAGTGCCTATTGTTGAGCCCAATACGACAAAGATGACTATCATGTAATTTTGCCCAATCGCAGTTTGGCATACATATGATAAACAAAATTTATCCCCTTGTGACTCCTCCGCCAAGGCTATACAAGTCAGGTGTTGTGAGATTCCTTTGTTAGCTAGCAAAGTATTGAGTAACAGCTATTTTCTTTCACCAAGGCTGCAAATTGAGTAAGTACTACTTTACTATGGAGTACTTCATTCACACTAACTTTATCTGTAATAGTTAGTAATAATAATAGAATACCTGCACTAATACTACTAACCGACCAGTCCCAGCCCGGCACATTGTGGACAGCCCAGTTTCCGAGGCGCCGGCCGTATCACCTGACCCGCACGCACCACCTCACCCTAACGCGCCTTGTCGTGGTGCGTGTACGAGGCAACCGAGAAACCGCCCTGTATGGTCTTGGCTGTGGTGGACAATTGTGGGTCGTGGGTCTCAAGGGTGGGCTGCTGGAGACCTGCGCCCGCCAACGATGGCCCAAAGATTCCGGAGTGCAGATGTGGGCAAGGTCTTATGCATCTCCTAGGACATACGCAGAATAGGTGCAGTGCAGAGCAAACCGTTCTGTTCGGCTTCGTGGGACCTCCCCCCCTCCACCCCACCCCGCTCCCAGACCCAGCGTCTCTCTCTCGGCGGATTTCCATTTCTTTTTCTTTTTCTCTCATCCCCATTTTTTTTGCTGGTTATGTATGGGTGCTTGCTGCACATCTCCACTCGCCAGTTGAAAGGCTCGACCCAAGGTTTTACCTGTCCTGCGGGCGTACGAGTAAGCCTGGGTGGTGGTGGTAATCCCCCAGCCCCAGGGCAGGGGGCTGCCGCGCGACCACTGACTGATTTTTGCCTCCCAGTTGATTTGGTGGCTTCGGTTTATCCGCGACAGAGCAGAAAGTAGGAAAGTCACTAGCAGGGATTGTGTCTCGTGTGCTTTGTGCTAGGTATACTGCCACTGAGATATGTGGCTGGGGCATGTTCTGCAAGTTTGGGGGCGTTTTTTCCTATTTTTCCTATTTCTTTTTCTTGGCTTCACAGGAAAACTCAGGTTTCATGTACATACATCTTTCGAAGTTGATAGAAATATAAGTAATAGATTCCAATTCCCACACTATGTAACCCCCTCCCCTCCTACTTTGACATCATTCCCCGGCCGTTGACTCTCGTCCGTCCTCCGGGTTTGTCGACCTGCATTGACCTCCCGGGCCTTTCCTGCGGGGGCCACAGAGACCATCAAATGAACGGGAGGTACGGAGTACGAAGTCAACAATCGCGGATTTACAGTTTCAAGGGCGGGGGCCCGAGACCCTCCTCACCCCGGGAATCACCCAATCGTGACCGGGACTTGTTCGCCTGCGCGGTAATTTCCTCGTTTCCTTGAAATTGATTGTGGATAGTCCCACTTGGATCTGAACCCCGTTGGAAGGAGATAAATTTGAATGAATGGTTTGGGTTTAGGTGGTCGTGTGGGAAAGATGGGCGATGAGCCCCGGGTAACTAACTACTGTAGACACATGTGGAACGTGCACGTATGTACCTTGGAAATAAAGCCTGGATAATCTGTACAGTACGAATTATTGGCTAGGGCATGTCACTGTAGGGCATTTACAACATGTGACATGGCATGGGTAGTGACTAGGACTAGTAGTTACGATGTACGGAGTAAGTGCAAGGCTGCTCGTACTGCAGAGACAGACAGATGGATCGGCCAGTGACGTTATGGGCCGTGCTCCACGTTGAAGAGCCCAACATCACCCGAAAGGGTATGGGTTCTCCAATAGACGCGATACCGTTCGGAAGACCCGTGTTGGATGGAGTACATAGCATGCCTAGCGAGAGACAAATGTATTTGGATCGTCGCCAGCGATGGTAGATCTTCCCTACTAGTGTTAAACAAAACAATGGCCGGTCCTGAGGGAGAGAAGAAGAGAAAAAGAGAGAGAGAGAAAGAAAATCGGATCCCAATCTCGGGAGTACAGCCAATGAGCCGTGTCGGGAATCATGATTCGCATATTTTGGGTCGGCATTCCTCGTATGTACCTAGCTGGCCACTGCGGCCAGGCTTTGAGGCGAAATGGGAGCACAGTCCAGCACAGCACAGCACTTCGCCTTGCCCATCCATATTTGGTAATGTACGGACAATGAAATTCTAAATTCTTCGCCTCTTACGATTGTGGTATCTGGTATGTGCTTCGGGAATGTGTGATGGCCCACGTGTCTGACAAGAGGATGGATGAATGTTGCGAATTGCGAATTCGATCGTACGCTGTACCTTGTTGGTCCATGGGGAAAATAACAACTGGAACACATGCCGGGCCGTGCTGAATTGAATAGACATTCCCCCTCGGGTCCGAGCCATCGTGCATGGGAATGGGGATGCATAATTTAATTCCCATGCCGGGGCGAAACCCAGTGGTTCAGGAACACGGCACGATCGGTGCAGGGAAACGGTATGCGGGAAATTGAGGTCCACTCGGAAATGTACAGACCAGCAACGAGACGAAACATCAGCAACCGCCCAAGGAAAAAGTAATTTATTTACCCGTATCCATGGCCAGGGATTCTGGGGCCGGATTAGTATTGAACGATGGCTGGTTCGTGGCTCCGAATAAGTCGGGCCCGAACAGTCCCAGTCCAGTGTCCCGACTACGATGGATGGATGACTACGGAGTACGGAGGACGGAGTGCATATGTCAAGCAAGTAGCTAGTAAACTAGTTAGCTGACTAGCAGTGGCAGTGTTAGTACAGAGAAACTATCCAGGGTAAACTTGAAGATGAAAGGAAAGAAGACGTCACTATGGGGATGACAGCAGTGTCGCCTGACAGATGAACTGTGGCAAACTAACGGTCTGGTGATGTCGATGGCCGCAACAGGCTTTAGTGCGAGGGGAAAAGAGAGGACTAGCAGTGGCTAAAGTAAGTACCTACTAAATAGATACAGTCTATGGTTATGATGGGTTATGGATTATTGGTTATGGTTTTATGGTTCTGGCATGGTAAATACGGAGTGGTACAAGGCCCGCGAAGCTGCAGGTGCAGCACGGTCGCCTCTCAACATTAACCTTTTCAGCCAGGTGCAGTTCCATCTGCATTGCTCGAGAGGAGCTGGACCTCAACGGCCCTGACTTCCCATTATTGGATCCTTCACATCAGGGGCAGAAAAAGTTACTTCGTGAAACTTTGTAGGATTGGAGGGGGAGAGGGAGAGTGCAGAGATTTTTTTACTTTAGGTACTTTGTTTTTTTTTTCTGACCTCTGCTTAAGCTTAGGGACATATTCGCAAACTAGTCACAGAGTACCAGTATCTCCTAATCTGCTCGGGTGACGATGACAGTGACGGTGAGAGTGACGGTAACGGTTCCGGCTTGGGCCAATTCCTCAATTGCTCCAGACCGAGACATGGCCCGATGCCGAAGCACTGCTGCTGCTGCGCATCAGCTACTAGTAGGTCCCAGCTTCCCAGCTCCTAGTCCCGACTACCCAGGTACCATCCCGGTGTAGTGGCTGGAATCCCAATCATTCGGAGCGAGGCGTCGGCTGAGATCACTTTGTCCATACATGCCAAGGGGATCCCTGCACCGGGATGCTAGAATTGTCGGGGATCGACGGGCGGTGTTGGGCTGCCGGGTCCCGTTCATGCCGTATCTCGCATGGCATCAAGATCGACGAACAGATGAATCCAGTAATGGCAGATCCAATAAAAGAAAATAGAAATAAAAATTAAATAAAACTGTTTTTACGGATGTAAAGAAAAAGCAAAGCCAAGCGAGCCGCGATCGAGACCGCGAGGGCGACTCGAGTCAACTCGACAGTTTTCCGTCGGATCGGGGACTGGCCTAAGCTTCCCAAGTCAGCTGGACTCGATGACATCGTGTTGGTCACGAGGGCGGCGGGGCCAATGGCGGTGGTTCCTGAGAAAATCACGGCTGGTCACCCGACTTGCAGATATACTGTTACTATAGCCCTGGAGTAGATGGAGTCTGTAGTGACTGACAGCGTACTAGCTAGCTATACAATAGAGAACTAGTATGTATATATATACTTATAGATTTATATCTAGTATAGCTAGCACTTGACTGTTGTAGTCAATACACATAATACACAACTGTAAAATACAAGATACACTGTATGAGGGAAATCCTCCACCTCTCACTTTCATCCAATCCCGGCAGCGATGATATCATGTTCCGCCGCTAATAACGGTACGGTATTCGTTATACCGTATTTCCAGCTCGACCCTATGGTAAGCACCCAGAGAGACAAGGGAAAACCCCCCCCCCCAAGAGAATACCAGCTCCTTCTTTTAGAGGGGAAAGAGGAGGGGGAATAGGGCCAAAAAAGAGGGATGAATGGAGGAGGAAAATAGATCAGATTGGAGTATACGCTACTCTTCGCCCCTCACCAAAAATAGTCTATAAAGTGCCCCAGTGGTGAGCCTGAGCCTGAGCCTATATACAATCAATCCAATACCCGCGGAGGTTATCGTACACTGCTTCATCGCCCCTCTCTTTCTTTCTTACACCCGTAGACTCTTTACCTTGTCTGCTGCTGCCCTTCTCTCTCTCCCTCTCTTTCTCTCCCCCTCCCACACTTCATCCACTTTCTATTCCCAATCCATCCTCCCCCGTTTTTACCCCCCCATAACTACAACCATTAGCTTCCCCCTCCGTCTTCCCCCCTCCGTCTCTGTCCCTCTCGTCAAGTGGCCCCTCTTACACCCCCCCACCCACACCCACCTAACTCTACACGGAGGTTCATCTGGTGTACCACTTCTTCTGGGCACAACGTCACTTCCGACTCGCCCTGAACCCGAATTTGGTCTTGGTGTCCCGTCGAACCCGCCCACCATCGAACCCTCTCCATCTCCCCTCATTGGCCCGCACCTTCTGCTGTCCATCACCCATTCACCTCACACCTCTTCCTCTTCTTCTCTCTTGGCACCTCTCGTCGTTTCTTCTCACCCCCCCCGTTCGGACTTTCCGCCCAACCCACCCCTCCCCTCCCCCCCTCCTAAGCTTCTCCACCGCTTAACCTCTACCCAAAACGGATTCTCTTCATCTTTCTCGATAGCACTTCCTCCCAGCGATGTCACAAAGTCGGCCTGGGCTGATCCCAAATTTGCGCATGGGTGGTAAGACAACATCTCCCATTCCCTGCCCTACCCTTCCTGTCCCCTCTCCTCCCTGCCGTTCCTTTGATCGGTCACGGCCGCGGTCACAGTCACGGTCAATTGTGCCCTTGGAATCCAGTTGGACTAACTCATCTTCGTCTCTCGTTCAGAGGTCATTCGCGAAAAGGTCCAAGATGGACTGACCGGCGAGGCCAAGGAGATCGCCTACACGCAATGTAAGATCGTCGGCAATGGCTCCTTCGGTGTGGTGTTCCAGACCAAGATGGCTCCCAGCGGCGAGGACGCTGCCATCAAGAGAGTCCTCCAGGACAAGCGATTCAAGGTATGGGCGGATTGACCCGGATGTCGGATCTCCCTCTGCGTGCCCAACACTCACCACCTATCTCTCCCTCTAGAACCGCGAGCTTCAGATTATGCGTATCGTGCGCCACCCCAACATCGTCGAACTCAAGGCCTTTTACTACTCCAACGGCGACCGGGTATGTGTGACGACTCTAACGACTCTCTGGCCCTCTCCCCGGGCGCTTCTTCCTTCCTCCCGCTGACCGTCTCTCCTCCCGCCACAGAAAGATGAAGTGTACCTCAACTTGGTTCTCGAATATGTCCCGGAGACGGTTTATCGGGCTTCGCGCTATTTCAACAAGCTCAAGACGACGATGCCGATGCTAGAGGTCAAGCTGTACATTTATCAGCTTTTCCGCTCGCTGGCCTACATCCACTCTCAGGGAATCTGCCATCGAGACATCAAGCCCCAAAATCTCCTCTTGGATCCCAACACTGGTATTCTGAAGCTTTGCGACTTCGGTTCGGCTAAGATCCTCATCGAAAATGAACCCAATGTTTCCTACATTTGCTCTCGCTACTACCGTGCCCCGGAGTTGATCTTCGGTGCCACCAATTACACAACCAAGATTGGTATGTCTCTCCCCCGTGTCTAACCAACGTTAGTCGATTCATCCTGGGTCTAATTTTGTGGTTCGCTAGATGTGTGGTCAACTGGCTGTGTGATGGCGGAGCTGATGCTCGGTCAACCTCTCTTCCCCGGTGAGTCGGGTATCGACCAGCTGGTGGAAATCATCAAGGTTCTCGGCACACCGACCCGTGAGCAAATTCGTACAATGAATCCCAATTACATGGAGCACAAATTCCCCCAGATTAAGCCCCATCCCTTCAACAAGGTTCGTATTACGACAATCCTGAAACCCGCTGAACAGGTATGCTGACCGTCTATCAGGTCTTCCGCAAGGCTCCCCCAGAGGCTATTGATCTGATTTCGGCGCTTCTGGAGTACACACCCACACAACGACTGTCAGCGGTGGAAGCTATGGTTCACCCATTCTTTGACGAGTTGCGGGATCCCAACACACGCCTACCTGACTCACGCCACCCCAATAACCCCTCCAAGGACCTTCCCACCCTGTTCGATTTCTCACGACATGGTGAGTTGACCCCGCCAATCTCCTTCTTTCTCTCGCCCGGCTGTAAATATGGCGGGAAAGGAACGACCGATGCTGACGATGAAATAGAACTTTCCATTACCCCCGATATGAACGCCAAGCTGATCCCACCTCACGCCCGCCCCGCTCTGGAGGCGCGTGGTCTCGATATCAACAACTTCAAGCCCCTTGCGAAAGAAGAGATGATGGCTCACCTCGACTGAGCGATCTGATATTACCTCGACGAGATACACGGCTTTTCGTGTTACGTTCCGCATCCGCCGGGGGCATTCGATAGCCCACCGACCGAATATCATCATTTCGTGAGCAGGAACGAATCGGAGACCGCGGACACCGTCGGGGTTGTATACTTCTTTTTGATTTCATCAGCCGGGTCGCATGGCGGGACTGCATCAGTCGCGGGCGATATCGAGCGTGAAAGATGGGGGAATGGATGACATCTGGTTTCATGGCTGAGCGGATAGCCGGATTCGGTTGATTTGGGGTGGAGGCTGATGATTGTCACGCAACGGTGGGAGGTCATGGCCTGGAGTTTATTTTTTGAGGTGTCTGCGACAACTCTTGGGAGGAAAAAGTGATACCCTTAACTGTGCAAGTTTGCCTTCCAGGATTGAAGACTGCATAGCTTCATCTGTCGAGGGAAGGAAACCACAAATGCAGCCGTCCTCGACACTCGGGACATTCGATATGCATCACCGATGGGTCTGGAGGCTTTACTTCTCATGGCGGGCCTCAGGGGCCTTCTGTGATTTCCTTCTCGACTTGCAGCACTAGAAACCTTGTTTATTTTCTTCCCTTTTGAATTTTTTTCCCTCACCCATTCTGTTCCTCGTTTTTTTCTACCCTTTTTCCCCTGTTGCGGTGCCATCATACTGGTCGGTCGGGCTTGGGCTGGTTCATCCCCTTACCCTCCCAACTACGCCAGCATGAAATGAGCTACTCGTTCCAATTCTGAAGCAGACGGTTTCCCTTGTTTCACCCGAGCCTGTAAATGTCTTTTGTACCGTAAGCGGCCATCTATTGATTCGGCATATGCATACATTGAATGCCTACGGTTCACGCACTGGCAAGATCGGCTGGGATTCCTGGATACAAAGTGATGGGTTTCATCTTGCCCCTTCAAAGAATCCCATGTGTCCGCATCGCAGGAAATAGCGCAACAGTTTTACCATAAGGTACCTACTTCAATGACATCCTTAATATGGTATCCATATCTCAGGTCACTAGTAAATTTCCACAAAGCGTATAGGCATATATGGAGTAACTAGTAATTCCATTACCGTCATCTTAAATTGTACTTGTGATTTTTGTTGATGCGTTCGGATCGGAAAATCACCCGCTTCCGAGCCCTTTGCAAAGGAAGCTCCAAGTCGGACATCCCGTCCATATCTCTTACTTCCAGTTCCAGATCCTCCCATTGTCAAATCTCAAGCGCAATGGCTGACTACGACCGTGACCGCCGGCATAACAACCACAGGGGAGGTGGAGGTGGAGGTGGAGGTGGGCGCAAGCGCCGCTATCGAGGTGAATTCTACACCCTGATCCATTGCCAACGCTCATCAGCTAGCTAACACGACATTACCCAGATGACGATGATTACGATCGCCGACCCCAGCGACGCAGATACGAGGAGCCGCTCTTCGTTCAGGTCCGGCGCCAACTGCTTACGATTGCCGAATCTGTATGTTCACCTCTCGATCCCTTCGCGCGTACCTCGCAATATGGTTATGGCCCTAGCTCGGAATTGTACGCTAATGCGCGAAATGCATTCTTTAGGCTGCGCGCAGAGTTGAAGACGATATTGTCGGAATCGCCAAGTCTGTAGCGGACCATTATGAAGATGAGGAGCTACGTGATACCCTGGTTAACATCTCTCTCGACCTGTACGTGATCACGCTTCTCTTACTTCCCAATTGTCAACAGCTTGCTAACCATTGGCTCTGATATAGCGTTCTGGAGCAGCCTATGAAAATTCCTTTCGTTGCCGCGGTCACCTTGGCCACTCACAACCTCAAGCCGGAGCTCAGCGCGGAGGTGCTCAAGAAGGCTAGCGACCTCCTGCAGAAACACATTGACTCGGGATCATGGCGCGAGGTCAAGCTACTCATTCGATTCCTGGGCAGCTTGCAACCTATATTTGAGGGTGATGGTATTTTCCCGCTTCTGGAGGAGTTCTTCGCCCGGGCGGCTGATCTCCAATCCGCCTCTTCCGAGGATGTAAGTAATGACTTATATCCCTCACAATTATTACTTAACTCTAATGCGTTTAAACACAGCTTCTCGGTTTGGAACTCGTCAAAGTCATCCTATTCACGATCCCGTACGTGATGTCTTCTCCCGCGACTGGCTTCGAAGCCCAGGCCTCGGCCCTTCTCGAGAAAACCGATATCATCGCATCGACTCCCCACGCTCTGGTCGACCTGGTCAATACATTCAGCCCGGACGAGAACAAGGAAGCCGCGGGTCCCAGTGTGATCGGCTTGATGCAAAGCCAACTACAAGCCGAAGCTGGTCAAGGCTGGGAGTTGAAGTGTCTGCCTCGTCCTTGGAAAAGCGTACAAGAAGAGAGCGAGGAGCAGAAGCCCTTCGAAGTCGTGACCAAGGTTCCTTTCCCGCAGATCACCGTTCCGAGCCCTGTTCCCAATGGCCCTCGGCCGCTTTTCCCGGAGGTCTATCTCTCGGTATACGCTGAACAAGAGATCTACACGGTACCTCCAATCTCGGATATCACATCTTCTATCGTGAGAGATGCTTTGGTAGATACTATTAACCTGCTTGACTTCAACCGAGTTGCCACAGCCAAGTATCTCATTGATATTGACTGTTACTTCACTCCTTACACATTCGTCAAGCGTGCGACTCCGTTCGACCGCATGCGTGATCTGGCTGGCGAAGGACAGTCCTGGAAGCCTGAGGATGTGGCTGTGGATGCAGTTTTCTCTCAATTGTACCAGCTGCCGACTCCGGAGCACAAGCTCGTTTACTACCATTCGGTTTTGACCGAGTGCTGCAAAATCGCCCCTGCCGCTATTGCGCCGAGTTTAGGCCGTGCTATTCGGTATCTCTATAACCATCTTGAAACCATGGATCTGGAGCTCAGTAACCGTTTCCTTGACTGGTTCGCCCACCATCTGAGCAACTTCGGCTTTACGTGGAAGTGGAGCGAATGGTAAGTTGCTTCTTGCTTCGAATTGTTCTGCTCCTTTTGTGGCAGTTTTGCTAAGCTAAGCTAACTAAATTCAGGGTTGACAATCTCGAACTCCCCGCTATCCATCCTAAGATGGCTTTTATTCACGGTGCTCTTGATAAGGAGATCCGCCTGAGCTTCGCGCAACGCATTAAGGGCACGCTTCTGGAGCCTTACATCCCCTTGATCACCGAAGGCAAGGAGAAGGATACTCCCGAGTTCAAATATCTGTCAGAGAGTAAGTCAATGCCTCGCCTAGTGAAGACATGCGGATCAGATCACAGCTAACATCAGCCACAGTGACCCCATACTCCAAGGAGGGCCAAGAACTTGGCCAACTCATCAGGAAGAAGGCCAGCGACGACGAGATTCAGCCCGTGATCGCAGCCATCGAGGAACAAGCCCAGGGCCTAGGCGTAGAGGATCCCAAGGTCCCCTCAACCGACGCCTTCGTCACAGCCATCTGCTTCGTCGGCTCCAAATCCCTCTCCCACGTCCTCTCCTGCATCGAGCGCAACAAGGACCGACTCCTATCCATCGGAGCCGCCTCCCACCAAGCCCGCGGCCAAATTATCACTTCCGTAATGGAATACTGGGCCGACCAACCAGGAATCGCAATCAACATCATCGACAAACTCCTAAACTACACAATCCTATCCCCGCTCTCTGTCCTAGAATGGGCACTGAACGAAAATATCGCCGCAGGAACAATCCTCTCAAAGCCACACATCTTCGAAATGATCTCCGCAACCGTGGGCAAAGTCACGAACCGCATGCGCCAGATCGTCGCGGCCCGCACTCAACCCGGTCTCTACGAGCCGCAGCTAAGTGTTCTCGAAGAAACGCTTTCCCGCGAGCGCGTCGAGATGCAGGCCTTGTTTAAGTTCATCGAGGATGCTATTGTTTCCGTTGCCGCGGGGAGTAATGATGAACAGATGGAGCGGGGCGATGGGTCTGGGGATCTTCCTGAGGATGCTATTATTCGTCAGTGGGGTCGGAGATGGCTGCGCGTTTTTAGGAGAAAGGCTGGCGTTGAGGAGGCTTTTATCAATGATGCGTTGGCTAGTGCTACGCCTGTTGGGACCGAGGCTCCTGCTCTGACTCAGGATGGGGATGATGGGGATGTTCAAATTGGTGATGCTGATGCTATTGCCGATGGCCAATGAAGAAAGGGCAGGCATGGTAGGGCTAGCTAGGCTAGGGCTGGGCTAGGCTGGGCTATAATAGAACCTGGAAATAGCGTGATATGATATGCAATTTGTGGTTTTCCTTTTTTTCAACCCTGTTTTGGCAATTGGATGATCTGATTGGTTTCTTCATTTCTTCACCACTTCCATCATCACCATTATTACCACACTCATCCTCATGTGGGGTGGGGTGGGATGGGATGGGATGGAATGGGGTGGACCCTCCCTCGTTCTTCATTTCTCGTGTATCACTGCATGTTATTACATTATCCGTGGATGACCGTGGCGTGGGGTAAATTCAATCTTGTCCTACGTGGGAATTTGTACACTATTGAAATTCTGAATTTTTTAGTTTCACCGTGGCTGGCTGGCTAGGTCTGATCGCGATCGCCAATTAATCTTAGAAATCAAGTAAGCCAGTCTTGTCTTGTCCTCTTGGGTTCAAGTTTGTTATTACGAGTTACCATATCATATGTTAGAAAGCAATAAAGGCCAGGAGAGGAGAGAGAGGAGAGAAGGGGAGGTGAACCTAGTTCATTCTATCTAGTTTTCTATTGTCTCTGGCTGGATACAGATAATACTCCGTAGGAAGATGAGACATGCCCATAATAATAGTATAGTATAGTATACTAGTACTAGTAGTATACTACAATCAATCCTATGATAATAATCCAATAAATACATCTTACTTAGATAATTATTTCTGTTCCTCCCGAGATCACGATCCCTATTGATTGCCAGCGGAAATAGAAGGGGAATTTCGCTTGTACAACCCCAACCCCAGTCCTGGCCCTGGCCCTAGCCCCAAATGCTGAGAATCCGAATCCCAACCCCGGTTAGATAGAATACAGGGGCAAATGAAAATGAAACCAAAGAAAAGGTGGTGGTGGTAAGTGGTTGTAGAAATGGAAGGAGAAAGAAGAAGAGAGAAGAGAGACAGAGAGAAAACAAAAAAATTAACAATATCAAAAAATGTCAAACCCCTCGTGGTATCATATACATCTTTAACAACAAAAAAAAACCAAATCAATGACATAAACCCCGTCAAAACTTGAACTTGAACCCCATTTAACATGAAAGCATGAGCCCGAATTAACCATACTAGTACCATATACCATATACCAGCCAACCAGCTAGCATATTTTGTTTTGTTTATTGGTGTGTGGTGTGTTTTATCACCTCATATCCTCCAACTTATACCCCGCAGCCAAAACATCCCCCCGTCGCTGATGCTGCTGGTGATGATGATCCAAAAAGTAATGCCCTTGCCCTTGCCCTTCATCACCATCACTACTCGAACCACGCGTATAAATCGACATCCCATCTTCATAACTGCCCCGACGTGTCTGCGTCTGCGAGCTATCCTCATCAGACTCCATTGAAGAAAGCCGACGGGTATCCAGATTCAGATTCAGCGCATCGCCCTTGATAATTCCAAGTCCGTTTCGCTTCGTAGTTGAGATTCGTCGATCTTTACCCCGCCCTTTAATCCCCTTATTGCTATTCTTGTAGAGTGTTGCGAAGTACTCCCATAATTCGCGGTCTTGGGCGTTTGCGGGCCCGTGTTCGGTTATTTGTGTGAAGCGCGCTGTTAAGGAGCGGAGGGTTGTTGTGTGGAATTTGTTTTGGTGGGACTATGCGGAGCAGAGGGAAGAGAGGTTAGTGAGGATTTTCTTGGAATTGTTTGTTTGCTGGCTGAGGCTTACCTTTAGATTCCCCAATTGTGTGAAATTCTTCCCACAGTCATCTAGCAAGCATGTAAATGGCTTTGCTTGGAGGTGAGTGGTCTTGTGGGCGCGGACATTGCCCCGTTGGGCAAATTTCTTATGGCACAGGTCACACTGATATGGTTTTTCGCCGGTGTGACGACGTTGATGGGTCTGTTGGGAAATATAATGTCAGCTGTCAGATTCGGATCATCCTTGCCCTTGTCTTGTGTTTGATCAAATCGAAGCAAAGCAGAGCGAATCGAATCTTATGCTTATGGAAGGGGGAGGGGTGGTCTTACCTTGAGATTGCCTAGTTGCGAGAAACGCTGTCCGCATGAAGGCTCCTTGCAGATCTGATGGAATGGAAGTGTCAGCAAGACGGTATAGTGGGGGGGGGGAGGAGGGGGGGCAAATATCTGATCTGATCTGATCTGCTCTGCTGCTTTGCACTGTACTCACAAATGGTTTGTCTCCGGTGTGTGCTCGCGTGTGAATATCTAGATGAGTCTTCTGGGCGAAACTCTTGCCACAATCCGGTAATGTGCAGGTATACTTGCGTTGTTTTCCGGATCGAGAGAGTTGACCTTCGCTGGTGAGGAGGCATTGTTGTTGGGACATTGGATTTGCGATTGCGTTTACATTTGCATTGACATTTGCGTAGATGGGATTCGGGTTCGGGTTTGGGTTTGGATAGCCGTGTGGAGCTAGTTGCTGAACCGAAGGGAGTAATTGCTGATGCTGAATAGGTGTTGGGTGTGGTGAAGTCGATGGCTTTGATTGAATAGCTTTCATCAAGACGTCGACACCAGTCGAGAACTCGATCGATGGTCCATCCTTCTTGTCTTGGGAATCTTTCTGAATTCCCGCTGGATGCGATAGCAGACCCAGCCCCGTCCCGGGCTCGGTCTTGCATACCTGGCTGATGGCATTTTTGGCGGGCCGGATGTCAGGTAGTGAGGGTGGTTGCTCTGCCAGACGAGAAGATGCGAGTGAAGGTGGCGGTGGCTGGCTGGAAACAAAGTACTGGTAAGGAGAAGAGTGGTGGTGATGGTGAGTATGGTGGTTCAAGGAGCCGAAATTGTAAGCGGGAGAAGGTTGGGTTTGGGTTTGATATGGCAATGAGTATGAGGTTGTGGTCGGATGGGAATAGTAAGGGAACAGGGGCGTATCCATGGCGCGACGATGGGGGAATGCGCCCACGTTATGGCCTGGGAATTCATAGGATACCGACTCGGCAGTCTCCATGATGATTCTTCCACGAGGGGGCGGTAATCAGGTTTCCTTTTGCTTTTTGTGAAAGGAACTTGAAGAGCGGGTACGAGTATAGATCTGAATATCCTTGAGATACTTTGTGGTATCGGTACTCGGTACAGCTGGGCAGCTAGGATGAACGCTTAACTCAACCTTGGAGAGAAAAGAAAAGGGATTTGGGTTCTGTCCAAGCAGGAGTTGCTTTTGGAAGCGGGATATAGAGACAGGCCAAGTGCAGGCCGAAGTGTAACTGGGGCCGGGGAGGGAGATCTATATAGTCCACTGGCAGCTTGACAGGTAGTGGTAGTGATAGTTCCCGGACAGTCTGCAGGTCATGGGAGAGTACGGATTACTCTGTAGGGTAAAGTGAAGAATGATTACCGACTAGTGGAGATCAGCCGGGCCCAAGAGATATCTTGTATGACGTTCCCAAGAAAAGGAGGGCAGTTCGAGGCCAAAGGTGCATGGGCGATCTCCCAGGGATCATGGATGAGGCGACGGAGGCGACCTGAAAACTCCCGCATCGTGGACGCATCATTTGTGCCACGGGGGTAATTAATAAATAATAGTAATAATAATTAATATTATCATAATAGTCATATTATTATCATTATTATTATTCCACGAAAAGACTAGTGGGTGTGGGTGAAATGGGGAAAAGTCTCGGTGAGCGTCGCACCAAATGGCAAATACTCCAACTGCCGCGACTGGCGACACTTCAAGTTAGGGTTCCTTCAAGTGTATCTTGTTGGTCCACTTCACTCTTCACTTCACTGGTCATATACAATATATCTGTTCCCATCAAATACATACTCATTATCCCTCTGACTATTGTATCCATGATCCTATGCTGTATATCTTCCACGAATTCTTTTTCCCAAAAGAAAAAACACTCCCTCGAGGGCGGGCCGGGCCTTCGGGCTTTCAAAGTGGACCAGCGATCTGCGACGACAGGTCAATTTACGGAGTATCGTAAGCCACTTTGGCGTTAGTCCTGCCCTCAGCAAGACAGGTCAATGTCAGCCCAGCTCCTATTGGCCTATGGGATCCCCCCTCCAGATGCGCCCGCCCGATAGTCGCCAATAGCGTCGATTCCTCCCCCCCCCATCGAATATCCTGGTTAGCCGCCCATGGCCCTGGAAATTCACTGGTCTCCGATCGGTCTCAGCTCCAGATCTGCCGTCGATCGGGGCTGGTATTGGTTAGTGTGTGTGCCTCCTGTGTCCTCTTAGGGTGCCTCATCCTCTTCTTTTACGAGTACAGTAGTAGTGTGCCATGGTTTCGGGGAAGGTAATCCGTACTTATGTATATGAATCCCCCACCCACTTTAAGTAAACAGAAAGGAACTTGAACATTATACGGAGTACTCCGTACATATGTATGGAATAGGAGAGAATACTGGCAGCTGGAGATGACATGACACACCCTGCCCCTGCACGACTTGCGTTTGCATTTGAAGGCGTCCCGACCACTCTGCTCCTCTCCTGTTCCTGCAGGGATCGGAGTCTGGTCACGAACTCCTGCCCAAATAGGCTGGTAATTACAGAGTAGAAGGGGAAAGGCCACAATTCAAAAAAGTGACAGCGCTCGGGGAGCCACACGACAGGACGGTTCCTGACTTGCGTGGGAAGAAGTACGAGTATCTACACTACATACACTACTGTACGAGTACATACGGCTGTGATGGGGTGCTCCACTCCCCCCATACTGATCGACCTGCCCTTTTTTTTTTCTCATACCCTGTAGCCTGTACGAGTAGCCTTTTCCTTTCCACCCCAATCCAGCGAAGATCACTCGCATCCTGTCAGCCTGTCAGTAGGCTCCGGGCTCCGCCTCCCGATGGTCCGCGAGCAACCATTTGCCTACTGCATCTAGGCTTTACCCATCAAGGTTAGGCTAGTAGCCATAGCCATAGCCATAGCCAGCCCAGACTCAGGGATGGGGGCGACAAATTCAAAAGGAAATATTTAGCGTGCACAGGACAGGAACCAGCGGAGTCGAGTCAAGTCAAGTCAAGTCAAGCCAAGTCGATCAGGGGGAGGACCAGACCAGGCAGATCGATTCTGACTCGGTCCTAGTCCCAGTATCGACATCGACATCGACGATCCCAGTCGACAGGTCACGATCCTGTCTGACACGGACCAGAGAGAGGCTCTGTGGCGATTTGGACGGGCAGGGGTATCTTTGCTGGGTCGGGTCCCTGAAGGTTGGTCCCCTCCCCTGTGTCACTTGAAAGGGTCTGTGTGGTGTGGTGTGGTGTGGTGGTGAGGTGGTGAGGTGATTTACTGGGGGATTTCGCATGTTGGCAGAGTGCATTATGGGAAACATGGACAAGGATAAAAAATGAGATGGAAATGAAATAGAATACTGTAGAGAGGAATCCGACAAATTCGAGCCCCAAACCTGGCTGCGAAGAAAGCAAAACAAGTCACATTGCGCCACGGCATCCATCCGCACCCTTTTACCGTCCAGTGTAGTTCGAATATCTAGAGAAGGGGAAGAGTGGAGTTAGTACGAGTTCCGTAAACCATCATCCATGACAACCATGAATTGGGATCAATTGGATTGTCGTAGCAAAGACAACAAACTCACCTCCAGATCCGTGCACGCATGTCTCCACTGCCAGTAGCAAAGAGATTGCCGGTTGGGGCGGGAGCCACCGAGATAACTATCCGCGGAGAAATGATATTAGCATTCGTCATGTCAGGGTCAATCATGGTCAATCATGGTCAATCATGGTCAATCATGGTCAATCATGGTCAATCATGGTCAATCATGGTCAATGATAAACCTAAATCGTTTTAGCTTATTAGACTCACCGGAGTTCTTGTGGCCCTGCAGCATCATCTGAGCATTGCCGGTGACCGGATCCCAGAACTGGACTCCACGGTCCTTGGAACCACTCATGACCCATTGTCCATCGGGCGTCAGGCAAACACTAAGCACAAAGTCCTACGGGAAGAAAGTCAATCAGTGGAGCTCAGGGGTGGGCTAGCCGTTGAAGTGCTAGTGCTAAGGCGGTAATGGGAAAATGGGGCAAATGGGGAATGGAGAATGGAGAATGGGCCATGGAGCTGGGATGAAACAAACCTTGTGGCCCTCGAATGTCCGAACGCACTTGCCGCCCTTCACGCCGCTGTGAGGGTGCATTCCTCGGGGGACGGTGAGCTCCCAGAGCTTGATAGTCTTATCCAGACTGCCGGAGACTAGGTCGCGACCATTGGGCGCAAAGGCAACCGAATACACGCTGTCTTTGTGGCCGTCAGGGTTCTCAAGGCGCTCCACCAGGTAGCCAGTGGTGGTATCCCAGACACGCACACTCTTGTCCAGCGAACCGGCAGCGACGTAGTGGCCGTCGGGCGACATCGCAACCGTGGTGACGCCATCCTCAATGCTGAGGGTGTAGACGAGCTTGCCGTCAAGAATATCCCAAAGACGCACAGTCTTGTCTCCACTGCCCGAAGCGATGTAACGTCCGTTGTTGGCGAAGTCGAGGGAGTAGATATCCTGCTCGTGACCGCTGAAGACATTCTTGATGGTGCGCGCGGCAATATCCCAGACCTACATTTTTGATCACATCATCTTGTTAGCAAACCACATCCAGACACAAACGACCAATGGTTGAAAGCTTACCCGAATCTGCTTATCCTCAGCACCTGTAGCCAGGTACTTACCGTCAGGACTGAAGCAGACACTGCGGATGTACAGGTCGCCGTCCTTGTCGACAGTCTCATCTTGAAGTGTCGCCACGTTCTGGCCAGTGGTCACGTCGAAGATTTGAGCAGAACGGTTGCAACCAGTGGCCAGATACTTGCCGTCGCGACTGAAACGAACACAGCAGACAACGCTATCGTGGTTCAGGTGGTGCACCAGCTCAACATCCAGTACACGCTGCACCTCCGGGTTGAACACGGCATACCAATCCGCACCCTCACGCTTTTGGGATGGGGGAAGGTCGTCCGGGTTCCAGTTGGCAAGCATGTTACCAACGCGCTCAGTACGGACAACCGACTGGGTAGGAGGGGTGGGCCGAGGGATCTGCGGCGAGGCGCGAGGATCCGGGTATGTGGCGGCGTGCGTCTGCTGGGGAGTAGCAGGACCGGGGACCGGACGACGGGCTTTGCCAGGGCCAGGAGAGGCAGTTGGGGGAGGCGGGGGCCCATAGCCTATAAAGGGAGAAACAAAACACACACGTTAGCCTCTCGGAAAGATTCCCCCAATCACTCTCACATACCGTTCACAGCAGCGCCAGGCGGATATCCTCCAAATGAGCTCTGCGGAGGCGGCGGCGCACCAGGCAGGGCGGTCGCGGCAGGCTGTTGAAGGGTCTGCTGGGCAGACTGCTGATCCTGGGAAGGGGGAGGGGCAAGACCGGGTCCACTACCTCCGGGGTTGGTCATGATACCACTGAATAGATTGCTCGGGCCGTGGCCCAAGAGATGGAGGCTGGGCCTGGGGGCCAGTATGCTGCGCGGGCGCGATATGGGAGACGGGTTGCACACCGCGAGACTCGAGTTCGTGTCGCAGCATTCGGATTTCGCCTTCGTAACTGTTCGCGCGAAGATATGTCAGCGACAAGGCCCAGCATAGTGGACATCATGGGACGAAACGTACTCTTGCTTCATCTTAATCTGAGTTTGCTCCAGCTGATAGACCTTCTGGCGAATCATCTCCATCTCCTGGAGCTGGCCGGTCACTGCGTCTATCCGTTAGAAAACAAAACGTTTCAGCGAAATTCGCAGTCTAGAAGTTGGAGCCAAGAGATTGGCAACGGTTTATGTGATGCGGACGATGGAGAGGGGGGGGGGGGGGGGGAGGTTTGATTGCATGTTCGCCCATTGCAATGAACCTGAGGGGGGAACCTGAGAGGGAAAGATATTCGGGTATAGAAGAGGATAACCTACACTGGTGTTCATATTCACCGGTGTTTCGTGACTGGCTCTCGAATTCCTGGCGCAGTTGATCCAGCAACTCCGTCAGGCGAGAGTTGGGAGCGGGGACCATTCCGCGGTGAGCGTTGTACATGGCGGTTCGGCGATTTGAAAGCTTCCGACGTAGCGGCAGAGGTGATTGTAGAGAAAATGACTTTTGAAAGGCGATATGGGTATCAGCGACAGCTCGCGACGACAGATCGCAGCTCAGCTGGATAGGGTCTCGATAACAGCGATTTACTGATGCGGCGATGCTGCTTGGTGGACGACACCACGCAGCTAGCCACAGGAGTGATAAGGCCGAACGGGGGCAAAAGAGGGAACGAAAGTCGTAAGTGGAGGGGTGTGGTTGAATGGGTGGTGGTGTGAGGGAGAGGGGGTGAGAAGAAGACCTGGGAGGTTGGGGGAGAGCGGGAAGTGAGGTGGAATTGGCATTGGCATTGGCCGCTGCCGTTGGCGCGAGAAGCGAGGCCACAGGCGATAGACGAACAACCGCTGGCGCTGGGACCAAGAGTGCGCCAGTACCCAGTACCACAGAACGCTACGTCAGGGACGTTTCAGGGAAGATCAAAGAGATTTTTACAAAGGGATTACTTTAAATTTAGTATTTCTGAAGATTAAAAATTATTATATATTTAAAGAAGGGGAAAAAAGAAAAGAAATACTCTAATAATCACCTATTAACCTAAACTTACAGAGCCGCATCCGAGGGCCCATTTCTGTAGAGTAGATGATGTCTTAAAAGTCCAGATCCGCTGAAGAGCTTTCCGGGAATGGAGACTGGGACTGAGACTGGTGGAACTGAAACTGGGCTGGAATGGAACTGGGACTGTGGCTACCAGACTTCAGGTAAGGTTGGATCGGCGCGGTTGCACGGCCCGGAGTGACTAGGGTGACTGGAGTAGAGTAGAGTATGTAACTCGCCTGTCCCTCCGTAAAAATGAGCATGGGATGCCTTGATGCCTTGGTGCCTGATATTTCTGTGACGAGGAATTGCCACTTTAGGCTTTAGGTTCCTGAAGATTATTTATGTACGGAGTACATCCTGCATATTGTGCTTACTCTAAAGTTTCTGTACTCTGTACTCTATACTCATACATTATATGGATTTATACATTCTTCGTATATGTCCAAGAGGTACCATGTAGTGGATTCCGCTTATGCAGGTACTAGACTCCCTTTTACCAGTCAATGGGCTGATCGGTCCCCGCTGGGAACCCATCCGATCTTTTTTTATTCCGACTTCCCCTATCTGTCCACAGAGAAGCGTGGCTTATTAAGGGTTCCAAGGTTCCATTCTCACGGCAGACCCCGTTCCGCGCTGGTGTGATGCGGGCAGAATTTATTATTGCCCCCCTCGACTCCAACAATTTCTCCCCTTTCAACCCACTCTCCTTTTTCCTTTCTTCCCCCTCCACTTTCGCTTCACCCGTGTGATCCGATATGGATATTATTCTAGAACTCTGGGACACCTTCATTGGTGATCGCCTCTATTCCTCCGTCCTCCCCGCCTCCCTTTCTTCCTCAGTCTCCCTGCCGGCATTCGCCAATGTCGCCAACAGTTCGCTCGCCCTCTTCGGCGCGTCGGAGCCATTCATCTATGAGCCCGCCACTCAGATGCTTCACTTGGAACCCTCCAAGTATGCCTATCTCAGTGCCTGGCCGCGGAATAACATGTACCGCCAATTCACCAGCTTCTTCTTGATCACTTGGTAAGCGCCACTTCCCCTGGTTCAAGACCGGCTTGGCAAGATTTTGCTACTTTGCTTCTTTGCTACGCCCTCAGAGACTAATTCATTGATCGCATTAGGATCTTCGGACTACTTGTCTACTTCGTCGTCGCCTCCCTATCGTACATCTTCATCTGGGACAAAACCACCTACAAGCACCCCAAATTCCTCAAGAACCAGATCTCCATGGAAATCAAACAAGCCATGGGCTCCATGCCCCCAATGGCCCTCCTGACGGCCCCATTCTTCGTCCTAGAGGTCCGCGGATACGCCAAACTCTACGATACTACTGCCGAGGAACCCTTCCCTTTCTACAGTATCCTGCAGTTCCCGTTCTTCATCTTCTTCACCGATTTCTTCATCTACTGGATCCACCGAGGCCTGCACCACCCGCGCGTTTACAGAACCCTGCACAAGCCGCACCACAAGTGGATTATGCCCAGCCCTTACGCTTCGCACGCTTTCCACCCCCTGGACGGCTGGTCGCAGAGTGTGCCGTACCACGTTTTCCCGTTCATCTTCCCGCTCCAGAAGGTGGCTTACGTCTTCCTGTTTGGTTTTATTAACCTCTGGACTGTGTTTATCCACGATGGCGAGTACGTTGCCAATAGCCCTGTTGTGAATGGTGCCGCTTGCCACACTATGCACCATCTGTACTTCAACTACAACTACGGCCAATTCACTACTCTGTGGGATCGCCTGGGTGGTAGCTACCGCAAGCCTAATGAGGAACTCTTCCGTCGGGAGACTAAGATGGGAGACAAGGAGTGGAAGCGCCAGGCTAAGGAGATGGAGTCAATTCTCAAGACCGTCGAGGGTGAGGATGACCGCAGTTACTCAGCGGATACGAAGAAGGATCTCTGAGTCTTCTCTCGCCGTGTGGGTTCCGGTTTCCCACTAACTCTGACCTGATCTGATCTGAGATTCCTCTCTCTTTTCTTGCACAACTCCAGATGCTTCTCCCTTCTGGACTTGTCTTCTTTTGAAACTGCATCGAGGCGCGAACTCACCTTGACTGAGCCCCTCCCCTCCCTTCGTTTCGTTAAAGTACATTAATTTCGCGCTGTGCACACCCCCTACACATATTTTAATACTCACAAAAATGGACCCCACACCTTGTTGGGGTCCTTGGTCTGCCTTTTATCTGTATATAGTTCTCAGCATGGCGACCAGAATGCATTTTGATGACGCGCAAATGGAAATTTAATACAGTCTTTCTACATAACAAAACTCTTGCATACATTATGTAGCCAGTAGCACCCTACACCATAGCAAGCTCCAAGATGATTGTCCTTGTCTGTATATCTGATTGCTATTTCTGCTAATATTTGCCAGAATTTAGGCTATAGAATCAGAGTCTATGTAGGCTCGACTCAACCCAAAGTTACTAGTTAGTGGTCTAGTTACTCAGCCCCCGTTGGGTGGTCTCCGTGGGTATGATATGTACATTCAATGATCTACCCTTATCCAAGGTACTCACTTGCTATCACTTGACCTAATCCCCCGTTGAATGATCACACACCTCGATCCTTCATTATGATGAAACCCATAAAAAGCCATATCCTGCTCAGTATTCGGCCAGACTTGCACATCGAAATGATCTTGGAAGCGATCCCGTTCCGGAGCCATAAAGTTATGCATTTCAACAACCCGTCCAGCCTGTTTGATATCACCACATTCCAGGACTGTCACTTTCGTTCGTAGTTTATACGATAACTCAAGAATACGGCGATAGAATATATCCTCGGGCCGGACGTGCCCCATGGCTGGAGTAGGAGTAGGAGATTGTCGAGATTGAGGCGGAGGAGGAGGAGGAACCAGAGCCAATTTCGGTTCGAAAAGCCTCACGCTTCGCGCAGTGGTCCCATTCCGGAAATCACTTGTCGAAATATATGGCGGGTTCGATATGAGTAGATCACACCCGGGTTCAAGGTCGAGGGGCGCATCTTCGCTCGTTCCTGTTTCTCCAGGTTGATCAAAGTATTCAGAAAGAATTTTCTCCACGTTTGGGATTCCTTCATCATCATCATCACCACCACCACTACCACCACCACCTGTGGGTAAGCCCAAGACATCCGCGCGGTGGAATTGTATATCGGTAGATGCACGATGAGTCAATAATCCTTGTTGCAGATTATGGTCCAGGTTTTTGCGGGCTAGGCTTAATGCTTTGGAACTAATGTCTATGCCCATTACGCGGAGGTGCTTGAATCGCGGGGACAGGAGGGCGTGGAGCAGGAGGGTTATGCAGCCTGTTCCTGTGCAGAGATCTAAGATCCGCAGCGGTTTCGGATCAATTTTGTCGGTAGAAGAACTCTCTGAGCTCATGGCCGTGGTCATGGCCATTTGCTCCACTAATTTGGCTGCTTGAATAACATAAGACTCTGTATCTGGCCTGTGCTCGAGTCAGGGATTGTAGTTCTTCAAATTTCAAAGGTTGTGTATGTGATAGTTATGTATCGTACTACTAGTACCACGCGGGAAAAGATTTTGGATTTCAGTCTACCCTACCTTGGGATTAATACGCCGGGTCGGCAGAGGATCTCTAGGTCACCAAATGGTTGGTCACCTAGGATATATTGGAGCGGGTAGCCGCGTGATCTTTGGCGGCACATGGATATGAGGTGCATCTTCCATTCTGGCCTTGTTGGGTTTGGTTCTGGTTGTTGGCGCGTTCGCGTTTGGCTGGTGCGAAGCGCGTGTTCGCGTAGCCAGCGAAGCTCATTGCGTGCTGATTCGAGGGTACGGCATTCTTTTAGAAGTAATGGGAGGAGTGGATTGTCCCGGTAGGCTTTTATGAGGGCGGAGGGGCGTATTCGAGGCATTTGATAGAAGGTGTGTGGTGTGAGGGCATTTTGCGGAGGGCGGTGCCAAGGATGAGTGGGGAAGACGGGATGGAAGGATGGAAGTATACGAGTACGGGGTAAAAAGATTCGAAATTCCCCGACACGACGGGAATATATTCACATTACTTTTACTTTAACTTGTCTTTTTACTGAGAGGTTTCTCGTGTTACTCGTATGTTGCGCCCGGCTTTTTATGGGGGACGGGATGATACGAGATAGTACGAATAGATCGTATACAATGTGAAGTCGGAAAGGGCAGGAAGGAAAATATAGAAACTAACACTGGCAGAGTACATTTACTACTAGTATGCATGTAAACGTATGTAACCAACACCAACATTAACATGCCATACTATCTATCAGGTAGTAAACACTCGCTGGTCATAAAATTAAGGATTATTGAAGAAACCCACGTTAGCGTCAAACCGGCCGGACGCGGCGCCAATCGAAGGAGGCTAACTCAAAGCAGCCTGGAGGGGTGGACCGTCCCCCATCCGCGTCATCAACGCCCTAGCACGTACGCTGCGTACGTATGCCAGGCAGAAAGGTTTACTCTTCCATTGTGGCTTTATGTGGCAAAGGTGAAAATACAGCAGAGTACGAGAACGACAACGACAGCAGCGCTTTATGGCGGAACATTCGGTTCCCATGGATGGACCAGGGTCAAAGTTGCCGACTTGCCGTGACAAGATCATTCAACGATGGCGGTGCACAACTGGTGACGACACCTCAAGCTCCACCATGCAACTGCGTTGGCTAAGTCTGGGGCCGACAGCCCTGTGATTTGACCTGGCGATCCTATCTCTACTTTTCTATTTTCATCTTAGTCTCCCATCGCCATTTTCTTTTTTTTTCTTCTCTCTCACCCCATCCCAGCCTCTCCTAACCTAACCTTCCGACCCTCCGATACCTACAGCCAAGCTTTTGTCTGACATCCACCGCTTCACTCGATTGAATTGATCCAACGCTCCCGAAAGGGAACCTCAATTGAACAATAAGAAAGCGGGCCGATCGTCCATCTACATTCTTGACGGGAAGGATATATCCGTGGGGGAAAGCCAAAATCCGAGACAAAAGACAAAAATGAGGAATTCTTGGCTTCTCTGGGGGGGCATCCCTTGCGTTGCCCGCGTTAGGACTCACCCTCCACGAGCGAGATGTCCCGGCTGTGATCGGCATGGACATTCAGCGTAAGGATGTCGTTGACCCCGCCGCCCGAGATCGGGTCCGAAGGAAGCGCGACAAGACTGTCGGCCAAACACTAGACAATGAAGTATGCCTCCAGCACTCCAGCTATACTCCAGCTATATTCCAAAAATGACTCTGCTAACAACTGCTTCGTAATAGCAAACGCTCTACTTTGCCAATATCACCCTGGGAACCCCCAAGCAAAACTTGCGCTTGGTAATGGACACCGGCAGTAGTGATCTGTGGGTCAATACTCCCAATTCCACCCTTTGCAAGTCCAAAGAAACCCCTTGCTCGGACTCCGGTACTTATAATGCGAGCTCGTCGTCAACCTACTCTTTCGTCTCGTCCGATTTTAACATCACCTATGCCGATGGCTCCACTGCATCTGGTGACTACGTGACCGACACTCTCACTGTCGGTGGAACGACTCTTAAGAACTTTCAATTCGCCGTGGGATTTACCTCGGCCTCTTCAGGTGCGTAATATCTATTCACTCTAGCCCATAACATAATCGGTGATTAGTGATTGGGATTGGTGACTAACTCTTAAAATATAGAGGGCGTACTGGGAATCGGATACACGTCCAATGAAGTCCAGTCAGGCCAAAATGGCGATAAAGCCTACAACAACCTACCCAAAGCGATGGTCAACAAGGGCCTGATCAAGTCCAATGCCTACAGTCTCTGGTTAAATGATCTAGACGCCAGCACCGGCTCAATTCTATTTGGCGGAGTGAATACAGCGAAATATCACGGCTCGCTAGAGACACTACCCATCCAAAAGGTTGGAGGTGTTTTCTCTGAATTTGTCATCGCCTTAACTGGTGTTTCTGTCTCTACAACATCCAAGACACACAACTACTCCTCAAGCGCGCTGCCAGCAGGCGTACTGCTCGATTCGGGAAGTTCCTTGACATACCTGCCAGACGCCATCACGCAAGATATCTACGATGATTTGGATGTTACATACGACGCCTCGAGTGGAATTGGTATTGTTCCTTGTAGTCTTGCCGAGAAGGATGTCAACGTCACTTACAAATTCTCCTCTCTCCGGAAATAAACGTTCCGGCGGGCGAATTGGTCCTCGACATGGGTGACTATCATTTCAATAATGGACAACGGGCTTGTATATTCGGTATCGCTCCTGCGGGTAGCAGTACCGCGGTGTTGGGGGATACGTTCCTACGCAGCGCTTATGTCGTGTATGATCTTGCGAATAATCAGATCTCTCTCGCCAATACACACTTCAACTCGACAAAGAACAATGTTCTAGAAATTGGCACCGGCACGGATTCAGTACCCAGTGCCACGGCTGTGGCTAACCCTGTGACTTCTGTTGCTGTTGGTGGTTCCGGCGCGCGCATTGGTGGTATCGGTGGTGGTAGTGGCAATAGTATTTTCACGACAACGGAGAACTCGGCGCCGAAGCAGACGGGCATGGCTCATCATCTCGCTATCGGTTTGGCTGGTGCTGGATACCTGCTTGCTTTGTGAGGAAGTGGGATTCATTAATACTTTAATGTTGTTGATTTTTCCTCTTTTTCTTTCTGCTTTTTTCTTCTTCTCTCTTGCCGTTTCTACACTGCATATATTCTGGTGTATTTGGTGTTCGGATGGAATACCACGTTTTGATCTTGTGAATATTTCTTTCTTTCACGTGTTATGAATTTCAACGCATTTACTTTCGAAGTCTTTAACTACTCTCAATTTTAGAAATCCTTTTTAGATGTCTCGATCAGCATTTTGGTACAGATTGGTATGTGCTGGCTTCAGAATGTACTACTAGTACCTTTTACCCAAAGGTTAGACAACTGTAGGCCGCTACAATAAGAATAGAATACCCCATAACCAGAGATGCAACAAAAGGCTTTCCATGACGGAGATTTGTCTACATTCATCCAATTCTATAATACAAATGCCAACCTGGAGTCGAAATCCAAGCTAGCCATCCAAACTGTTATACAAGCCATGCCTCCCACCCTTAATATACAAGTACACTTCAAGCCAACCCCATCGCCTTCTTCACCTTCCGCATAGTTAAATCCGCACTAGCCTGCGCAACCTCCCCACCCTCCCGCGCCACAGAATCAAGATACCCACTCTTATCATCCATAATCCCAAGATATCTCTCACGAATCCCAGCCAGACTGTCCGCAATACGGCTACCAACATGTTCCTTCAATGATCGAAGACTAGCAGTTTCGTACTCCGAGGCAATCTCCTGACAAGTCACTCCTTCAAAGTGGCTCAGGATCTCTATTAGATTTGAGACACCGGGTCGATTGGTAGGATCGTAGCTGATCTTTGGTTCCGAGTCTGTGAGGGCTACTTTGACCTTTTTCTTAATCTCGTTTGCTGAATCCGTGAGGAGGATTCGGGATTTTGGGTCCGCGTGCGATTTGGACATTTTGTTGTTGGGTTCTTTTAGGGACATTACGCGTTTGGCGGGCGCTGGTATTGTTAGTCCTTTTAGCCTCTTTTTTTTTTGCTTTGCTTTTGAGACTAGTGACTGCGTGTTCCGTTTTCTTGGAATCCTTTCAACTTACAAATAAGTGCCTCCGGTGTAGGAAAAATGTCACCATAGAGGTGATTGAAACTGTTCGCGGTGTATCGGGAAAACTCAAGGTGTTGTCTTTGATCTTCTCCGACTGGGACATGGGTAGCTCTGATGCATTGATTAGCAAGGGAACCCCGGTAGAAAATATCTTCGTCTTTCAAAGGTGCCGACCATACCGGTGAATGAGGATGTCCGCAGCCTGGAGCACGGGATATGAGAAGAGGCCGAGACGTAATTGTGCCCGGGCCTCTGAGTCTTCGAGGCTTGCGTCCTCGGGGAGTTGGAGTTTGCTCTGTGTTAACTTAGTAAAAGCCAATGTCACGTTGAATAGAGCAGCTCGCGACGGAGACGCGCTAAAGGATAACATAGCATATCATGCTCAGCTCAGCTCACTCACCTTCCACTGCGTCATACGCGAAAGATAGCCCATCGAAGCAACCGTACTAAGAATCCACATCAATTCCGTATGCGCCGGCACCTGGGATGGGTCAGTATAACCTTCTCTTCTCTATCTTGTTCGGATTGCTTGGTCCGGGATGGGATGGGATGGCTGCGCTGCTTCTGAACATACAGAAGATTGATAAAAGATCGTCGACCGCTTCGGATCCAACCCAACAGCCAGAAGTGTTGCAAAAGCCTCCCTCCTCCATGTCCGTAATTGCTTCGCGTCTTGCGGAACTGTCAAGGCATGTAGGTCCACGATTGAAAAGAGTAGTTTAGTACCCTCTTCAGCTGAGTCTTGGAGCTTTACCCATTCGCGTAGGGCGCCGAGGTAATTTCCTAAATGGGGGACGCCGGTTGGTTGGATGCCGGAGAAAATGACTGGGCTTTTTATGGGTGGTCCTGCTGGGCTTGGGCTTGTGCTTGTGCTTGTGCTCAGTGATCGATGCTGGTGCCATTTTGATGGTTGAGCAACTCCCGGACGGAAATAGGTGAAATTCCCATTACCACTCGCGGGCCTCAATGGATTGGCCCCATGGCGAGCAATCGAGATGCGCATTGTGGCCATGGTCGAAAGACACTTGTATTCAGGAGTTATCGGCCACACCGGAACGCATTCCTGTACTTTTTTGGAGACGACACCCGTGTCTCCGCCGCGTGGGATGGCATGGTATCACGTGATAGTAATATAGGACCAGGACTTATATCGATTTAGCCCTGTCTATGATAGGTTGTGAATTACAAAAGTCGTTCGTAAACAAATGCACAGCTACTACTATGTATCTACTCTTGAAGTACTACCGGACCGGAAGAGCGGAAGGAAATAGGCCATGCAACTAGTTGAAATCCCGATTTCAATTCAGGGTTGGATTGGATATGACGGAGTAGAATACAGATGGCCCCGTTAGGCTCATAAAAAGGTGGTAGAAAAATTGAACAATAGTACACATAATGACGCCCAGGTTGTTTTCCCCAAATATGCAAAGCAAATCCCCAAGTCAATGGTACAAACCAATATAAGACAAGGATTGGATGGATTACGCCCGTGCGCTCTTGCGCTCAGTAAATCGATCACTGTCAAGAACATCGAATATGTTGTTTCCAGCGGAGTTATCCTCGCGCTGGCCGAATTGGGCGAGGTGCGGTTCGAGGGTCTTTTGGACTTCGGTGGCGGACTGGTCCATGGCCTTGCCGACGTCTGTTACAATTAGAGTAATTATTAGTATGACTGTGACCTTCATCGAGATTCAAAGAGATGAATTTGGGTTTGTGTTTGCTGGAAAACGTACCGAGAGACTCATGTTCCCAAACATTAGCCTTCATACCAACTCCATAGAAAGCATGCTTGCGCAAGAAAGCCAACCAAGCCTGCACAGACTGGGGATTCCCATCCTTAATCTGAATGAGACGGCGGAGGGTGATTCGCTCGAAATTCTCCTGGCTCTTCTTGTGCACGAAGTTGCTTCGCGGGACGGTCCAGCGTTCGACGATACGGGGGAGAGGCACGGGTCCGGAAACGGGGAGGTTGAGGTAATACGCGGCGCGGATGGCGAAGTCGGCGAAGAATTCGACGTTCTCGACGCTGTAGGATCGGAGTTGAAGATCGCAGACTGGTAGGCCGTGTTCCGCTTTTCGGCGGAGGGGGCGCATGTATACTGCTTGGACGCTGCGAGGCAGACGGGCGTTGTTGTCGAGAGCTCCCATGCGCTCGGACCTGGTGGTGGTTTATAATGAGCAATTGGTTCTTTATTGCATTCGGCTTGTGAAGCTGGTCGGGATTATGTGATCGCTCGACTTACCATTCCTTCACACGTTGTTCGGATGGCAGTTCGGGTTCGGTGTTGGTGGGAGGTCTGTATCGTCCATCTCAATCAGTACGGTTCTTCCTGCGCAACTGGGGGAAAGGTCGCATACGTCGACTTTGCTGCATTTGCCTCGGTAATTGGCACGGACTCGGCCGGGGAGGCTGTCTTTGTTTCTTGAGCTGGCGATGGCGATGGCGCGCTGGGCTGGCTGGGAGTAGGAGTAGTGGATTGCCAGCGGGCGGACAGGGGCACCTATGCCACGAATTGGTCAGTATACGGATATTAAAAGCAGTGGAAGGAGTCCAGCTTACCCTCAAGCGCCTGCCGGCTCCGAGCAAGGAGCGTGTTGGGTTCGAAAACATCTTCAATGGCTGGGATCTGTCTGTTTGGTGCGGGTTTTTTTCTTCGGAGGTGCAGTTGCTGATGGGAAGGCGGTCAGGCGCGGTTGTAGGCACCACGGGACAACCAGCACTGGTACAATTGTAGAATGACCAAGGATCGATTGCCTTTGGGTATAAGAAACCTGGGGAATTTATTGCTATGATTATTGCTATCATTTACTCCATGTTCAAGTAAATTAAGTAGAATAACCTGAGGGTGGTGATTATAACAGTTGGTAGGTTCTATGGACCGTGGACCTATTGTATGTAGTAGTCATGTCATGGACCAGGCCAACGATCATTGTCGTACTTCAAACAATTTACTGTATGTTTCAAAAGACATAACTAATTCATGGAATATTCCAATACTCCGTATTATTGGCATTATCACACTCCTCGGCCCGACTCAAAGCGAAATGATAAACCCATCTCCAGTCCAGCCAATGGGGTCGCACGCGACTCCGCAACATCAGAAGATTTCTTGGAGATCCACGATCCACCCCGCTGCTCTTCTCTACTTTCGACTGTCGTGCTTCTCCCTCTCATACTCTGTACATACCTCCACATCACATCAAACATGTCTTCTTTCGATCGAGCAAACGAAGCCGTTTCTTTCCTGACCAACAGCTTGCCCGAAGGCCTGCGAAAGCCTCAGGTGGCCATAGTATGCGGCTCTGGGCTGGGTGGTCTGGCAGAGACTGTTCAGTCTGAACCTCGTGCGGAATTCGACTACACTTCGATTCCTCACTTCCCTCGTCCAACAGGTATTTTAAATCTCTCATGGCCCGCTGAGTACTTTTTTGGGCGGAAACTAATAGTCAAACAAAGTCGCTGGACATGCGGGGAAATTGGTGTTTGGACTTCTTGGCCAGAAGATTCCTGCCGTCTTGATGGTTGGCCGTGCACAGTGAGATTGAGCTTGCGCTTGGTTCTGTTGAATGGAATCACATGCTAATGCGCCGTGATAAAAGCTACTACGAAGGCCACTCAATGGAACAGGTTACATTCCCTATCCGAGTGTTCAAGCAATTGGGTGTGGACACTGTTGTGTGTAAGTACTACTTTCGTTTCAAGAACGAGAGATCTACATCTATATTCTACTCCGGACGGAAATTGATGTGACTGGCAGTGACGAACGCGGCCGGCGGCCTTAATTCTGATTATAGCGTGGGTGATATCACCCTGCTGAATGATGTAAGACTCTCTATCTCTTTTCACCGGAAATATTGATACACCACTAAGAAAAACTTCCAGCATCTATTCCTCGCGGGACTCGCAGGAAATCACCCACTGAGAGGTCTCAATGACGAGGAATTTGGAGTTCGTTTCCCGCCGCTTTCGGATGCATATGATCTTGATCTTCGCCGTCATGTCCACCGAGCTTGGAAGGAGATCACTAGCGCTACGCCCCAGACCAGCCGCAAACTGCACGAAGGAGTTTATGCCTTTGTCGGGGGTCCCCACGTAAGTAACGAAACGGTGAGAAGCGGGCTTGAGATAGACCCGACTTGCTGACAACGCGATAGTTACGAAACAAGAGCCGAAAGCCGCATGCTTCGAATGATGGGTGCCGACGTGGTTGGAATGTCGACCGTTCCTGAAATTGTCGTCGCCAGACATTGTGGTCTGAGGGTGCTGGCAATGAGCTTGGTGACTAACAACGCCGTTCTAGCCCCCGTGCCCCGTGGGGACGAGCAGCTGCTTCAAGACAAAGCTGCAGGTGAACTGAACGCGCTTTTGGAGGAAGGTAAGGCCGGCCACGAAGAGGTATTGGAGGCAGGTCGGGCAGCGGCTATGGATATGCAGGTATGGCATCCTTTCCTCTGCCGCAGATTTCAATGAGGCAGAAGCTGACCAAGATCACAGAAATTGGTGGTACAAACTCTGGTGAACGTGTTTGGTAGTGCGTGAAGAACATGGGAATGAATCCACGTCAGACCAAAGGAACCACAAAGTCATATAGTTGACAGCATGGAAAGCGCTTCGGTAGAAATAGAAAGCTTGGTAACATAGGTTGCCCAAATTTCAACTTTCTCGAATACCACACAATCACTTCTTAGTTCGCTTTCTCTGCGCCTTAAGGTTGTTATAGTAAGCCTTCTTGCCGCTGGTCTTTGTAGCCTGAATATCGCGATACTTGGACTCGAATTTCCTGTTCTGGCGCTCAGTGGACATGGTCTCCTCAACAAAGGTCTTCTTGCGATCCTTCTTGGCAATACGACCACTGAAGAACTCCGTCGGGCCCTGGATGATGGTACCGACTTGCGAGAACTCGGGAGCCTTGGCCTTTCCGTTCTCCTTCTTGTAGTGACGCTTTGAATCAAGGACTGATCGCATTCGAAGAAGTTGCAGATCTCTCTTGAACTCAGTGGTCATGACAGTCTTGGGAAGGTCGAACCATTCGGGGCCGGCAGTGGTTTTTTCCTGGAGTGTCGACGGTTAGCTTTGATGCTCACGATTTTTTTTTTTCACTCCGTAAATGACATTGAATCAAGGGTAATTGCTCAGAGTAACTATGAAAAATAAAACTCTCACTGGTGCAGCACAGCCCAAAACGGACTGCTGACGCCGCATCAAGCGCTTTGCGTTTGGGAAAAATTTTCCTCATAGCAATATGGAAGGGGATGTGGATGGAATCGGGTGGGAGGAATCGTCTTACCTGGACAGCAGGCTTCTGGCCAGAAGTAGTATGCAATTTGTTGGACAGTTCCTTGTACCGTTTGTCAACGAGCTCCGCTGTCTTGGCAGTCGAAACATCGTCGTTCTGCTGAACGTAAGGCTTGATCGAGGACCCAGAAGATAATTTGGGAATCCTAATGGACCTGTTAGCATTGACTGGTCGGAGCAGAATGTCGGTTGGTTGTTGAGTGTTTGAAGCATACCTTAAGGAAGCAATGTCCAGCTCTGTGGATTGGGTGTCAGGGCCACGCAGTCGGCCCTCTGCCTCGAGCAGAAGTTGTTGGATCTGCTCATCGGTCAGGTCAACCTCATCTTGAGGTTGAACACTGGGCTCCGCAACATTTGAAGCGGCCATCCCTGCTCAAAAGTAGGGTATTGGGGAATGCAGGCAAGCTTTGCAAAGGTGGAATTTATAGATGGAATTTTTTTCTGTTGTTGCTGCTCGGATCGGACAAACTTTTGTGAGAAGAGCCCGAAAGGGAAGCGCGGGATCATGTGACACGGGAGTAGAGGAACCTGGCGGAGAAGTGTTCGATACCTGGTAATTACCATAAATTACATATCAGTATCATGTACTAAGTACTTGATTTCCAAGTACCCGATTCCTCTCGCGAGTCGCTCAAGTGTAGAATGACAGATACCCAAGAAATATAGAATCCAATGATTGAAAATCTAAGGGAAGATTAATTTATTTACCAAGAGTCGGCCTGATAGTCGCAATCGCAATCGCAATCGCGGTCGGCCAGCGGGGGAACACCCGAAAACGTCAGACAGCTGAAGCACCTCCATGCTTGGCACGACCCGACGCGCTTCTTTCATCACCAGGCGCGCAACTTGAATTGACCGATTCGCCTTTACTCCCCACGACTTGGTTTTTCCAGCGTGTTACCTGTCATCAACTACCGCCCTCGCGCTCACCCTCGCGCTCACCCTCGCCCTCGCCCTCGCCTCCTCGAACATATCCGCGACTCCTCGGTCTCGGTCCTGCCCGACTCCATTTCAACCTAACACCTCTCTTGCGCGCGCCTTCAAGATGGAGCCCGCACCCCAGGGCACCGCCCCGCAGAGTGGCCTTCCCTCTAATCGCCAGCAACACTCTCAGCAACAGCCTGTCTATGATATTAGGAATGGTGGTCACTATGGTATTTGCGCCCTGTCAATCGCATTGCCGTCGCATCAGCTTCCGGGGAGCGCGAACCCCTCTTCCCGGGGCAATGCGATGCCCGATACCGCGGCAATTTTGTAACATATGCATGAACCCTATGGACTGACATTTATTACAGGTGCTAGCGCAGCGGTATGCTTACATCCGATCCGAGTCCTGTCCCAAGCTTCCGGGGATAGCGTGGGAGATGGGTTATAGCGAGGGGTTTCGTTTCGCAGCTAACCAGAACTTCAACACTCTAGCTTTCGGCACAGGGCTACGCCCCTGTCGCTGAGCTGTACACAGGTACTTGGGCCAATGTAAGTTTGTGGCACATCCATTCCATCCTGTATATCGTGATTGACACCCAGACAGGTAAACCAAGGTCTGCAAGGAACAGCCCGCGACATCCTGACAACATATTGGCAACACGTTATCAACCACCTGGAATCCGATAACCACGACTACAAGATCCACCAGCTCCCACTTGCACGCATCAAGAAGGTCATGAAAGCAGACCCAGAAGTCAAGATGATCTCCGCCGAAGCCCCCATCCTCTTCGCCAAGGGCTGCGACATCTTCATCACAGAGCTAACAATGCGCGCCTGGATCCACGCCGAGGACAACAAGCGCCGCACCCTTCAACGCTCCGACATCGCCGCCGCTCTCTCCAAATCGGATATGTTCGATTTCCTCATCGACATCGTTCCCCGCGAGGAAGCTACTTCGCACGCCAAGCGGTCGAGCCAAGCTGGTGCTCCTGGAGCTCCTGGAGGACCCTCTGGCGCCGCGGGCCAACTTTCGCAATCCCAGCACAATGTTCAGGCTCATCTGGGCCCGGCGGATTATAGCTCTCTCGGTCAACACGGTATGCCCCAAGAGCAAGAATACCGTCCCCAGCCGGCTATGTACCCCGGTGCTGTGCAGCCAGACCCCACAGCTGCGTATGGCCAGCCTCAGTCTCAGATGTTTGATGGAATGTATGCGTACCCGCATCTGCCTCCTCAACAGGTAAGTTTTTGGTAATCCCCGCTGGCTTTTCCGCTGGTTTCCATCATTCATTGATTGTGGTCTTCGTTGCTAAAATATTCGCACAGTAAATCCTCGCATAACCCTTTCAAAGGACTGCCATTTAACAATGTTGTCTTTCTTTTTTTCCCCCTTCTTCTTCCCTTTTGTTTTGATTGCGCGGCTCTCGGCGAATACTGGTTTCCCCTTTTATACTTCGTTCTGTCCCTCGGTTCACAGCTTCATGCAAGGCTACGGCCACGCCCGCTATATTGGGTGGCCGATTGATCGTGAAGAAATGATCTTATCTCGTCTCTTCAAAGCCCTAACCCCCACATGGGCCGACTTGGGCTGACTTTTTTTCGTTTGTGTTTGTGTTTGTGTTTGTGTTTCTGGATCACATATACCTTTTTGTACGTAGGTCACAAATCAAAATGTGCCATATTTCCTCGGCGAAGAGCTTGCTTGCTCTCTCCTCTCCCCTCAGGTGTCCGGGCCACCCTTCTTCCTCTTCTTCTGCAGGGGGGTTTTCCACCTCCCCTTTGGACTGAATTCTTGACTGTTCGGTGATGACACCAAGCCAATTACGATCAGCATCCGATGGCCCTTCTTCGGGGGGCCTTTCCTGGAAGCTTGTGAGTACACTCCAACTTTTGAGAGCTTCAAAAAAGTCTGAGGGCAGTCGATAATTCTTACAAATTCCTTTCCTTTCCTTTTCTGTTTCCCTTCTTTCTGCATTTACTTCGAGTCGAGAATACAACTGTTGATCTGGGAGCACTTCCGTCTCGTACATTTACATGTACTTCCTTTCATCGTAGACTCAAGTAGCTCTTGGATTTCCTCAAATTCTCTCTGATAATTGCTTCTCTCCTACCTCGAATCTGTCTCCTCGGCACACCGGGACATACATGTACAACACTCACCTGGGCAACATAGACGATGCGGTATGTACACGGAATGAGCTCGGCGAGCGAGATGTTCTTTTTTCGAGTTCTCGTTATAAATTGCAAGGTATAGTAAGTTACAAGGGTGTCAAGGGTATAGTAGCTAATACGCTCTCTGATTATACTCAGAACAGAACACTCAGTAAGTTGTCAATGACTTTTTCTGGATAAGAGAAACGTGGCCAAGAAACGCACTGGCATGTCTTCTCCTCTCATGCTGTGTGAGACTCTATGGCTAGGACTCGGAGTATTCAGAGGCGGTCTTTTGAAATGTACTAGTAGGTAGTACATCACGACACTTTTTAAGGTTACATTCGAGTTAGATATATTCGTCGGCCGAGTGCAAGGAAAGGAATTCTATATTTAACACGATCTCCAGTAGAGTTTACATCCCGACTTCTGCCATTCATGAAGTAGCACATTAAATTAACTTAATTCTCTCGGTATGATATCAAGTCTTCTTGAACCGCGAAGAAAGGTTCACAAATTTATCCACCTTCGTGGGCGCTTGCACGGTTCGAGTAAGCCTAAAAGAAAAAAGTTAGTAAAACCACTCCATGCAAGATTAATAACCTAACCCAACCCAGCCCTGCCCAAGGAGCAAGGCAAAAGGCAAGGCAAGCGAAGCAACGTACTTTTCCAAAAGAACCGGCCCTTGCATCGCATCGACACGACCGTATTTCTTATTCCGGGTAGAAATGTCATAGAATTCATCCGCATTCTCCGCTTGCATGAGTTGGACTGTTTGCTGCAATTCGTCGAGGTTTTCGCGAAGGATCGGGTTATTCAGACTATCAACGAATTGAGAAAGATACTCCACGTCTTTTGCTAACGCGATGACGCCGTTTGGATTGATGGTTTTCACTTCTGGAGCCATTGGTTGAGCCTGGGTGAGATGGTGAGTTGATTAGAATCTGTGCAAAATAGGGCGAAGGCAAATTGGAGCCGAGGAGAGGAGGAGAGCTCACCAGAATCATGTTCGCTGCGTGACTGAGAGCGTCGAAATAAATGAGTTCTTTGATTTCTGTCGGCAGTCCGAGAAGAGTGGAGTTCATGATGTTAGACAGGAATCTTGTCAACGTTTGCATGTAATTGCTAGGTTCACTGGGCGGGGTGGTGGCCATCCATTCGTATTCGGCCGTTTCGACAAGATCGTCGATCTTGGAATTGACGACCTCGAAGATCCGTTTCTCGGCTGCCTTTTTGTTGCTTCGGAACTTCTCTGTTGCTCGGAGGGTAATTGAGGTGCCGGTGGAATTCTGGGACCGCGCTGCTGCAAGCAGTAATTCAAGCTCATGGCATGCTAGCTCGAAGTGTTCCAGATTGATTAGAATCTGGACAATTTGACCCAGATATTGGGAGGAGAGACGTTCGACTAGTGTATCGCATACTTTCCGCGAGAGAAGGTCATCGAGGGCCTTGATAGGGTTAGTAAAACAATTGAATAGGAGCGATTCCGTTCAAGCTTGCTCGCACATGGCCATACTTACATCTTTCAAAGTATCGTCGATGACACTGGGGTGGGAGAAATCGTCATTGGCGAAGAAATAGAACTGATTCAAGAAGTTCCGAATATCGATACAACACAGGGGGTACATCCTGGAGAAAGGCAAGATGCATGGGAACCTGTGGAAACTTATTAGGAGCCTGGCCTGGAAACTGAAAATCGTGGGGAATTTAATATAGACATACACTTGCTCTTCGCGGGATGCCTCTGGAGCATACCAGCTCACATTAAGAACTTTGTCATATTCCTCCAGAGTCTGTATTGGCATCGGCATGTAATCGTCTGTAGACACGATCTATGAAGGAGTTAGCTTAGTTATTCGACTGAAAGAAGGGATGAATGGTTAAAGGAATGGGAGAAATTGAAGCACGGTACGTACCTCTTGGAAATCATCGCTAAATCGTCTCTTCAAAAGTTCTGCATACTTCCCGAAGAGTCTGAGCAGGAAATCGTCAAACACCCTGACCGAAAAGTTCCATGTCTGTTTCACGTTAGCGTTGATGGTCTCGGGGCGGGCTGATGGTGATTGAACTGACATTCATCGTTTGCATGAACAAGGCTATCAAATTCTTAGTTTTCAAGATGCTCTCTGCATTGTCGACCTCATGGAGGGCCTTTGATATAATGCCAACAGCACCCTGGCACGTTGAGTCCCAGAGTTCCTCTACCTGTTAGATGAGACAAATCAGTTAGTTAAAACGGTTGATAGGAAAAGTCGGTTTTTAGACCGACACAGGGGAGGGAAGGGAGCGTACATCCACAGAGGATCGTAAATCAGGTACTTTCATCATAGTAGCTCGCTCTACAATTGCAAAGCCGGCTATTTCTTCCAGCAGATTGTGTAAGCTTGCGCCTCCCTCGTCGACAAGAGTGACGGAAGCAGGAAGGAGAAGGTCCTTCTGGCGACGACGCGTGCTAGCATACTCGATTCGGAACTTATCCATCTGCCCCAGAGACTGGTGAATGTGCAGACACTCAAAAAGCGGCGCAAATGGGACTTGCAAGTCATCATTCTGCAGAAGATCATACTCCTCATCTTCATCGGCGACCAATTCGATCGCGGAGTTGAGATTAAAATGTTCCAGGTACGGAATTTGTTCCGCGCGCTCCTTTAACCTCGATTTGCGTTGATCTGTACGGAAAAGAGCCAGTTCGCCCAAAAAGGGAGACATTTCTCGAATGTGAAAGAGCCAGGTATTGAGATCCGACATGACTGCCTCCGCGATCGCGCGCTGGGTGGCCGGCACCGAGCGTTGGATCATTTCCGCAATCTTGTACTGCGTGACTCCTTTGAGATGAACATTTTGTAATTCTTCCAGGGCGCGCAGGGCGGCATAATGGTTCTTCTTGGCTAGCAAATCGTGGACTTGGTTCGCTAGCCGTAAGACTTCGAGACAATCCTGGATCGCACGTGATGTCTCGTCGATGTTCTGGCGATGGCCGCGGGATTCGACTAGGGCTTTCTTTTGCTCGGCTAGGCGCTCGGTACTTGTTTGAATGGATTGATTGAGGTCGAGGATCTCGGCAGTTAGACTGACGGTGCCTTCTCGGATACGAAGGAGGGAATTGACGGAGGAGACGAATTCTTGGTGGTTTGTGTTGCAGATACTTTCGATCTCAGCTTCTTTGTCTGCTGCAAAGCGCGACAGAGATTGTAACAGCTGTGGAGTCCTATTTCCAACGCTGTAGTCTCGGATTGAGGGGATGAGCTGATCGAGGTAGTCGGTGTCGGAGGGGGAGATAATGATCTATGTTGTTAGCGTCAACACCCCTGGAGTACGAAGCCTATAGGTCTGCTATACATACCTGGTTAAGCACATGAGGCTCTGGCATTGGGGGCACCATGATGGGCATCACGAGCTCGTGGACCTGGAGAACCTGGAGGACGGGGAGCTGCCGCTCCCGCAGGGCGCTGCGGCGCCAGATAGACGATAAACGATAAACGATAGCCATCCGCGCTAGCCCTACTTTGTACTAGCGTCAATTACATACAACCACAACATTCTAGTTAGTTAGTATCTACTACAATTGGATCCTATGTTTATACTTCTTTCCTTTCTACTTTCTTTTTACCTTTCACCTTTCCATCCTCCTCCCACTGCCACTACTGGCTCAAACAATTTATTATTTGATCTTCTGCCATCACTTCTCATCTCCCCCTTCAGATACTTGATTGCCTATTCTGTTGTTCATCAATACTGTGAGTTGGTGACTGTCTTTGAGAAGTAAGTTATTGGATCACCACATTCACGTTTGTATTAACCCAAGTCACAGACCTGAAATGGAATCTAATGCCATTTCCATGTTGTGTTCGCAGCCAAACATGGCCGGTCCGCAGATCTCCACTTCCTAGTCATGGTATGTTGCCTACATGTTAGCACTCAAGTTAGCCTGCAGATACTCTGATTCTCGTTGCTAATATTTTTATCGCAAGCTGAGCATTGTTTCTAATGAGTTGCGAATTTCGATTTCTATACTCTTATATGGCATGCCTCAAGTGTCGACGAGAATAAGTCTGCAGGGCCTCAGAATGTCACCTTCCACTCCTATACCTGATCGTTATCATTGCTGCTCCTGCTGCTCCTGCTACTTTCGCTTTAGACCCAATCAATCAGAACAGCTGCCTTTCCATAATGGGACAATGCATCGATACCGAGAGAAGTCAGGTCGGCCAATCGCCTACTCCCACTGAATGCCAGTGGATCCCACCGTTGCAGCCCTACAGTCCTTCAGTCCTCCAGCCCTTGGAAACCTGCTCAGCCATTGGACCAATGACCACCCAATCTGATTAGTCGGCGCTCCCAGGGAGCAGTCACTGTCAATTCCCAAGAAGAATCCCTCCTGCCGTTTGATCTCTCACCCTTCCCTCTACTCATTTCTGGTCATCCACCTTCGTTTGGCCTTCATCAGCTGGTCCCATTGCTCGGCTCGGCTTCCATCTTGCTCTTCTCATCTGCACGAAGGTATCCGTCACCTCTCAACTCCCACGATGGTCTCACAGCCGCCAAAGGAGACCTCCTCTGGAGGATCTGCTTCTCGGAAGACTCCTGACAGTGAGCTCGCCTCGTTCACCTTCCACTCTCAGCAACAAAATGGCAGTCCCTTGGCTGGACGAACCCGAGAAATAGACCCTCGAGTTCCTATGTGAGTATACCTGACCTTTCTGGCATTTGATGTGCTCGCTGACATGGACAGGGATCCATTCATGGCACGCGCCTACAACCTATTCGAAGGGGCAGATCTCGCGGATAGTCCGAATTCCGTGGGAAGTCCCCCTGCTCAGTCTTTGCCTGTCTATCTTGATCCCACACCCGCATCCGCACCCGTGAATCTGAATTACCCTGTCTCAACTCCGCCGTCGGGCTCTTACGGACGCAGCCCGTTTAGCCTGCCTTTACGGGGTCCAGCCCACACCACCTACGATCCATCGGCAGTTCTGGGGCCCACCTCGCACCCCCGCGAGCCTTTTGGTGTCCAGAACAACTTCGCCAGCCCTCAGATCTCGCCGCTGCAACCCAAAGACCTACAAACTTCGTTTTGCGATGACCGCCGGTTGCTTGTGCGCAATGTGGACACGGACACGGAGGGCCTTGAGGTGGTCCAGCTGTTTCAAGTAAGTCATCTCTATTCGAGGGATCGCTTTCAAATGCTAAACCAATTTTAGAATCTCGCATCTGTCAATGGACCCTTTTGGACTACTTTGAACACGACCGGCCGCTTCTTCGTTTCCTTCTCTGACAGTAGAGATGTCGATGCTGCTATTCAGCGTATCAGTCGCGACTACAAGGAATGGGAACTGATTCCTCTCTCCGCAGAGGACTTTACTCGCGATACCCGAATGGTCAGTCCACTGCCCCTGGGCTTTGATGACGCAGTTGTGGTCACTGTCTACTGTGGAACCTATTCCACGATCCAGCCTGCAAATGTCATCGTACGAATCAAGCAGTTTTTGGAGTTGGCTGGCAAAGTGCGCTCGATTCAGGAGCTCCAGTTTGGTATTCCGTCCGATGGATCTCGATTGACAACTCATGAGCTAGCTGTCAAGTACTTCGATTCTCGCCATGCGGCCAATGCAGTCAAGGCTTTGAATGCTACTCGAACTGCGGTACGCACTATTCCCGTCCCTTGTAATGTTCTCTTTTTTTGATATGGTTTTTGAAATCCTTTTGGCTTGTTTCTTTTTGATATCCTTTTGTTTTATTCTCTCGTTGTTGGACCGGGTAATCTAACCTAGCCTTTGGTAGGATTTTGTTATGGAAGTCATGCCACTGCATCGCGATATGCCAAGCGCCATGCATCGTCACTGGACTTCTGTTCCCAAAACTCGTCGGCCCTCGATGGTTTTCCCCGGCACACCAGCACGACGCATGTATATGTCGCCAAGTGACCCGGACAGTCCCCCGATTCCGGACGAACTCAAGCCCGCTCGGAACGTCATTGACCTGAGTAAGATTTATTACGGTCAAGATGGACGCACGACTGTCAGTCTTCATATCTAGGGTCTGAAGTCCGAATGATGATATTGACTTTATTTCTTTTTTCCTCGCAGGTTATGCTTCGAAACATACCCAACCAAATGACTTGGGTAACGTTCCCCTCCTTCACCAACCTGGGCTCCAGAAAACTGACAAACGGAAAACAGCAACATCTGAAACAAGTCCTCGATCTAACCAGTGCTAACTGTTATGATTTCATGTACCTGCGTATGGGTAAGTACCAAATCTACCTTTTCGGAAAGACTGACGATCTCTAATAACCAGGTGTCCCAGATTTTGATCAGAACCAGAGGTACACTTCCTAATACAAGCCGGCTCTTCTGGTTGCTTGACTAACTTGTTCTCTTCTATTCAGTGTTGGTTACGCCTTTGTTAACTTCAGCGTTGTAAGTTTACGCTTCACCTTCTCTTCATGATCTTCCATTAACTTCTCACTTAGCCCCTGGACATCATGGCGGTAAAATTTCATTCTCACCCTTAGAATTGACATGAGAAGACCCTCACTGACACTTTCGCAGTTCATGGAGGCTCGTGAGAGCATGTGTTGGTAAGATGAATTTGTTCTCACCCTAGAACGAAGTCCCGCCTGCTAACTCAACCCCCTCAGGCCTGGATTCGAAACCCATGTTGAAAAAGTCGCTGAAATGTCCTATGCAAGTCCGTGATATCCTCCCCCATTCCACCTCGCCAATACTAAACATCTTCAATAGCGGTCCAAGGCAGGGAAGCTCTTGTCGAGAAGTTCCGGAACAGCCCGGTAATGCTCAACCATCCGGACAATCGTCCCAAAGTGAGTCTTCTGCCAGCCGATTTTAAATGTCCAACCCTAACCCGAGATAGCTCTTCCATACTGCTGGACCTCGTACCGGTCGACTGGCCTCATTCCCACCGGTGAACAACTTCTTTATCCTGGCTAAGGGCGTTGATCGAAGCAGACGAAGTGGTAAGCCCCCATATCATACCAACCCTCGCACTTTGATCGGCAATTTAGTTCAAGTTCAAGTTCAATTTAACTAATTAGTGCTTCCAGGATTGTACAGAGGGCCCCCTCCAGGTCCTGGCGGGCCCCGTGGCCCCCACTCCATGGGTCCCTCTGGTCACCCTCGTATGGTGTCGGTTGATAGCAGCGAGTCCGGCGGCGTCAGACTTGAGCGTGAAACATCGGTGCCAGTGCCAATGTCAACCCCGATCCGCGGACCACACAACCATGGCGACCGTTCTAGCCATGGCGATCGTTCCAACCACTCCGTTCCTGGTTCACACGGCCATCCTCGTCCTGCTGGAGCTCGTGGCAATCATCGCTCGGGACCTCCAGGCCCTGATCGTGGAGCTGGAGCTGGAGCCTCGCGGCCCTGGAACAACGGTTCGCTACCTCCTCGTACCGACTAGACCGAAATTGACCCGGAGCCAGTCATGGGGTCACTCTCGTGGATACGATCTGACGATGAACGATTATGGCAATGTTATGTATGGCATTTACGATGCCGATGGATGAAAATGATTTACGATGCCAGAAGACCTTTTCCCCGGATAATGACTACATTTATCTAGTTTGACAAAAGCAAAAGAATTCCCGTGGAAACAATCAGGAAGAAATGTTTTGTATCATAGGCCTATGCCAAGTTCAAGTTTCAGCAGACTACAAAACATTTTACCTCAAAAATACTTTCATTATTTTGATATTCAGAAACTCAACTCTCAGCAACAATACAGATTCTATTCCAACTGTTGACTCAATGTGCCCTAATGTACTCTGTAAATCTTCAAGTTGTACTTGCAAACGGCGGCCGCATGAGCATACTCGGGTGACGAACCCCGATGATTTTCGGCTACCCCGATTACTTTCGGCACCACTACCAGCTTGTTTCACATTCCGGTGGGTCTAGTGCAGTGATTGATATTTCCCAAAAATTAGGTGCATCCTATTTTCACTGAAGTTGATAACTTCGAGACATTGACATTGAAATCCCCGTTATCTCCGAGCCAGCCGCTTTCGATCAGCAACCCACAGAAACCTTATGAAATGGTCGATACGGTGGGACTTCCACAATATGCCGTAGACTTTAGGACGGAAAACCATGGTGTTTCCACGCCGACGTCTTCTCACCTGGGATGACATATGTGACGCTAAACCCAGGTTGGATTAGCTGAGATGGAAACCGCTTCTTATTGGTCGAGCGCCAGATCTATAGAACGGCGCTTCTATTATGAGTGCTAATGGTGCATTCAAAAGGACCTGTCCGGTATCCGCCTTCCTTTGCGAACTCTTTCATCTTTTAACTGTTCTTTTATCCTTTCTATCTGGTCGTTTTAAGCAGTTCCAACCGCACTATACCGTCTTTTGATTGGAATCTGTTCATTAACGAACCTAACGCCAAAGTTGTTACCAATCTTGTAAAGAGAATGAGAGAGAAAGTATAGGAAGCTTAAGGATCCTTCTTAAGGTCGGCTTCAAGTGCCCTACCATCAGAGAGTCATTGACTAAAGGACTGATAGGTTTACGGTAAATCTCAAGCTATCTGACTACATACACTGGCTTAAACAGGAAAATCTTACGCTGAGAGTTATTAAAGGATACTTCCGGTAGTACTATAAAGAGTATAACTTGGTATATGAGTTAGCATTCTTCACTATAACACGGTACTGGAGGATATAGGTTTGTAAGGAGACTGACCGTCTACTACAACTCGATCTATCCTAGAAAGTAATATAGGTATGTCTTGAATATTCTCAATACTCAACTTAAAGGCTTTGTAGCTAATTTTCCTAGCTTATAATAAGTCTTAGCAATGAATGGGGCCTTGACAAAACTGTAAAGGAGCAACCGCCTATTAATATTGATGATCTCTTATTTACTACATAGTAGCTACTAGCTGTATACGATTTGAGCTTCCCTATCTTTTGTATCCTGCTTCAAATGAATACTATATAAAAGATAATATACTCAAGTACAGCGCGTCTGGGATATCTAATTGAATCTAATGCGCATAGAAGGACTGGAGATGCTTTAAAATATAAAGATATAGAGCTCTTTATGGTCAAGCATCCCTAGGATCCGAGTTAGTGTAAGCTGCTTCTAAAAGTAAAGCACAGACTGATCAAAGGGAGAAGAAATATAGGAAGAGCGTAAGTAACAAAAAAACAAGCACTTTTAACGATCTTCGGGGATATTCTAAAAGACCTAACCTTGCAGATGACTTATCTGGTAATTGATGCTCTTGATGAGTATACAAATAGGCTTTATTCTCCTCTAGACTTGATTATCCAAGAGTTATCAGTCAATTTATAGATAAAGTGGGTTGTTTCTAGCCGCAACTGGCCTGAAATTACTGAGCGGCTTGACATTGCTGCCTAGGTAGCTCTGATCTCATTAGAGCTGAACGAGGTTTCTCTATCTAGAGCAGTGAATTATTTTATCTACTACAAAGTTCAGGAATTAGCAAAGGCTAAAAGGTACAGCGATAAAATTTGTAATGGCGTTAATTCCTACCTATTATTAAACTTATAAGGTACCTTCCTCTGGGTGGCCTTGGTATGCCAGAATCTTGAAAAGATACGAATAAATGTACTAAGGAAGCTAAAATTAACTTCCTAGGTTAGATGCTCTATATAGTCGAATGATTAGCCAGGTTCACGAATCTGAAGATACCGAGCTCTGCAAGAAAATACTGGTAATTATATCAATCATTTTTCGGCCTATTACGCTATATAAACTGACTTTATTTATCAAACTACCGGACGACGACTACGATGATCTTATTTCTCTTGAAGAGATAATCATAATCTGCGGATCTTTTTTAACGTTACAGAAATATACTATTGTATTTATTTATCAGTCTGTAAAGGAATTTTTACTTAAGGAAGCACTCAGTGAGATACTTCCCAGAGGTATAGAGGCTAAACACGATATAATATTTATACAATCTCTTAACGGTATTTTTAAGACACTTCAACATAATATCTAGAATATCAAATATCTAGACTCTATACAAAGGATATCTGCAAACCTAGCCTAAATCCACTAGCAGCGGTGGCATACTTATATATCTACTGGATAGACTATCTTAAAGCTAGACTACTTAATAGAGCTTGTGAGCTAGGAGTTTATGACTAAGGTCGCTTAGAAACGTTTCTGCAGCAGAAATTCCTCTACTGGCCAGAAGCTCTTAGTATTTTGGGAAGTATTTCGGATAGTATCTAAATGATGCAAAAGCTCAAGATTTTGATTAAGGTAAGTGGTTAAAATTAGAAAAAAGATAATCTTCTCTTCTGATAAGTAGCGTACTAAAACAGAAGAGAAAAGAGTCAGGAATACTATTAAATTAAGCTCAAGACGCCTCTAGGTTTATTCGATATTATAGAACAGTAATTAAAAGCAGCCCTCTACAAGTATATAGCTTACCTCTTATCTTTAGCCTACTAAAGAGCCTTATAAGGATATCTTTTTAGGATAGGAGACCAGACTGGGTCTTAAATTATCCTGTGGTAGAGGAGAACTGGAGTCACTATCTTCAAACTCTTGAGGGGCATAACGAAGGGGTCACATCGATTGCCTGGTCGCCAGATGGAAGCCAACTTACATCAGCGTCTTCTGATAAGACAGTCAGGATCTGGGATCTAGCTACCGGCCAGAGCGTTTCAAATCTTCCTATCGGCTTCATCGACTCTCTTCAATTTGACAACGATAATATCAATCTTCTGCACACAAATCACGGTACATATGACATACGTTCAAAAGGTCCGATGACGCCTGTATCTGACGACTTCATCTCGCCGCTTAAGCAGTATAGATACGGATTAAGCCAGGAACGTTCCTGGATAACCTATAATGGACTTAAGCTGTTGTGGCTGCCTTCAGAATATCACCCAAATTCTTACGATAATTTCGCTAGATATGCAACCACATTGGCGATCGGTTGCTCATCAGGTCGTGTTATATTTCTCATGCTCTCAAAACAAAATCCCGTTTTTAGCCTTTGATTTCTGTTTAGACAACCACAAATCTATGTCTACATATCTAAAACGTGACCTCATTACGCTTCTTCCAGTCTCACCCAAATCTCCTTAATGATCACCACCGACGTTGCGCGATCAAGCTATGTGTTTGCAGCTCACTCCTTTTTATATCAATTAAATCAGTTTTCCTCTTAAATTTCCAGGGTTCCTCGGCGATTGGAATGATGCTTCAAGTGCAATGTATATTTGTGAGGTGAACTTACCGGTCTGCTTCCTGTTAGCACTGATCAACGCCCGCAGCTTTCGGATCGCCAAGACAAAATAGCTTCCCAGGAGCCGCAGTGCCCCTCAGTCACGTGCAGTTCCCAATACCCCAGCTTCCCCCGGTGTTCAATCAAAAATCATTTCGTCTGCCCCCTGATCAGAGGGGTGCATTGCGGTAGCCTCAAACCCTGAATATCATCCGCGTACAAGGCATATTGATATCCAACGAAAGTGGCAAGGAGAAGTCCAAGACGCCGGGGCAGTGGGACTGAAGTATATCCCAACTACAGAGCAGACACGAGGCTTCAAACCAGGAAGGTGCAGGCACCTTTCCCTTCCTTTTTACCACTGGTTTTGGAAGGTTTTTATGGGGCCTGGCAACCGTGATGAAAGATCCCTGGTATCCTTCTGACGAAGCAGATTAGCGAGTGGGAGTGTTGAATATCCCGGTTACTGAGATAATTATGGGGACTGAGATCACGTGCGTACATTTATAGCTGTCCACCAGCCTACTTATATCTACAACACTTAACACAACAATCAACTCCCTTCAATATTATTAACACCGGAGCATCACTTCGTTTTCGTGGGCGGGTTTTGGCGAGCGGCGCTAGCCTTACTTTGATGATCACGTGATATAGAGATATTAGCCACAGGCCCACAGCTTGTCGCGACAGAGCGTAACGTTACTAGTCGATTTCACCATCCAATTGCTTGGCATTGCTTATTAACAGGCTTTGTCATCGTAATCTGTTGTTAAATAGTTTTCCTGAGGTATTCTAAATTGATCAGACTGTTACCATTTTCCAGACAATACCTAATGACCGATTCATGGTCGTGAAACAGCTTACGTCAATGACACATCTATGCGTGGCGAAAATTTCATATGTTCTTTATCGAGCGGGGGCTATGAAGATAGTTTCTCTTAGTGATATTTATTGAAAAATATCCAGGTTCACTGAAAATTCAAACCGGACGCAAAAGCTCGAAACCGGAAGTAAGCATGAGGTCTTATCGCAGACCGAGGGTTGCGACGCTGACAGCATCTCTTGCAGCCACTATTCGAAAGGGAGAAACTTCATTTCAGTTTATACGAAAAGTAGCCTCTTGGATACTTGCTTGACAAGAGTTACAAGGTAAACTCAAGCTTTGACTAAACTTTTACATCCCCCCCGCTTACAGGACTAAAGGAACGAACGTACTTTGATTCCGGTGATTTCGCTTTTTCTGCAGGTCAGCGTGCGATAGAGACTGGCGCCATTGAACCGGGCTGCGGGAATCAAAACGTGATAGTATCTCTCACCCTAACGCGCCAGTCCCCAGTAATAGCAACGTTGACTATGGTGCCAACAAACTATTGGATAGAAAGAGCGTAAGCCCAGAAAGAGAAAGTCTTCTCCTTCATGAAACAGAAATGGATCCGTACGATGCAAAAGGCGATGATGATGGAAAAGTTGATACAGAATCCGGGGAATGGGTATCATCATTACAGCAGAGAGGTAGATGTTTCCCAAAAGTCGACCGCGACTCCGAGACAGGGACAACCTAACCGCCAGTCGATAGCCAAATTGTGTATTTGAAATTCGATTTCCAAAACCTAGTCTATCCAAGTGCCTGATTTGTTCCTCTTTTTAAACCCGTTCCATATTGTATCATGGTAGGAGTCATTTATGGGTGAGTTTTATGCTACGTAAGAGCTTGAACCATCTGCCAAGAGAGTCCCACGCTTAAAAGACTGCGCGGTGGGTCTGACCGACATCATCTTGGCCCCAATTCCCACTGCAGCCCCCTTCGCCCCCAAAATTTGTCATTCAACTTATAAATAACTTAAGTTTATTTCCTTCAGTGAATACAAATACAATTAAATTTCATGTTCAGATTCTTTCGCTGCTTCCGCAAACATTCACTACCTTCTGTTAATCTCATTTCCCCCACCATCATGAATCGCACACAGTCCACATTAAGGTATGTTTTGATTCCTGCTTCTTGAGAATTCACACTGATTTTCCGCTATAGCTCCATTGAGGAAGTCCCTCAAGAATGTTTGATGCAAATTCTTGATCATCTTGTTCCATCCGATGCTGCTTCGGCTGGCTCTGCATCTCGAACCCTGAATATTTCTTCCGAGGAATCTCTGTATCGTCAAATCGATATTGACTGGACTCAACCTCCTCTTAAACGGGTCTTATCATTATTTCGCGTGGTTCATCAGCGACCAGATCTAGCCGCGCATATTCGCCATGTTCGCATGATCTCATCTCGCCTGGAGTACCCCGCAAAGGACCAACTTTCACAATGGTACCCCCCGAAAGTTGATGGAAACTGGGAGGAGCTCTCAGCTTCATTCAAGAGCGAGGTAGATACCGCAAAAGAAATTGTCAGTCGAGCACAGTTTCCATCCCCACAGAGGTGGATGCAGGCGCTAGATCAAGGTGATCCCTACGCATTTGTGGCGATTATCCTCTCCCAGCTTCACAACCTGCGATCTTTACGATTGGATTATACCTTCGTGTGGCAGTCCGGATTTCCAGGTCTCATGATTCGACATGCCCTTCTTTCCGCACCACCTAATACTTTATCAAAATTTTCTGAGCTCTCTATCGTCGAATATGGCTTGAATGTTCCTTGCAGCCGAGTATCTCAGGGCAACCCGTCAAGCTGTATTTTCCCCGAGGCATTCCCGACCTGTGACCCCGACCAGTTTGCAGGCTGGTTTTATTTGCCTTCACTGCAATCGCTAGAGATCTGGCTTCAAAACTTCTCGGGTGTTGATTTGAGCAATGTGAACCATCTGGCCAAGCTCAAAAGGCTTGTCATTATGGAGTCCTATATTGATGAAAATGAAGTCAGAGACTTGTTGTCCCTGCTTTCATCAATAGAAACAATTCATTTAGGCCTGGTTTATCCTTCTCAGGATGAAGCAGCGGGCTCAGATATTGAGTCCCCTCGTCCTCCTTTTAGAAAGCAAACGAAAGGTGCCTTTCTTGAAGGACTTTTAAGCATAGGGGGAACAGTCAAAAACCTTTCGATCAGTATTGAGCTTTGCCCAATAAATCTGGGCTCACAATGGGATGAAAATGACTTTGGTAATATTGAAGAAGGATTGTTGCCATTTCGAGGGGTTTTAAAGCGATTGCCCCATCTTGAAACCGCAGAGCTACCGGCAGCCATGCTTTTCGGGTGGGTTCATGATGACGCACCGGGTTTAAGCAAACTGCTGCCATCGACACTCCAAAAGCTCGCCATTCGGGAGAACCTTCATTGTGTGGCGCGCGACACCCAGGTTGTCGAGGATTTCAGCCCGGGGGAAACTTACGAATGGGGGCTTGATGCTGTGGCCAGGGCTATCCAGAAGTTTCTCCCTTCGGCACAAACTTCGGCACCGCTACTCAAAACAATCATCATTCGAGACTTTGCAATGGATTCCAGAGGGCACATTGCTCAAGAAGAAACTACCGTCGCTCGATCACTATGCGAGGATTTAGGACTGGACATGCATATCGCTCTCAGCCCTGACGCATTACCAGCTGGATTCTGGACGGCCAGTAGGGCACTTCACGAATACGTTACGACTTGGAGACCATTGGATCCAATCAGCTCAGAATCCCCATTCTGCTAGTCTCATAGACTCTGATGATTCATGTTACATTAATTGTCTAGGGCCGATAAATCAAGGTGCAGAGCGAAGCTTGATTGGGGCGTGTTGGAGATTTTTATCTCATACAGTGGCCCAAAAATAAATATTATCAGTAATAAAATGAGTTTTCAATGATAAATTTCCCTATCCAAAGTCAATAGTCATTAACTAAACAATGGAATATATGAAAAAAAGAAAAAAACCGGTAGCTTTTTCTCATACATTCCACTCCAGTTAGAGGGGATTTTATAATAGAGCCTTTTTCTCCTTTGAAATGGCATTGGGTGACAGAAAAAATTTTAATCATGTTCTGGGCCCTTTTGGTTACATAGAATTAATATGATATCAATAATATAATAAAGATGCCATCTAAAAATTATTCAGCTCAATTGTCTCATAAAAGACAAAAATATCTCTGCAATATCTTAATTTGAATAGGGGCTTCTCTGAAAGTCAACTCCGCCATGAAGATAAGGCGGACGTGAGATACAGAGAATACTGCCTTGAAACCTTTCAAAGCTACTGGCTGGTCAATTATGACCACCGTCTATTATTCCCTGTTCATACTCTAAAGTCTTATCTATTTAATTTTTTGCGAGGCGCAATTGCTTCTACGATATATGATGACCTCTTAGGAATGTGGTAATTATTTCAGAGAAATTCTAATGAGATCAAATCTATTTACATTCCATAGAGTAACCGTTACAACACCAGTATATATCAGGTATTTCATTTACCCACATCCTCATCACCTCAAAACCCGGATACATTATCCTATTTTTGGGATTCAAGAAGACTCCTCGTCCCGCTTACCCCCCCTTGCCTTTTCCCTTAGGCTGTTCGACCTTTGCACACTTTTCCAAAGCGACGTTTTTTGTGCTTGTAGGCTCCGGGGTATCCTTTCGATCTCTGTTTTTATTCGTGTCTTCTATAACCTCAAACTTCATCTCCTTGGTCCATTTATTGCACCCCCATTGGGGCGATCCCGGATCGCCGGAACAGGGAGGCAGATAACCGTCCCCCCCCACCATGCAGCGACCCTAGGATTCTCTTTCGATATGTCCTTGTCGGGATTATCAATCATCCATGTCATTGTGGACGTGAGCTCACCACACATTCCGTTGCTCTTATGTTGGGGGTCCGAATTCGCCTCTTTCGAGCAAGCTTCAAGGGCATCTGTGACCTGTGTGAACTGCTCAGGCATCTCAGGCAGCTTGTTGAACGAGCCGTCTCCTCCTTTCTTAGGATAACTCAGTTTGTATATGATAGGCTTGCTCTTGTCACTTCTTACTGAAGAGGAGAAATAAACTTGATTTCCAATGGCTAGACCAATCATTGCGCTTGGCTTATGATGATTCTTTTGGACTTTATCGGTCAATTCCCTCATGTCATCATATGCTTGTTGGATCAAGTTCAAAAATTGGTCGTTGGAAGGCTCATTTTTGAAGTCGCAAACAGAGCCGTAGGAATGCAGTTTGTAGGGTTCGAGCGAAGTATCTTTTGCAATGCCGAGGACACCAGCCAAGACCAAATTGGCAATCAGTCCTATCAAAAGGAAGAAAGACATGAAAGGGCCCGAGACCATGATGATGGGTATGCACCTAGCAGGTGGCAAATAATTGATAGAATATTATAATCAAAGATCTCAAAGATTTAGACCTGAATTCGACGATGTGGAAATTGGGAGTCGGGCGGGTGATTTGGATGAATAGAACAGAATGAGAAGCACTGGCTTGCCTGGTCGACTCTATTTAAATATACCAGAGAATTCAATGTTCGAACCTATTTATGGAAATCTAGAATTTTCAAATCACTCGTGAAGATCAATGGCATGTTGCAATGACCTTCGCTGTTGATCAGGGTCGCTGGCCCCATCTAGCCGCCCTTTCGGCCCCATGGCCCCCATTGGTGTAAAACTGGACCTGGAAGTTGTGATCTTCATCAATCCACCCATTGTTTGATCTAAATTTGTATATTCGAGTGTAATTGCTGGTCTAATTGTATTCCAAATGAAATTCATGTCCAAGTTTGCCAACTTCTAAAGTGCGCAAAATTTGGGGCCAAGGGCGAACTGAATGTCCACTTTCTTTATTTTCACATATTGCACGCACACACACCCAGAGAAGTAGATAATAAGCGTCATAATCGATAAATATAGACTAAAATTGAAATTTCATATATGTTGAGATATCCTGTTACTGCGTTCCAGAGAAATTTGTGAACTGAATATTGCAGTATATTACTATCTTCTAGTCGTTTGATATGCAAGGTACGTGAGCCAAGTGTGGGGCCCGAAAACTTGAAGATCCCCCCGGCCCCCTCGCCATTGGGCATGTGGATGCTTAAGCTTAGACCAATTGGCCCCCAAGGCCCCAATTAAGCGCGGTTATGATCAACAAACAGCCCCCAATTCTTCACTTTGCGCTTCCGCGGCCCCGAAATACTTCACACAATGACGGCAATCTTTGTATCAGCTTCAAATTCTCAACCTGATCGCTTGGCCAGGTTATTATTACATTTAGTTAATGGCCCCAAATATACCATTTTGATGAAGTCACTAGGACTTTATCTCAAATCAAGCGCATTAAAAATAGAAACCGTTCTGCGAAAACACAATTAGGACGTAGCATAAATACAGCAATTGCCCTGGATTTCTCCATTAGAGTAGAATTTGCAACTTCCTGCTTAACAAAATTCGTCATGAAACCTTTCTGGGCGGTGATTGTAGCATCGCTTGCCCTCGTATGCCAATCTGAGGGCTCAAGCCTTTCTCCAAACAATGAGGATCCAGGTTCGTACTTCAGAAGTCCTTGCATTTGTTTCACGGAAATTATACTTACTTTTTTCTTCAGTCGTTGGTGATGCGAGTGTTCTTCAAGCGAGAAACATAGCCAATGATGAAACTGTAACAAGTGTACTCTGGGTTCGGGATAATACACCTTCTCCTAGTTCCAGCCATCACCCTCAAGCGTCCATGACGCATCATTCTCAAGAGACTGGTACCCCCAAAGATTCCGCTACCCGTCGACCTCAAGAGTCCGGCACTCATCATTCTCAACAAACTGGCACTCCTAATGAGTCCACCGCACGTAATCCCCAAGAGTCCGGCACTCACCATTCTCAAGAGACTGGCACTCCCAAAGATTCCGTTACCGGTCGTCCTGAAGAGTCCGGCACTCATCATTCCAAAGAGACTGGCACCCCCAAAGACCCTGGCAGTTCGAAGGACTCTGGGACACGCCATCCGGGGGAGCCGAGCACTCTTCCGTCGGATGCACAGCACAGCTCCACGCATAACCCGCATCTAAGCTCTCAGGGGTCGATACCATCCAGCACGAAACATGGTTCAGAATACACTAGCTCCCCTGGTTCACCAGAGAGCTCAGGACCACTGGCATCTTCATCCCCTCCCAGCTCGTCAAACGCCGAATTGGAAAGTTCTTCGTCTTCGAAAACAATTACCGGTACAAGTAGTAGCACGGGGGCTGCCGCAGTTGGGATAGCTCATAGAACGGTAAATTGTTTCGAGTGAACAAAAGGTACATCTCACTAACTCTTCTAGACCATCCCGATTACCAAAGATCATGAGACTAGCAGTGTTGTTTTCACTGGTACTTCGGTCACTACCTCCAAGGACTCAAACCCTACTCTCGCCTGGGGATGTTCGCTGAGCGATATCTGTGGCACTGGTGGTGGAAGCACTGGTGGAGGTACTAGCGGTGGCTGTATAGTCCCTATACTATGTCCTCACGACAGTAGCTGGGGTCTCGGTGGAGGATGGGTACCGTCTGGAAACCCACCAGCTGGTGGTCCCACGCCACCTTCACCAGATCCAGTCCCTGACAATCCCAAAAACGATGACAATGGCGACGACGACAACGACGACGACGATGATGATGATGACGACGATGACGACGATAAGGATAAAGAATCATCCACATCTCAGCAGACGTCGACTACTAGTACTCCTTCAAGTTCTACTAGTTCAAGTACTACTACTACTACTACATCTACATCTACATCTACATCTACTAGTTCACCCTCGGCGTTCAATCTCTGTCTATCCGTCTATGAAGGAAGTGGCACTATCTCAACCACCCCCACAACCTCTTCGACATCATCGGCCTCTTCTACCACAACTACTCCTGCGTCACAATTCAATATCTGTTTGTCTGTCTATGAAGGAAGTGGCACTATCTCAAGCACCCCAACAGCTTCTTCTACATCATCGGCCTCTTCTGCTACAACAACTCCCGCGTCGCAATTCAATCTCTGCTTGTCTGTGTATGAGGGAAGTGGCACCATAAGTGAAAGTACCCCGAAGACTACTTCCACATCCTCAGGTACCGCAATGTGCAGTCTTCGGGTTGTTGATACAAGCTCCTCTCTATGCAGTTGTGAATCCACAATGTCCAAGCACTCCTTGACCCATCAAATCATGAAGCCAACCGACAAAGATTGCAGTGACATCAAGACCTTCCCGATGACAAGCTTCATACGCACTTCTTCAACCCCATCTGTTACTTCTGGTCCCAAGGCAACACAAAGCTCGGCCAATTCCGCTAGCTGTCATGAAAACAAGTATCATGGAGCACACACAACTCAAACCTTCTGTAACTGCATTGGAGGTCCTTCATATGATCCAACTGTCAGCGTTTTCTCGCTTCCAACCAGTGGACCCAAGTGCGCTGATCTCAAGACTTTCCCTGACACCGGTGTCATTCATACGCCCGAGGAACCCGCCGATCCACAGATGTGTTCCAATCCTGGCCCCTCCGATGATCATGATTCTGGCTGGTGCAAATGCGAGAAAAACGATTTGACCCAATGGGCACCATTGCCCCATATACAAGGCACAGCTACAGTACTAGAAGGCAATTGCCAGGCAATCAGCACTATTGCATTCACGACTCCTACTGTTGCACCACCAAAAACTGTTACCGACTTTACTGATGTTGATCCAATGAGTCGAAGTACAATGTATGCTTCGGGAGTTGTAATAACAACTGACTATGGCGTTGGTCCGTACACACAAACAGTTGGTGTCGGGGATCCTACAGAGGTTTATCAACCGGCTATGACTTCTACTATGGCTAATTCAGACGTTGAGCTTATCCCCGCCAAGACTATTGAAGATGGGACCAAAACTATGGGCGCTGAGCCAACAACGATTTCGACACATAAAGCAGAGGCTCAGTGCAAATATGTCACTGGCCCAGCATATTACAACTATATCATTTGGAATGTCTTTGATTGGGCATCAGACTACCAAGACTTCGAAAGCCTCGCTGAGCACCTCCATGATAGGCTCAAGGCACGAGACTGTTTCTCTTCCCAATTCAAATGGAAAAACTTTGTTGATCATTATGGTCCAACCATTTCATTCACTACCTACGAGCTTCAAGACATATGTGTCAGACATGCCATTCAAGATGTTGGTGGACCGGACACCTTGTGCAGTCACGATGATGACGCTGGCATTCATTGGTGGACAAATCCTGACAGCATAGAGGGTCTTGTGGCTCATGGGAAAGAGGTAGATGATCCTCATTCTACGTATGAAGCTCAGGCCACTGGTACTTGAGGCTCTTTCAATCGATGAATAAGATTATATGTACTAGATTACACCCCTGTGGAATAGGTACAAAATTGTGGCATGCCCAAATATCATGCTAAAGTAAATAAGCGAGAAAGAGCAATTTTACATGTTTTATTTTCTGTTATACTAGAAGCAATGATATTCCTTATCGTATTAGCTGGTCTCGGGGATCTTCCTCTGCAGCGACACGTTGCTTAACTTAATAATCCCATACCTCAACATTTCCAGACAAATTTGGTTGTGCTCTCACTCCAGTTCTTTGGCATTTGCCCGAGGCACATCTTGCTGTGACAAAGTAATCTTCACAGTCTGCAATTGACCTACAGCTTTCTCCGGGGCAACTGATTTGGGTTTTTTTTGAAGCGTGCCCATTGGTATTGGCAACGGACGCCGTTTTATCGACGACTTGCCACCTAACGCTTCTCACAAGTCCACCGACATATTTCTTCTCACCTGCCTCATTATATCCTGCGAACATGCTGAGATGAGTGTGGTCAATTGAACCATCTCATCTCGGCAGTAGCTTCCACTAGATTCTAGTTACTACAGGTCTCACTCTATTCATCACGGACTGATTCCCTACCTGTAGAGTGTACACATATTCTTCTTGTCCGCGGGCGCTTCGCAGGGAATATAAATTGACCCAACATTCCGTGAGCTAGATATCATTAGTTATCATCTTTTTTCTTTCAGTGGAGACTCTCCGAAATTCAGCCTTTAGAATACCTACTATATACTGTCAAGGGCTTGACAGGATCCATCTAGAGGAATTTCCTGTACCCAGCCACCCTGAAGAACGTTCTGGGTCGTGAAAACACGTGGGTTCTTTGGTAACACGTGTTCATACTGTGCAAGAGCACCATGATAAAAGGACACGAATGAAAGGACTGCAATGTGTACTCTCATGATTTTTGGAAGCATCGGTGATGTCCACGACTTTGTGGGTCAAACTCGAATGAGACCTGGCAGAAGCTATCTCAATCAGATTAAGTGAAAAGAAACTTGTGCTAATCAAGTTGATGGATTATTGCGACTTTATATGCTTACTGGGTCTGGACTTTTCTTGGGGATAAATGCATTCTCAAGCAGGGAAACCGAGGTCATTTTTGGTTTATAATCCCGATGGATTCCGGGCCATTGTATTTGCCAGGGAAGACAAGAGTAAATAATTACATCGAAGGTATGGAAACCAATAATTTTAAAATATTTCTAATTCCAATATTCACTTTTCTTTGCTGGCCAAACGGATCAACAAGGAGACTAGCATCAAGCGCCACGGTGGCGCTTGATGCTTGAACTAACCATGACTCATGAATTGGCATCCGACTATTTGAAGATGTCGAAAATGTTTTTTAATCCCCATTTCGTGTGAACTTGACAACTTACCCTTTTCGCAGTGGCAAGACCATTATGATATAATCATTATATGATATAGAGAGGATCGAAATCGATTCCAACACTCAGATTCAAAGGAATAGAAAGAAAATTCATTTCCGGAATGAATTTTGTTTCCCCGGACCCTGCATCAAACATGCTAATTCACGTACTGACTAGCCCTGTTTAACATATTCACTTATATCGAGCTATTTCGGGATGATTTTGATTCTTGTTGCGAGATGCACTTACTTTGGACCCTGCATAAGGCGAGCGATAAACGCCACCGAGTCCACTCATGAACCCCAAATTTTCAGCACAGCCAAATTGAAGTTAATTTAGACTACAGAAGGCTCTATACTGAGTTTATAATATTCATATATCCTCTAGTTAGTATTAGATGCTGCTTTACTATGTCCTATGCTTGTCAAAAAAAGGTAGCAGTCACATATAGACCTAATTGACTGCCCGCCAATTAACTAGGTCATCCACAGTTCAACGATCTTTCACAGTTCAACGATCCTTATTATTTATTTGCCCTTACCACTACCTTTTTTACGATGAATTTGAACAAAATGACTATCAAAGAGCGTGTAATTGCGGCCTGCCAAAAGGCTAGGACCCTTAAAAAGCCCAATTTCGCCGCGTTGTTGCGTGAATATTGCGTTCCCGTACAGCGCCTACGGGCGCGTACAAAAGGTCGATAATCCAAAAACGACCGTCCTGCACCCTATAGAAGGCTAGATAACGCTCAGGAAGCTGCATTATTTGCCTAGATTAATCGTCTAGATAACCTAGGTATTCTATCTACTTCCGGACGTATAGAAGCTAGTACAAATACTATGCTTTATTGTCTAGACCTATTGGCGCTATCTCTCAATAAAAACTAGGTATACTACTTTATTAAGAAAGCAACAATACAACACAGCTTTTTCTGGATAAAGCAGAAGCTAATAGGACGTGATCAACATAGTAGCCTTGATATTGGTATCATACAGGCTTTTTTTGATCAGATTAAACCTCTTATTGCTGCTATTCTGGCCTCCTATATCTATAATTTTAATAAAACTAGATTCCTTCTAGGCCAGGGAAGACCTTAAAACGTGCTTACGAAGTATTATAGACGTTGTTCTATTGTATCTGAGGAGTGTAGTAGTCCTTTTACTAAGATTAAATATATTTTAGCAGATAGTTAGTTAATACCAGTATATTTTGTTATAAAAGGCAAATTCCATCTTAAACACTGGTATCTCAATAACAACAATCTTCTATATAATTCACAGATAGCTATATTGTCTAGTAGCTATTCTAACGATGAAATAGCTATAGATTAGCTAAATTTCTTTATTCAGCATATACAGTAAGGTACAACTAGCAGAAGATTATTATTATATAATAGCTATAGTTTATATCTTACCTGGGAATTCTTAGAAATATACAGGCTAAACAACATTATTGCTAATGTATTCCCTTCCTATATAACTAATCTAGTCCAGCTACTTAATAGAAGCCCCTTTTAAGTATTAAAACAGCGATTTAAAGCCAAAAATAATAAGGTTGTAAGCTAGGGCAGAGATATATACAATAGTAGCTTTTTTTTCTAAGAGATTAAGGCTATTCGCCAGGAATCAATAACAATATATACTATTCGTAAGGCATTTACTACATATGGTATCTTTCTATTTAAACCAGAGCTTGTTATTGAGCTATTAATAGAGGAGCTTAGTTACAATATCTGCAACCTTTAAATATTTAATAGTGTCAATAAAGCTATACAAATTAGCTCAGATTTACCTACGTCACCTCTCAGAAATAGGTTTACAGCACGCCGATTGACAACCAAATTAAACAAACTTTTAGATACTGAAAAAGAGGCAATTTCACCGAAGCTTCGTGATACAATTGATCAATATACTGGGGCCTACATCAGCAAGGTAGACCTAGTTGGTATTATGGACAACACATTATAAAACCACCTGCTAAAACAACCTAAAATTATACGCAAATCAAAGCGACGGGTTGGCAGATTTAGTCCATTAATAACCGGCGATGCTATACACCGTATTGCTAAAAATATTGCTAAGCAAGCAGAGCCTACTAAGGAAGATGACCAAAATATAGAGAGCTCAGAGGGCCCTGAGAGCCTAGATATACCTGTTCCGACCGAAAAAAAGCCTTCACATACTATTCCTGGTGGCGAAGAAATGTTTGAAACAGCCCAGGTCTATACTAGAGCGATGTTGTGGTAGTAAATAGCAATATAATAAAAAAAGGATCGTTGAACTATGAAAGATCGTTGAATTGTGGATGACCTAATTGGCGGGCGGTCAATTAGGTCTACATGTGACTGCTATTGAGTTTACAGATGAGGAAAGTTGGACCCGGAATATTAAGGCACCAACCACGAGTCACTAAGCAAGAATCGCTCTCAGGGTTATAATACACTTCAAAATGAGTAACATGTTCTCACTACTCTTTCTTCCCAAGCCTTACTAATAGAAATATGAGATCTGGTGGCTATAAACCAACCAATTATACTAGAGAAAGGGTGTTGTTGTTCGGCGCCGAGACAGTCCAAGGCTGACCAGTTGAATCAGCTCTTGAGAGGCCAGATTTAAAGATAAAATCTTTTCGTTGACCTTTCTGTGTGTATCCTCTATTTCACGCATAAAGTCGATGCTCGTAGTGCCCTCTCCTTGGAGAACCTGTCCGTTTCTTTGGTCGCACAATGATCTAAGCGTTTCTATTTGCACCTTTTGCACCCTTTTGAAGTCGGTCCACAATTCTGCATCGCTCAGGTGGGTCTTGATTAGGTCTGTCCTTCTTCCGTTGGAACGAAATGTCTCTTTTCGCTAGTGGTATGATCAGCAAGGCTAGCTAAGAGGTGGTTAACTCCCATACCATATTGGAAAGATGATCTTCTGCAGCTTCAAAAAATTTATCCCATTCATCCTCTAGCTGCTGGATGCAAGGGCAGAAAATCTCAGTCGGTGAGTTTGAAATTTCGCAATACTCCAATGTTGTTAATAGAATTTTGGATTCAAGAATTGGATTTCCGGACGTCGATCCCAGCTGTTGTTGATTTGACTTAGTGAAAAGCCAAATTATGGCATGGTTCTTCCGTTCTGCCTTCAGAGCTGACAGTTGATTGGATTGAGGGAGTAGTTGATATGCGGGTAGTGATACACGGCATTCGAGAAAACCTTTCATGCCATTAGTATCAAGGTCTTGAGACGGGTGAAAGCGATATGTACTAACATCCAGTTGGAGAAGGCTGTCTTAAAGCAACAGCACTTGGAATTCCATTTAGCTGTACTATCTAATGCCACTGATCAACTTTGTCCTTTTCCATCGTCGGCTGCGGTTTCCGTTTCATGACCTTGCGCCACCATCGCCAGCAGACTCCCTCAACAAAAGATTGACCGAGAAGGCTATCGTTTTCAAGAAGCCTGAAAATGTCAGCTGACTTTCTGTTTATTAATTAGATTGAGGAAACTCACACGACTGCCCTGTGTGGAATATCATTGGCAACACACTTATCACCTTGTGCTGGTACGCTTGGCGTGGAGAAAGCTAAGGAATATGACATCGCATAAAAGTATTGCGTTAATTGCTGACCAGACTTCACTTGTACTGGAGATATATTTGGTCCCAAGGCTAGAATAATGTTCCTTTTTGTGATTGATGGGACGCAAGCTCTCCAGTCTGCTGCCTTTATTGAACTCTTGGTGATACGAGGGAAAATGCGGCACATCATTCCAAAATCCATCAGTTGAGAGGCGCGCTGAAATGGAGTAAGCTTGTTGAAATCTTCAATGTTAACATCAGCACCATGTTTGATAAGCCATTCCGCAGCCTCCCCAGCGGAATTCTCAACAGCGCGGTGTAAAGGGGTACATCCATCAATGTCTTCTTGGTTGATAGCGGCATACATGCGGCGCCATGCGTCCCCCTTTTCGTTATTGGCAGCTGAATTCAATGAGCTTTCTAGGGCTTGGAGGACTTCTGGGTTGTGAGAAGCGGCAATATGAAGTGGCGTCTGGTGGAAAGCATCAACTTTGGCTATGTGAATATATGCGCCAGCTTCAAGGAGTAAATTCAGGGTCTCTCTGTCCCTATAAGCGTCAGCTGAATGTAGCAATGATGCACTGTGGGAATCAACTGAAGGAATTCCAACATTTGCACCCTGGCTGAGGAGGAGCTTGATGACATTCGAGTTTCAACAAAATACTGCAGCTTGGACAGCAGTTCCATATAGACCACCTTGGACGTTCACATCGGCCCCCTGCCTAAGGAGCTCCTTGATAATATCGAGATATCCATCAAGTACTACGGCTTGGAGAGCATTTCCATATACACCACCTTAGACGTTCACATCGGTCCCCTGCCTAAGGAGCTCCTTAACAATATCCAGGTGTCCACCAAGTACTGCAGCTTGTAGGGTATTTCCATATTTGCTACCTTGGATATTTACATCGGCCCCCTACCCAAGGAGCTCCTTGATAATAACCAGATATCTATTAAGTGCTGCGGCTTAGAGAGCATTTCCATATCGACCACCTTGGGCGTTAACATCAGCCCCTGGCCAAGAAGCTGCTTAGCAACATCCAGGTGTCCATCAAGTACTGCATCTTGCAGAGCAGTTCCTAATTCATCTTTTGGTTTGATGCTAGAGTTGCCCACCATACTGCTTCAAACGTGTGCAGCGTTGGAAACCTGAACTGAATTAAGGCTCACAGTTTACCCTTGGCATTTGTGCTGTTCACTGCCGAGTCATATTTGCTTGTTATAGTCACCTGATGCGGCACCAGAGGTGTGCCGCATCAGGTGACTATTATGACCTATCTATTACCATGACAGCCAGGCCCGAAAGACGGACAAGACTGAAGATGACAGGTCAACGCCGATATTATATGATGCTGCGCCTGTGCAATTCTTTCTCAAGATTTCAGCAAACCAGGTCTTCTTGCTCAGTACCCTCTAACCACAACTAAGGTTAGCGTCGACGCTAGCATCACAACCAAGCTGCCTACTTTGTTAAGGTGGAAAGACCACGACGTTTTGCATCAAGACCACGCCGAATCGTGGTGATTCCATCATCACCCCCATTTACACCATAGTTGACTGGGTCGGAAGGCCCGGGAACCCCATATGTGTTATCCACTAGACTTCGGGCTTAAACGGATTTAATCTGGCTGACCAGTGGAGACCTGTCAGCGGTGAAGTCTATTGTAGGCATCATGATGTAAATCGGCGGGTTGTCCTAGACATGAGAAGAGAGGTATATAAACCGAGAAAACTCCTTTATCCATCACGAATTATAATCTAAAACTCACGACTCCAGCAAGCCTTGAAACTTCAACCTTAACTTCAGCTTCAACTTCAAATCCCTTTCTTCATCATGTCGACGATCTTCGCTCCCGCCCCGGAGCCCGCCACCGAGCTTGGTCGCTACCGCATCCTTTCCTCGACGGCCGGTATTCGCGTATCCCCACTCCAGCTAGGAGCAATGTCCGTCGGAGACGCATGGTCCAGCTTCATGGGATCAATGGACAAAGAATCCTCCTTCAAACTACTAGACGCATTCGTCGCAGCCGGTGGTAATTTCATCGACACAGCAAATAACTACCAAGACGAACAATCCGAGAAATGGCTCGGAGAATGGATGACTGCCCGCAAGAATCGCGATCAGATGGTTATTGCAACCAAATTCACCACCGACTATAAATCCTACGCCCTGGGCAAAGGAAATGTCCCAAATCATTGCGGTAATCACCGTCGCAGTCTGAATATCTCGCTCCGCGACTCACTACATAAGTTGCAGACGGATTATATTGATATTCTCTATCTGCATTGGTGGGATCATACTACCTCTATCAAGGAGGTTATGGATAGTTTGCATATGCTGGTTGAGTCGGGGAAGGTTATGTACCTGGGTATCTCTGACTCGCCTGCGTGGGTGGTTGCCGCGGCCAACACCTACGCTATTGAGCAGGGGAAGACGCCATTTAGCATTTACCAAGGTCGATGGAATGTCATGCTGCGTGATTTTGAACGGGATATTATCCCAATGGCCCGTCACTTTGGTATGGCTCTTGCCCCTTGGGACGCTATAGGTAGCGGCAAATTCCAGACGAAGAAATCTCTAGCAGAGCGGGCAAAGAAGGGAGAAGGACTGCGCAGTTTGACGGGTGATGGATCGCAAACGGAGGATGAAGTCCGGATGAGTGAGGCTCTGGCCAAGGTTGCTGAAGAACATGGTATTGAGTCTGTCACTGCTATTGCACTCGCCTATGTGATGGCTAAAGCGCCGAATGTTTTTCCCTTGGTGGGTGGTCGCAAGGTTGAATATCTTCATGATAATATTCAGGCGTTGAAGATCAAATTGTCGCAAGAGCAGATTGATTACTTGGAGAGTGTGAGACCGTTTGAGATTGGGTTCCCTAATAATTTTATTGGGGTTGATCCTAGGGTGACGGGTCGTGCGACTGGATTGTTGGCAGCGAATGCGCAGTTTGCTTTTGTGCCGGCTCCGAAGCCTATTACCCCGGCGTAGGGGGTTGGCATGATCTGTACATGTTGGTTACGTGATGGCTAGCTATTTGGTATTTTCCTTTTTGAAATATCTCATTATATTCATGTAATTACAATTATCAAGGTGTTTGTTGCTTGTAAGCAGAACGAATTGAAGATTTACGAAGGACAATGTTAATTGTCATTGTTGTCAGGTCCTCTAGGTCATATTGCCGATTTCAAAGGCGCATATAGATAGGTGCAATTTGAGTGTTGACAGATGTCAGCTTCCAAGTTAAATCCGTGTCAGCAGAAAGATCTAGTAGAGGGTAGGGAATTGTAGGACGTAACTATGTCACCCAGCCCGAACAGTCTCGGGATGACCAAAAATTCTCGGCCATTTTCGTCGTTCTCACAGGTCCTCACATCATATATATCCTACTTCGTGGTGTCGCCAAGATGTGGTGGATCTAGGGTTACCCCACACCAGTTGATAGACAACATTTTGAAGGGATAGAGACATGTATGTTTCACAGGACAATAGAAGGCGTGTTGTTATGCTGGATTGCCAAGAAACTAAGATATTCCGGCACTAGCTAGACCAGGCGAGCGGATATTTTATCCAAAAGCTTCACTTTCGAGAAGTGTTTAATCGGATGTCAATGTGAAGCGGGCCCTTCTATTCCAGTTTTTGATTCTATGATTCCTTAGCAGGTCACAAGTTACTTCACAGGATCTCAACTTAACCCTTTCTGTAGTTTCATCAATACAAAGAGCTTCAAATTTTGGAGCACAAGCTTTGGCTGATTTAGATTGCCAAGATTGGCGTTACGCTAATTGATCCCGAGCTAAATAAGTATCGAGATATTCCCACTAGAAGTTCTTAGGGCCTTATTACTAGGGTAGAAAGATCCTTGATTGCTCTGTAGATTCGGGATAGATCTGTATATACTACTTTATTATCTCTTATTATTCCTGCTGTTCGGATACTTTGTGGTCTATCACTATCCAAATATGACTTCTGACGTCCTTGCTTTGACTTCTTCCCCACTATACGATCCAGCTGAGGACAATAAACTAGTAACCGAAGCAGGATGACCAGTCTTTCTACTATTATCCTTCCTGGTCAGGGCGATGGTTATACCCCGAGTTTGTCGGCTACTTCTTGAACAATTGGCTTAAAGCTCTATGGTTTAAACGGATCAAGCAAAGCCTAAGAAGGTTTCTATACCCGTCGGGAAAGAGCCAGATACAGATGCTGAGCGGTTGGTGAAGGAAACACATAAGGATGTTGTTTTCTCACACAAACAGTTCTGGGATAGAGCAAGTATCGAGCAGGTTCGACATCATTTTGCCGAGTATCTTCATGCAAGCAAGGACCGAGGAATTAGTCGATTCGAAGGCTGCCTTTCATTAATGAGCGGTCGCTGAAGTCAATCGCTGCTAGTCCTGGCTCTCAGCCTTGGGGTTTTGTTGGTATGGTCGATGGGCGGTATCCGGAGAATCGGTATGAGCCGCGATATACTATACTGGCTATATGCGGGTGGAAAATGTTTCCCCGTGGTCTCTCTTTAAGTAGTTGAGAAGTAAAAACATGCAGGAGCTCTGCCCTCTGTTTCTGATGGATTGATTCCGTTTTATGACAGTGGGACTGGGGAAGCGCAAAACGAGGAGGGGAAATTTTTGCCAACGGCGGCTGATCGAAGGCCTCGACTGTTTTGATGAATGATAGCCAGTTGATACTAAGGATAATTTGCAAAAAGATAGATCTCCACATCCCCCCATACCCGGAGATGAAGATAGTAGAGGCAAATGATTTACTTTCGAAATCGAAATATTCACAGTTATAGAACAGCTAACCTTGACTAAATGAAACCCGAGCTTGTATAAAGGCAGAAAAACATCTCCGGAAGCTTGGTTCAATTTACTGGCTCTTCTTCTTCTCCTCGCCACCCCCACCAGTAGTTGGTAGACCCATGAAAGTTTTGGAAAGAGTCGTAGCTAAAAGTTGGTCAGTATGGGGCCGAAATCAGTCCAAGAGTACATGTCTGTTATGGTTGCAAAGCCAAGGTAGCCGCCAGTTGACAGACTCTACTAGAAAGGAGGGGCGGTCAAGCGGCGGCTTATTTTCCAAAGTTACGGATGGAAAGGCTGCCGTTTCTAGCACCAAAAGCGGCTATTTTCGGCGTTGATATCACAGGTCTTTATATTCTAGTTGTAAATGTAGTCAGTAGATCGCGGTGGAGCGGTGTGGGGTTCCCGCGGCGCCGACCAGAAATTTCCCCGGAGCTTCACTTCTCATAACCCTACAACTTGCAGAATGCAAACTCAACAACCCACCAACATGGACCCTCAAGAGATCCAGTCTGTCCGCTCTATCCTACACCTAATCTATCACCGCAACAAAAACCAACATCAAAAAGCAAAGTGGTGGAGATGGCTTTCAATGCTGAAACGCACCGTCTCGGTCCTGGCCTCACTGGACTCGAAGAAGCTTGCGACAAGCTCCCACCTGCAACATTTGCACTTGGATCTGATCCCAAACTGTTATCAGTATGTTTTCTTTTCTTAAAAAACAGTCTGGAATTATCGAGCTAATTTTTCATTACAGGGCATTCTCTACTGTCATCGCCGATAACCAATTCTCTACCCTTGGTATCGTACTCGTGGCTGCTCTGGCGCGTCTAGCTAAGGCGACGGGTATGAGGTATCCGAGCGCAAAGTCTACGCGGGTAGAATTGAATCAGAACTCCAAGTCTAAGCCTGCTGTTGTGAAAGCCGTGGTGGACCGTGGAGAACGGATACGTCGCGACGGCGATGACAAGGGCGATGACTTGCCCATGTTACGCAAAAAGCAGCAGCCTCAGTCCAACGACGAAGATAATGAGAAACCTGCCAAACTTGACAAAGAGAAGAAGAAGGTCAAGAAGAGTTCCAGCAAGAAGAAAAAGAATGCCATCGATGATCTATTCAGCGGGTTATTCTGAAGATTCCGATTCCAATTCCGATTCCGATCTCTTTTGGATTAATTACGCTACGTTTAAAGTTTCGGATTGGATGGGACTTTTTTGATGATCTCCTAGGAATGGCTTCCTCCCAGGGGTTGATCTGATTCTATAAATCTAATCTTCCTATCCTATCTATCTTCGCGGCCAGAGACACGCGAGACCGATTCCGCCCAGAATATTGACAGCAACATGATTCGCCATCGCCCATGCCATGCTATAAAGATATTTGGGCGAGAACACGGTCCAGATGAACAGATGTGTTCTGAGTGCTGTACAAGCCGCCATGACCGACAACAATGAAGCGGCGACTTGGAAAGTAAATAGCGCCGCAGAGTCATGACGATGATTTTCAGAGGTATGTGGCGGGCGAAGAAGATGACCCATTGAAATCCACCAAATAGGTCCAGCCCAATTACTAACGAAGGTTAGAATACCGACGCCAATCACGCTATAGCTGCCGACTCCATTATAGGCGCTTGAAAGATCGACTGAGGAGATTGAGTTTGATCCGCCAAATGCGAAAAATGTCATGTACTGCAGTATCAGGGTTGTGGCTGTAACTTCGATTCCGGTGAGGTTTAGCGATGATAGAATCGTGCCTTGGGTTCGGAATAGGAGGAAGATTGGGACGTTGGTGATTCTGGATTGGGTCATTAGGAAGAGGTGAAGAGCTTCGTGGAAAAGGGCGTTGGATGCTGGATAAGATTGTCAGTCGGGATGTTACGGATATTTGCGGACAGTGGAATATTATCTTACCCCGTGTTGAATGTGATCTCTTCGCAGAAACGATCGCCAAGAGTCCACAACAAGCAAGTCCACCGAAAACTAATCTTGCTTGCAAAACCAAGGACAGGCTACCGAGCCAGCCTCCAGTAAGTTTCGACAAGGGGGTATCCGCGAGAAGCTCGGGTGAATCATTCGCCGCGAAGTTGAGTTTGAACATGAAGCCCAGTACGGGTATGATCAAAGCAATCAGTTTTGCCGGTACAGCAGATGGCATCTTCGCCAGCAAATGATAGCCAGAGTCCACATATGTCAATATCACCAAGACCCATAGAGCGGTTGGATGGGCGGGGAAGAAGTCTCGAGCTATGTCCGGTTCAGCCGTGAACTTTTGCCCTGTTTGATTCCATCTTCGAAGTACTCGGTGTGAAGCAATCAAACCTAGTGTCGCCAGTTTGATCCACCGAAATGGGAACGGAAATAGGGATGGAGAGGAGGCCTTTCTGCGCGAGGAATTCGACTTGCTCGGAGATTCCGATTCAGATCGCATGTGCAGGTAGAACATCCAGCCCGAGCATATCCAATACCAGAACTGTTGCTCTTCTTCAACATAGCTACTCGCAAACATCATACTTCCGTAGCCAACAACCATGAATACCAAGAAAATACCCGTGGAAACGGTCCGAGAGAATTCATGGTAAATTTGAGGCAAAAGCAATGAGGTTGCAACAGCCAGAATTAGCAGTCCGGCAACAAGTCGGGACATGTCATAGTTGCTAGCGGTACTACTCATCACCTCCTGCGTGGCCCGTGAGAACCGTAGTAAGGCTTGCTCGACAGCGGGATACGCTTCTTCGGACTCGGACAATTGTTGGTCGGAAAGAAGCTTTTGGGCTTGTGACCATGTACATTGAACCTCATCAATCCCGGAGAGGTTGTCCGGGTTACAGGTCGAAAAGGCCTCAGCGTCAAAGGTAGCGCTGGGAAATGTAGACTGGGCGATTTTCAGTAATTGCCGGGCATTTCGAGATAGAAGTTGAAGTTTTTGAGACCCTGTGTTTTCCTTCATTAGTTCGAATGCTTTCTACCAGTGGGGTAAAAACTCATTAGCTGAGTTAATTTGATGGAGTGCCTTACCGGACTCCCACATATCCAGAAGACCAGGGATGAAAACTCCTAAGCTATTCAAAGGAATTGGCAATCCTAATAGGCCCGCCAATGTCGTGGTGATATCTGATTGCTGAACAGTCTGATAAAATCGAAGATCGTCTGGGGTTGCGATGGGACTTTCGGCCCGAGGAGCGCCCATTGTTTCAAACTTGGGCGAAATGAAGAGCAGTGCTGGCGATGTTTCACCAGCAGATGAGCCGCCGTGATTCCCAGCTTCGTTCATGCCGTGATCGCCGCACAGAACAAAGAGAGTTGACTCCAGATGAGACTCATGTTGAATGGCGGTATAGATGTTATCCACAATGGCATCCATTTCCTGCTGTTTGGACAGCATGAAGGGGCTATCCAAGAGTTAGAGACGAGACGGCCGGGGGAAAGTCTTGGATAGATCTAGCAAGGGATGGAAATACCTTCTTGGGCCTGCCTTATGTCCGATATGGTCGAGGCCTAGATAATGCATGATCATGGCTGACCAGTCGCTTTGGGCCAACTCATCAGGAACGTGGCGAGTCACGTTATTGTCCACTTCGGTAAAGTCCTATAACACGAATGTTAGTTATGTTTAGATTGAAACCACGACTGTCGGCGAGTATATCTCGGGTAGAATAGCACTGACCGACACAAAGAAACTGGTGGTTCCATCTGCGCGGTCAAACATCCCTGGGAACAGCTTGAGCCACGTATCATCACCGTACATAACAAGGCGATCTCCCCTAGCTCTCAATTGTGCCAGCCAGGTGTCCTGGTACGCAAGAGATGAGCCGGTGTCTGACTCGGCGATGTTGAGAATCACATCAAGGAATGAGGGCACTGAGCCCGTGGTCATGGCCTTCAATCGAGGCATTGTGACTGTTGGCGAGCTAGCATGGGCCGTGAAAGGCAAAGCGGCCCCTGCTCGAATTAAGCTAATAGAGAATCAATAAATGTTCCATAACCTTCTTCTTGATAACTTTATTGTTATCAAATGAAAGGAAATAAAGCAAACCTTTGCGTGAATGAGAATCCAGACTCATTGGAATAGACGAAATCACTAGAAACGGTTTTAGTTGGATGTTGGAAGGATGCCGCTAGATTGGCCCAGTTCTGCTAAATGATCCCGGCTTCTGTTTGATTGCATACCTGCGGAGAGCATCGACGACCATAAAAATGACTTTGTCAAAGATTGCCGGCGTAGCATTTTGGTCGATCTCGTCAAAAGTGGCCAGGCCAGGTAGTAGCGGTTTATAGGGGAAGAAGCCAGATGAGAATACGAGAATACCCAGTGGCACCAGGATATTGGCGAGTACAACAGCCCAGCCAGAGCGGAGAAAAGCCATTGTATAGAACCTCTCTCTGGCCTTGCTGCAGCGCCTGGAATAGTTTTGAAAGAAGCGAGCAGCGCGGGTTTAGCGAATGGCGATCATGATAGATCACCATTGCGGATGTTTACGATGTGCCGGCAAGGAACCACACCGCCTTCTCCATGCATGCGGTTACATATTTGACAACTGAATATTTACTGTAGGAATGTAGTAGCATACGGGGTAATACTGTAATGGGAGGTCGATATGGTCAAGGTGAAATAGTTCACGTCTATCAAATGCGAAAGATAGAGACGTTAAAAAATGGGGAGACAAAAAAAAAATAAGCCCGTACCCTCGGGAGACTCCCAACGCCATGGATTCTTCTTCAACCGCATCAAACCCGTCTCGTCCACTTGCTTTTTATTCTTTTGTATGTCCAATCATCACTTCGAATATTCACTTTCTCTTCGAGCCCTTCTTGTCCTTGCCAGAGGTCTTGGGCTTAAACACCATGGAGTTGCGGGGTTTGCGATTGCGCTGCTTTTGCACGCGGCCGGACTTGTGAGATCGAGTTGAGGAGGAGGGCTTAGTATCGACGTCCATATCTATAGAGCCAGTCAGAATTGTATACATAATATCATTTGGCGTGGGGGAAACGGGGCCAACGTACCTTCGCTAGTCGCAGCTGTCTTGCCATCTTGTTCTGCGCGGGGACAAAGAAGTTTAGCGGGGGTTGGGGGCAAGAGGTAGAAATCAAAACCTCGATACGGAGTAGTAACAAACATACCGGCCGCAGAAGATTCCACTTCCATTGCCTTCTTCTCCGGGCGAGGTTGGTCGGCGAGTTCTTGTAGTTTGGTGGCGAGTCGTTCAGTTCGGGCATCGACGACAGGGCCAAAGAAGGACTTGCGAAGGTTGGCGCGGTTGCGCTTGGAGACGCTGGCGCGCACACTCTTGGCCATGATGTCGGTATATGGGTGAGAGAGGGGAGGGAGGGGAGAGAAGGGTGGAAAAGGGTGGACACGAGGGGAGGTTGTGGCCGTGAAAGTCAAATCGGAGTTCCGCAGTAGTTTTTTTTTATCGCAATTTTTTTTATCGCGATAGCCACTGCTCCGTCTTTAGTCATCCAACCTCACCTCTTGCTCGCATCGCGCCCTCTTCCTAAAAGGCCCTGCGCTCAATGTTCTTTGGGGGCGAAACAAGATCTCGGTGACGAGAGGATTGAGATGTATCTGCGCAGATTCTATATTGCAGACCCGGTCGCATTGCATTCCGCTTGACTGTCTCCCCGTCCCGCAGTATTTCCACCATGGCGTCTTCGCAATCGTCGACGGAGGTGCCACATCTGGTAGCGCTCATTAAGACTCTCACCAACCCTCAATTGAAGGATCTTTTGCGAAATGAAGGTCTCGCAGTATCCGGGGTGAAAGCGTCGTTGCAGATCCGAATTATTGACTGTTTGTCTCCTCTGCTCACCCCTCCCCTCCCCCTCTCAATCTCTCTGCGTCAAACCCTCCGCGTTTCGCGCTCCGCCTTCCTTGTCCATGCCATCCTCCACTCCCCCTCAGTCCCCGGTCATACTTCCCTTCCATTTGGTAGATCCTGACTTTCTTTTCAATCAGATCTCGAACGCCTTGCCACATCAGAGGGTAATGACGCGAGATACGATGCGCTCAAACGCCGTGTTTATCAATCGGCAATACCCGGGGCGATGTCATTTCAGTCGACTACCAACTTCCAATCCTCGCAGCCTACACAGCCAACACCACCCCACTCGCGAGCTGCACCTGCCAGCGCCTCGATGGCCCCGAGTTCCCAGCCTCCCGGTAAGTCCAACCGATCGATCGATCGATACGTCTACTTTACTTGCTCGGTGTCTGACTGGTCGCCAGGCCAAATACTTTTCAAGGATAGCCCTTTCTTCACCATTCTAACAAATCTTACACCGGTGGTGGAATGCAAAGGTATTTTATCTCTTTATCTTTTGTCGTCCTGTTTCTTCCGTTTTCCGTCTACATGAAATATCTAACCCAGTCACCGGCAGTCCGCGAGCAAACACGAGATAGCGTAGAACTGAAAGTCATACTCTCCGCATCTGTCGCGTCAGATCTGCAGGCAGATCCAACTCTCCGAGTAATGATCTACTGTGCAGCCGACTCAGGGCTGAAGTCATATACAAAGTCTGATATCGCATTTCCACACCAAGTGGAGCTAAAGGCGAACCTAGATGAAGTCAAGGCGAACCTTCGGGGGCTGAAGAACCGACCGGGAACGACGCAGCCCGCAGACATCACGAATTACATACGGAAGAAACCGAATTATACAAACAATATTGTTATGACTTACGCATTGACGCAAAAGGTAAATTTCGCTGCGGCTACCTGCAAATTGCTATGATTACTTATACATATTCCAACAGAAATTCTTCGCGCTCATCAACCTTGTTCAGTTACACCCTGTAGATGAGCTTGTCGGTCAACTGCAAACGCGGAAGCTCATCTCTAAGGAACAGGTTATTCGAGAAAGTAAGCATGAGCCATGAGCCATCTCCTCCCGAAAGACGGTCTTTCCTGACAGTGCTCTTCTTCAAGTGAAAAATCGTGCCCAGGATTCAGACATCGTTGCAACGTCCAGCGTCATGTCGTTAAAATGCCCATTATCGACTCTCCGAATTCAAGTTCCCTGTCGTTCGATTGTCTGCACACACAACCAGTGCTTTGATGCATCGTCGTTCTTAGAGTTGCAGAAGCAAGCCCCGACTTGGACATGCCCAGTTTGCTCCAAGTCCACAAGCTTCGAATCCCTCCAGGTTGATCAGTAAGTACCACTGTTGTTTCTGACTTTCGTTGCCGTGGCATGTTCTAATTATCAAATGCTAGATATGTTGATGAGATTCTACAATCAACGTCTACAGATGTGGATCAGGTTGTCGTTGAACCTAGTGGAGACTGGACCAACCCAACCGATTCAGACATCGCCAAACCGGGCGGGGCGACACCAGCATCAGACGACGACGATGACGATGACTTGATCGAAATCAGCCAGCCGGGATTCCTCACACCTGTTGTTAAGCAGGAACCCATATCGTCCTCCACAATCATGTTGGAGCGAACGCCCGCGCAGTCTCAGTCCAGAGAGACATCGACGCCGTCTTCTGCGGTTAGGGCTTCAAGCAAAAAGCGTCCAGCTTCTGCTATCATTGACTTGACAGCAAGCGATGATGAAGATGACGAGTCCCCCATGCCTCCAATTAAACGACCAGCTTTGAATTTCGCCGTGAGAGGACTACCACCTCCAGATCATCCTAGGTCATATCCACCGCAATATTGAATTTGAACGTTGGTCGGATAATTAGTCTACGGCTGGGTGTCCTTTTTTTTCCACCTCATGTCTAGTAGGGATTTATTATTTCTTCCCTTCATCTCATGCATCCTGCTGTGGTGTTTCTGGCGTGGATATGGTTATCTCTGGGTTGCTTGCATTCGGGTTAGCTTCGGCGAACAATGATTGGTTTCTATTTTTCCCCTTCCTTATTTCCCATGTAATTTTATTTTCTGTTCCCCGTGTAGATTTAAATAGGATCATATAAGGCACTATCCCCCATTGGTACTATAGTGGCCGCAGCTGAAGCTAGTTGCCTGAGGCGGGTAGAGCGGGCACTGCACTGCACTTCCCTTCCCTTGTCCGCCGACCCGACCCCGAGCCCCAGCCTACCTTAGCCTTGGCAGAACAACTTCCCCAATCCAAACCAACCCAACACCCCTCTCACCCAGATCACGTCGCCCACCATGTCATTCGATGCCTCCGCCTCATTAACGATCTCCGATCCAAACGCGCGCGCTCTCAGCTCCTCATGTTTCGACTTCCTCCTTATAGAATTGGTCCCCATGGCCGAGCGCCTGGCAAAGCAGTTGTCAACGTCAACAGAAGAGACCGAACCCGAAGATGAAGAGGTTAGGGAATCAACTTACTTTCGTCTGGATACTTTGGGATATCGTGTTGGTCAGGGGTTAGCGGAGAGGTATGTGAAGGTTTTGCTGCGCGCGAACTGGGGGCCCAACTCCCTACTCTACTCTACGCTACTCTATGCTCTCCTCTCGCGGGGCGCCGAGTAAATTGAAAAAAAAAGACACGACCGACTAACAAATTCCCCCTTTGTCTTGCTATTACAGGTTCTCTCGAGATCGCCCTCGTTTCACCGATAACCTCGACGTCATCAAATTCTTGTGCAAGGATTTATGGACCGTTCTGTTCAGAAAGCAGATTGATAATTTGAAAACAAACCACCGAGTGCGTTCACCGCAAAGCTTCCCCCGCCCCGAGCTCCCAGGGCTTTTCCAGAGGGTAGCTCGAGCTTGCATACCCAAATCCAACTCAAAACACGATAGCAAAGCGGGCTAGGCTAATACAGTTCTTTCGGTTGCAGGGTGTATACGTCTTGACAGATAGCGCATTCCGACCCTTTGCGAGGATGAGCATGGCTGCACGAGGTGATGCGGTATCAATGGCGCAAGCGGTACGTTACCACATTAGTCCTCAAGAGAGAGAGACTTTTGCGAAACTCCCGCAATCGAATCCAAACTAACCATCCTGTTGCTAGTATCTCTGGTTTCCCTGCGGAGTAATTCGAGGCGCATTAGCGAACCTTGGAATCAATGCCACTGTGCAAGCAGAGACGTCGGAATTGCCGGGAGCTACGTTCCAGATTAAGACTGTTCAGGCGAGGCCTTGAGGCAATGGGTGATTACAATCGCAACGCCTACGCCCCTCTCCAGGCTGGCCTGGACTGGACTGGACTGGACTGGACGCAATCATATCACATCACATCACATAATGGACATAAGCGCTTGCATTGCAGCACAACGCAAATAAAGCCCGCTCTCCAGCTGGACTGGACTGGACTGGTTTACCTCACGCTTTCCCTCCTTACGAAAAACTGCCCCTTTCCTTGGATTGGATTGGATTGGATCTCAGGGCCTTCTTTTTACATAAGGTATGAAGGACCCTAACTATGATGCCGGGCCGGGTTCAATCGACTACGGAAACTAGAGTACGGGGTTATGTGTATAAATGGGGTGGGAGAATATCTTTAATATCTTTGCTTTGCATGCATAATAGCCGCTTTCTTTGAATACCCATAAAACACTAACCAGGGCGGAGAGCATCGTCTCGCCTCTTGTTATATTTCTCTTTGATCGTTCATAACCTCATGATATCACGCTTAGAGCCTATCTTCGGGAGCCACAATAATTAGCAATGATCTGACACTTGATGGGAATGCGGACTTGGGAGGTGTGGACCAGTCAAGGAAAGGAATACACATCACAAAACAATTCAATCAAAAACACTCGATGCGTAGTGGAGAGGAAGGGGAAGGAGAAGGGGAAGGGAGTATTACTTTGGGGGAGGGTTCTTGACGAACTCAACACCCTTCTCGATGTTGCCCTTAAGACCAGTGACGCAAGCTGCCAGGAGCTTCTTCTCCTGCTCGGTGATGCCATCGAGGATGTTGATGGCCTTCTCGGCACCGTTGGGCTGTATCGTTTTCGTTAGCGTATGGTACTATATTGTATACAAGGTCTCAAGTTCGTCATGGAGGGTCACTTACGCCGAGCTCGACGGGAGTAGAGAAGAAGTCGACACCGGTGGCCTTGGCGATCTCAGCACCACCCTCGACACCGGGCAGGTAGACGAAAGTAGGCTCGACAATGCCCTTCTCGCCCTTGGCGGCCTTGATAATGGCCTCGGTGAAGCTATTCAGATGTCAGTGGTGGGCAAGTCAGCGCTAAAAAAGAAGTAGACATACCGGAAACCAGCAAAGGCCATGGACAGAGTAGCGGAACCAGCACCATCCTTAGCCTTGACAACCTCGTCACCACCGAATTGGACACGGTTGATCAGAGCATCGTAGCGGTCAGCGGGGATCTTGAAGCCAGGAGCGACCTTGCTGAACAGAGGAACAATGGTCTCGCCGGAGTGACCACCGATGACGGGGACGGTGGCCTTGGAGGGGTCCTGCAGACCGGAGAACTCCTGGGTGAAGGTCTCGGCGCGGACAACGTCTAGGGTGGTAACGCCGAACAGGCGCTTGGGGTCGAAGACACCGGCGGCCTTGAGGACCTCGGCGGCAATGGGGACGGTGGAGTTGACGGGGTTGGAGATGACCAGGGTGAAGGCCTTGGGGCTGAACTCGGCGATACCCTTGACGAGATCGCGGACGATACCGGCGTTGATCTTGAAGAGGTCATCACGGGTCATACCGGGCTTGCCTATATAGGGCTGGAGTCAGTAAATGCAGATGCGAGGGAAAATCTAGGTATGGAGAGATCACTCACGGGGAATACCGGCGGGGATGACAACGACGTCAGCACCGGTCAGGGCGTGCTTGAGGCCATCGTCCTTGGGGAGGTAGCCGGTGATTTTCTATGAATGCGTTAATATAGTTGTCCAGGTGTCCAGGTGTCATGCTCCGGGATAATAACATACGGCAACGGAGGAGATGTGAGAGAGATCGGCAGTGACACCGGGGGTGTTCACAACATCGTACAGAGCAAGCTCATCGACAAGAGGGCACGCCTTCAGCAGGAGAGAGAGAGAGGCTTCAAGATTATTAGCTTTGATCACAAGGAATTGGACAGTGGAGGATGGATGGAGAGCTAACCTGGCCAATGCCGCCAGAGGCTCCGAGAACAACTAGAGAGCATATGTTAGAGAGGGGCGGGGTTCAATTCAATTCAAGATGAAGATAGAACTTACCAGCCTTGACCATGATGATGGTTTATTAGATGAGATGAAGGTGGAGTAGAGGGGGGGGGATAGATGGATGGGGATAGGAGAAAGATGTTGGGGGGGGAAAGTGAGCAAATATAAAGGCACGAGGGGAAGGTGGGAGAGAGGGGCATATGAGGGGCAACCCCGGAGTTACCCAGACCAGCTGCAAGCAGTTGGGACCAACTGGTGACTTGCGATTTGTTTCGGCAGCCGCTTGTTCCAAAGTGGATCGTCGTCCTTGCCAGAAGCTACACCGAAGCGCCTTATGCGTCTGTTTGCACGGCCGTTCTAGTTTAGTTCTTCCGTTGCTTTTCCAGTGTACATTGTGTATATCCTAGTACATCTGTACTCCATATACCCAATTGAGGTACGGAGTACAGAACATACATACCCAAAATACCAATTGCCGAACTCACTGGAAAACATTCCCCGTGTCACAAGTCCATATCCCAGGGAAATTGCCGCCGTTCCGGCCGTTCTCGTGCTACCCTTGTGATTCCCCGATAACTTGGGCTCCGTCACCCGGGAAAAGGCGGGACCTCAAGAGTTCCCACGGTAAACCAGATGTCATCATCGAACGTACCTTGTGTTAATTAGGTGCCTATAGGTCATTCCATACCTATCGATTGCTTACACTACTGTACTTGGTCACAGTAGACCCGCTCTACCGTGCCCCGAGGCTCTTTACCGTGAGCTCGGCCCGATTGTCGGCTGGTACATATTGGTATCCAGATCCATGAGTGTAGGATGATTACTTTGCCGGGTCCCGGTTTGTGCTGTTCAATGTAGAGGGTTCTTTTGGATTGAAAATACTCCTCTCCCTTTCTCCTCTCTTTCTGATTCTTTTAAAAGATCGGAGCAAAAGGTTCGTTCGTGATCCCTCCCTTCCAGCCTCCGGGAGAGTGTCACTGTCGCTAGATTACACGGAGGCCTGTGTCCTCATCCAGCCCGTGGTTTCATAGAAGAATGTAGGATCCCCCATCATAATCAAATCCACCACGATTCATTTTTCCCTTCCCTTCCCAATTCTCTCATTCGTCACTGTTATGTTCTGGATGAGTCGAATTTACTCGGCCTTCTCGGCAACCTCGGCCTTGGAGCCACGGGGCTTGCGGGCGGGGGTCTCCTTCTTGGCCTTCTGGGAGCGGCGGACAGCAGAGACACGGGCAACAGCCTCCTCGCGGAGATCAGCGCGGTAACCGTGCTGGGCGGTCTTGTCGGCAACACCCTTGTAGATCCTGAGTAGAGAAAAATTCGAGGTCAGCTTTGCTTTCCTTCCGCGCGTGGTGTGGCGTGGCATAGCATCGCTTGCGATAGGCTATTCCATATGCCAATTGGGGTGGTTTGTTCGATTTAGCCTTACTTGCGGGTGCCGGCGTTGGGGCCGTAGGTGACGGTGACCTGGTTCTGAGCGGGCTTGTTGGGGTTGGAAGCCTTCTTGGTGGTCACAGCAACGCCGCCATTCTCGGTGGCCTGGACACCAATGGCCTAGGTTTGGGAATTCAAGTTAGAACATTGTATTGGGGTGGGTTGTGTTGCGAGTATCGATATGATATGTACCTTGGTGTTGGCGAAGCCGGAGTACTAAAGTTTCCAATCCAATCGTTAGCCCCATGTTCAAAAATGATATATCATCATCCAAGCCCAAATTGCTTGCTTTCCTTTCCTTCCCTTTCCTTTCTGCGGGGAATTCATCGGAGATCCCATACCTTGAAAGAGTGCTTGTTGACCAGGTTCAGGGGGTCGCGGGAGAACTGGGAACCACCACCGGTGTTACGGCGAACCAGATAAGAGTTCTGGTTACCTGTAGTAATTCAAAAATCACCATGTCAGTCGAATGTCATCCTTTCTTAACTGCCTCCTCCACAAGGCGAAATTCAAACTAATGGGAAATCGGGAGCGTACGGGTGATCTGCCAGACCAGGTCGTTGGAGACGTTTGTGCGTTCGGCGGCCATTATGACGGTATGCTGGAATCGAATGGATTAAAGAGGGAATCGAAGATCGGACTATGGCGAGCTCGTAGGGTCTCGAAGTGTGCGATGCGCGCTGAGCTCTCGCTAAGCGGGCCGCTTTAGGAATAGAGTGTTGGCCTGACCCGTCAGGCTTCAATATCCGTCATTTATGTACATTATGTAATGTACAAATGTGGCTAGTGTGGCCCAGAGTATAGTGGCTAGTGACTGCGACTTATCGCATAGGCAAGTTATCGCGCGTCTTTTGACGTCTTCTAGGCAGCTAAGCTCTCTTCGATATCACCCCTCTCCCTGGGCGCAAACTCCGGCCCTGGCATACACGCATCAGAATAATCTCGTTCAAAATGACTTACTTTCTTTTCTACACTCTGGTGTTCTTCGTCATCTTATCAGGAACAGGTAAGTGGGAGATTATCCGCCCTTCCCCGGATTTCCCGGAACCAGACCGGTCCTGATCTGATCATTTGAATTATCCTAACCAAATATTGCAGCACTGTATCTCACTCGATCGCGATGGCTACCCTTATTACCGATCCCAGATCACATCTACCACCGCCTCCCGTCGAGTTTCACATCTGACCTGGAAAACGGCCTGAGCTCATCGCAGTTCGATATTGCGGCCAATATCGCTGATGGGGATACCCGCGCTGGCCTGGACGCAAGAGCGAAGGCGGAAATTAGAAAGATCATGAAGAACAGGAGGGTTAACTTCGATGAGGCGCGGCGCATTTATACCGAACAGCGATTTGCGAAGAATAATATTGGGCCGGATGGGCGGCCGAGAGATCCGAAGTTTGTCTCGTTTTCTTGATTGAGATAAAGCTCTTAACTGCTTACGCTGCATCTTTTCTTTTTCCTTTCTTTTTTTCTTTTCTTTATCGAGCGAAGCTAAGCTCTTTTTCTTGTCATTGACTTGCTACTCTCATTATTATTATCGACATTGATATCATTTCCTTTCGCTTCCCTAGATATGCACTGGGTTTCTGATCGTCTAGTCTTGTCCTCCAGTCTTGGGTGTTTGCCTGTCAGCATGCTATATAGTTCCAAGTCATGCGTGCTTAGAGATATTACCTCTTGATCCCTGCAGTCGGATACAGCTACTCCTACGTGCACCATATTATCGTAATTCTTTTGGTTCATTAAAAGTAACTTTACTTGAGACTTTTTCAACTAAAGTCGTGGCTTAATCCCTCGTCCTGGACTTGTATCAAAGCCTTAATAGTGAGCCCGGGCAGCATTTTGCAAGGCCATCATATCTTGTCAATCAGAAACCCAGCGATAGACATAAGTCAAAGTCCCAATGTCTCTGCCGGGTTGCGATCCCTATTCTGAAGGCAGGGGTGCGAATGTCATTGAAATGGGATCAGATTGGGTGCCATTCTTATAGGGTCTTGACGCAGGTCCGGAAGGGAAGACCCATCACAAAATCAGTTCCAATGAGGGTATCGAGAGTGACGAAAGGGCTAAAAGTCGGAAAATTCCAAGATAACTCATACTCATCGGCCATTTCCATATCCAGCCTGCTGGAAGCCAGGCGGTAACGGAGGAGGCGCACCGGTGGCACCTGTTGGCGGAACGAACCCTGGAGGCGCAAATCCTGGCGGTGGTTGCTGCGGCGCGGCATTATACCCCGGAGCCCCGTATGCCTGGGGACCACCGTATCCCACTTGAGAAGGCGGCGGTCGAGCCGGTAAACCCGGTGGCGGAGCAGCAAGAGAAGGGGGAGCAGCACCAGGCGGCGCGGCTCGCATTTGCGGAGGAGGAGGAACATTTTGGTATCCCATCGGAGGCATACCTCTCCCCACTCCCAAATCAGGAGTCGGTGGGGGGCCAGTGCTGACGGGCCGTGAGCTGTCACCATTTGGAATTCCTGGAGGTGCTCCGGCGGGGGAACGACGATCTGCTGGGTCGGTTGCTGGATGTTGTGCTTCCGAGCTTGTGTCGCTAACATTCGCTCGGCTTCGTCACCGTGGCGCTCGCCCTTGCCGTCCTTCTTGTAGGCATATTGAACGGTTACTTGTTTGTTCATCAGAATCTGGCCGTTCATGTTGGCGATGGCAGAATCGGAGGATTCGAAGTCGGCAAAGGAAACGAATCCGTAGCCCTTGGAGAGGCTGTTGTCGTCGCGAGCAACCTAGAAGAAAGAAAGAAAGTGATTAGTTCGATTCGGACGGAGTACCATGTTCGCACGAAGAGAGGAGAGTGATTCTTACCTTGGGTAGGTTGACCAAATTGCCGAAACGGCTGAAGGTGTCATAGAGCATTTGCTCCGAGACCATTGGGTCTAAGTTTCCAACGAAGAGTTCTGCCCCGATTTCCACGGACTTCTGTTTGTCTGCCGATGCCTTGTTCACACGGATTGGTTTGCCAAACAAGCGAATTCCATTCATAACTCTCGAGGCATACTCCGCATCTTCCTCGCTAATAAATTCGACGAACCCATATCCTTGATGCGACTGCGTCACGCGGTCTTTTGGTAGGTGGACATTCACGATGCGCCCAGCTTGGAGCATGAGCTCCCATACTAGGCTGTCTGAAGCTCGTTCGTCCAAATTACCAATATATACCGTCGCCTCCTTGTCTTGTTCCCTGTCAATGTGTTAGTTCTGCTTTTCCTTGGCTGGTCTGCGATCAGAAAGGGGGGGGGGGTATTGGTTTCGTACCAATGCCTTGCGCCGGACATCACGTCGGGAGGTCAATCGAAAAACTGTGATAGCCTATGAGATGAAATCGGTCTGGCCTCTAATTGTCAAGATTTGTAATTATCGACTTGTCCTTGTGGGGTGGGAAGAACGCGTCAGGTTGGGAGAGGGTAAGGATGGGTAGAAGCTGGGAGCTTGGATGATCATGGGGTTTTCCGACTGCCGAAAACTTTTGATTTGAGCCACCTTCCGCTCCCGCGACGTCCTCTTCTCCATCTACCCAACTCGACTTCCTACCAACGGATTCCATTCGCTCACACCATTTACTCCTTTCTCTACACTCACACATTCTTCAAAATGGTTCAGTTTTCCGAAGAGACCAAGGTTAGCCATCTCCATCGATTCTGCAAACACCTGTACATGAAGACTAACCGTGACTTCTTTTCGCCATTAGGAACGTGTTTCCAAGGTTATTGATATCTCCCGCGTCGCCATTCACTAGTGAGACCTATACCGATACCGATAGCATATTCTGCTTGTTCCACGACCAGGCTAACATACTGCGACCTGCCAGCGGCTACCTGCCTCTCATTGTCTACCTTGGTATGTTTCGTCGATGCCCCAAGAACCACTCTCCGTCTCTCCTATACGTTCAAAGTGACTAATGTGATTGAAATCAACAGGCTACTCATACAGCGAGCCCAAGCCCTCCCTGTTCAAGTATGTTTGATCCGATCCGATCCTACGCGAGCCAGCCCCGGACCCTCCCCGAACCCTCTCCCTCAATTCGCCCAAGTCACATTTTGAGATCTAACATTATGATTAGGCTTTTCTCCCCCTGGCTTAAATCCGACAGACGCACATTCAGGATGATGGACTAGATATGTGAGAGATGCCAGTGTGTCTTGGGAAAATGGGTCCCCCAGCCTTGACTGGCCAGAGATCCTTCTCCGAGAGATAGGATCTTGCTGGAAACCACAATATCTGAGCACTGTGAGGTCGGGTTATGCTATGAAATATAACCCACCATTTGTATTTTTAAATCAATCGATTATAATCATCTACCTGTCGCTTTTATGTTCCGTTTGCAATTGGCCGCGCGATCACTCTACCATTCCGTATGCCACAATTTACCTTGACACTCCCTCCAGTCTTCCCGTATATGTATCGTGCGCAATTACTTTCTCTTCCACTGCTCCCTGTATCCTCCAGAAGATAGCGCAATATCCGTACGAATGCTCGATTGCTCGACAGTTTGAACGCGCTTACCTTGGGCCGTGACTCCGTCATCTTCCGCGGACCGCCTGGCAAAACGAACCCACTTGCACAACCACCCTCATACACCACCACACCTGCTCTTTCTAACTTCCGACGCGCTTCGGTTGGGGGACTTTCATGACTGGTCAGAATGGCCTCTCTTCATCTGTTGTGGAGACCGTAGCAGGATTCACAGCAGGTATAGCTTCGACAATTTCCCTCCATCCACTAGACTTGGTCAAGATCAGACTCCAAGGTATGTCTGCAAATTACCCCCTCCCCGAAGGTCCATTTCATGCGGTCAGCCCTGGTCTAACATTCTTGGCGTGTATAGTTGATCGATCTCATTCCTCACGTCTCGGCAGCTCGTTACGTATTATCCGTCAAATCGCGCGTCATGAGGGTGGCCTCGCGGCGTTTTACAGAGGATTGGGTCCGAATCTGGTCGGAAACTCGACTGGTTGGGGCCTATATTTCCTGTGCTACGGCAGCTTGAAGGATATTGTTGGTAGATACCGAGCACGAGATGGAGATGGGGGGTCAGGCCCACTGACATCTTCGGACTACTTTCTGACATCGGGAACTGCAGGTATGTTATGCTTCCGAAGCTTGAGCCCGCCCGAAGAAGAGTCGTATGGTTACGATTCTAATATAGAAACACAGGGATTATCACTTCGGTCCTCACAAACCCAATATGGGTAATCAAAACCCGAATGTTATCCACCGGCTCCCAGGCCCCGGGCGCATATACTTCACTCTCATCCGGGGTAAAGCAGATCTATGCAACCGAGGGCATAAAGGGGTTTTATCGCGGTCTCGTACCGGCTCTTTTCGGTGTTAGTCACGGTGCTCTTCAATTTATGGCATATGAACGACTTAAAATTCTTCGATCGAATTCAATGCGCCTGGATGATCCCGTGGAAAAGGGGATGAGTGACAGTGACGAGGCGAAGCCGGGCCTTGCGCGACTTGGAAATATTGATTTCTTCGTGCTCTCTGGTTTGTCCAAGGTCTTTGCTGGTTGTGTCACGTATCCGTATCAAGTTGTCAGATCCCGGTTACAAACATATGAGGCTCATTTATTGTACCGTGGGACGACGGATGCTATGAAGCAGATTTGGGCGAAGGAGGGATTCGCGGGCTTCTATAAGGGGCTCGGTCCGAATTTGTTTCGTGTGTTGCCGAGTACATGGGTTACTTTCTTAGTTTATGAAAATATGAAAATATTCTTAAGTTGAGGTAGATTCTCAATCGATCTATCTATCAAGAAGAAACCCCCTTCCACCAAACAATGATTTCAGCACCCATTTCAAAAGATATTCATTTATTTGTCGTATATTTAGTTGCTCGGAATCACCATGCCGCTTCAAAGTTTCCAAGACAATGGAATCCTCATGCTCAATTGCCACGTCAATCATCTTTTGAGTGACCTTAATTTTCTCTGTTCGACTCAGTATAAGCTCGAATGATTCGATGATTCGCCGTGCCCTGATTCCAGGGAGTCCAGGACTATTTTCTGTTGCAAGAAATTCTCCAAAAGAAAAAGCAAGGTGCGTCCTCTGACTTGACGGCGGTGTCCATGATCTATTGGTATAAACCTTTATCCTCAAGGCGATCTAAATCTGGCCTAGAATCCTGAATGGCCTTGTAAATGACTACTAAAGACATCTTTGATGTTCGGTTTTGTCGTTCATTCCTAAAATGTTACGACAGTCAGCATGGCGCAAAGTTCTGAGTCCATATAAACCGTGCCACTTATCTATGTTCTCTAGTTGCAGGGCCTGTCAATGAACACAGGTCCATTTTTCAATCCGTTGAGATATATTGCGAACGAGATATCCAAGTACAGGCGAGTCCAGTACGTCTTGCTAATCCCAACGAGGAGTTCTAGGACCGGCTTGTATCTTCCACCAAACTAAACTATTTTACCCCACTTTGCTTTACACCAACCACTTCAGCTCTCATTGCACTCAGATCAACGATATTCACCATGGACGCCCTCCCTATTACTGACCTTTCGACAAAGCAGGACCCCGCAACGGTTGCAACGTTGCGACATGCACTACGTAAATACGGCGCCTTTCGTTTATGGGCCCCCGAACTGAAGCAGGCAGTTGCTGGAGGCCTATTGCGCGAGGTCGGTTTCAATTCCCCGATGCCGACCTTTACTTTTGGTTCAGTTCATATTAACATTTCCTAGGCCCGAGACTTTTTTCAGCTCCCAAATGAAATAAAACAACGAACAAAAGGGTATTCAGGCTTTGGCACGGAACTCATTCGTGGAACTACGCCAATACCAAAAGAAGGCATCAACTTCTTTCGGAAGAATGACCAACGAGATGGTTGCATTCCTCCCCCAGCCGAGCTTTTTCGCTCTGTCATAGCAATACATGATGTAGGAACTTCCGTTCACCTCCCCAAAATATCAAATGCTCGTACTCATTTTGTGAACATCAGAACTGGAAGCGCTCTCAAGACCAGTTGTTTAACTTAGTCTTTTGTGACGTTCTCGAGTCGGATATACCCTTGACGGGGACTCCGACACTTGACTATGAGTCGGTAGGCATACAATATTATAGCCCTCAACGGATGATCACCCGGGGCGGCGATTATGCTCCTCCGCACATGGACGGTGGCACGCTTACGATATTGATTCGGGAGGATGACGATAGTGATGGGTTAGAAGTTGCGGACCTTGAATCCACAGAGGAGCTTGGTAGCGACGGTGTAGGTCGCGAAGCTGATTTTTTGCGTGTTCCTGCGGCTCCAAATGAAGTGGTTGTATTGGCAGGAACTCGATTGCAGCGTATACTGGGGAGAACCAAGGCTCGCGCCTGCGTGCACCGAGTTGTTGGCCCAGGCCAGAAACCTAGCACGAAAGATCGGGTTAGCGTTGGAATATTTCGTGCCAGTGCTCCTCCTCCTCCTCCTCCTCTCCCTGCTTAGAGATGCCGCCGTGAGAGTTAATATCAATTATTGCGAAGTGCCTATCAGGTACGAGCCATGTTGCAATGGTTTCTATGTACAAAGGAAGTCCTTAGTAAAGTCAGCTGAGTGTAGATATCGCGTGAGTATACCCTTTAACTAGTAGTTACTAGATAACTTTAAGTTAAAGTTACCTTCTAGACAGTTACCTATAATCTAATTACCTCAGAACATCAATTACAATTGATATCCTCCAGTCTTTACCTATACCGAAGGGTACATTTGTGGTACATTTGCTATGTTTGCTCTCTTTGCACTCGTGGCTTGGCAGCTGGCAACTTCCCTTCTTACCTTCTTCTCTCGCCATTTGCCTTTTCACCTTACCTCACCCTCCATCGCCCACCGGTCGCCCCACTCGCAACCCTTCTCCGTGACGTCCGTCAAAATGCGTGGTTCTCGGCTTCTCGGTTTTAGTCGATTCCGCCGAGCCAGGCTACTAGGGGAAGAGCACACTTATCGCCGTCCAATCTCCGGTGCATCACTTCGTCATGGCTTGCTGCCTGCCACCGAAAGACCTACTTAAATCCGCAGTTTCTTTTTTCGATTTCAGACGGTGCAATTAATTATCCACTCTCTTGAATAATCCGACAAGATGCCGGGTTTTCTCTACTCCCAATTCTTCGTCCGCCCGTCCTACCCTGAGCAGTCCTTCGCTGATCAGACGGTGCTCGTTACCGGCGCCAACGTCGGCCTCGGACTTGAAGCGGCCCGCCATGTCGTTCGGCTAGGAGCCGCCCGCGTTATTCTGGCAGTGCGCAATGTACCTGCCGGCGAAGAGGCCAAGAAGGATATCGAGATATCGACCGGTCGGTCCGGTATCTGTGAGGTGTGGGAAGTTGACCTGGCCTCCTACAAGTCGGTTGTATCCTTTGGCGATCGTATCACCAAACTAGCCCGACTCGATGCGGCCATTTTAAACGCGGCAGTTGCAACTTCCAAGTTTGAGGTAGCCGAGGGTTTTGAGCGTACTATTACCGTGAACGTTATCAATAATTTGTTACTCTCGCTCTTTGTCCTTCCAGTGCTAAAGGCTACCGGCAAGAAGATTCCTGAGAGCCAGCCACGCCTCGCATTCGTGGTCAGCGAAGTCCATGCCTGGGCCAGTCTCCCTGAGTGGAAGTCTGATCACATCCTCCAGACCCTCTCCGATCAGTCAACAGCAAAGATGGACGAGCGCTATCCGCTATCGAAACTCCTTGAAGTACTATTAGTCCAAGAACTCGCTGGGCGAGTACGTGGATCAGAGGTGATTATCAACATGATCAACCCTGGCCTCTGCCATTCGGCCCTAGGACGCGAGCTTGGGTGGTCATTCTACCTATTCAAGCTGGTTGTCGCCCGCTCCACCGAGGTGGGATCGCGTACTCTAGTCGCAGGAATCACCAGCGGGCTCGAAAGCCACGGCGCGTATATGAGCGACGGACATGTTGAAAATACGGCACTTTCTCCATTTGTGCGTAGCGAAGAAGGTCGACAGGCCCGCATCAAGCTGTGGGACGAAGTCTCCACTATCTTGGAGGGTGTGCGGCCAGGAATTATGCAGAACGTATAGACGACTACGGATATCTATCCATCAACCGTCAACCATCAATGTATCATGACTAAGTAATAACAATACCACTCTATTATATACTCGCTTGAACAGACAATATTGCCAATGCAAGCCTATTGGACTCAGTATCTAGCTCCTAGCCTACCACCTCATATTATGCCAAAATCATCTGTCAAGGGAATTGACTCGCAATTTTCTAAACACCAAAGTTACTGCTTTGCATGCCGTAGACTCTATTTTGCAGCCTGGCATGGCCATGGAGGGTTTCAATATAAGAACTAGAACCATATGGTTCTTTTGTGGTACTTACTCTAGATAATTCGCGGAGAGGAATCTCGAAAATTAGCATGAGCATCCAGTCCCTTCACATCTACAAGGTAACCCACCCCACATTTCATTATTACCATCTCTCGACCCCACTGAGCCTTGTACCGGCTCGGGCTGCAAATGGCGGGGACCGTCCACAAAATCCTCGACGCCTCCTGGAGATATCCTGCTGGAATTAACTTTCTTTTCCCCCGAAGGCGCAGAAGTAAGAGTCAGTTCCGTGGTCCTCTATGGATTCCACTGCAATCTTGTTTACTTCGGAGGAACCTCGAAGCGACGGTCCTTGCCTTGCAAGCAAGTATTCTAGAACTGCTTGGCAGGGGGTCCTTGCTAAGACACTTGGTGACGGCGTGTGGACGAAAATTGCCGTGTCGGCATGCATGACCCCAATTTCTCCAATCCGCCCCAGCATTGGTGAGATCATGCCGTTCCCTTGGCGTCGGGGGCTCGGAATATTCTCGGCAAAACTTTGTGTCGGGCGTTTGTATCACGCTGCTTTTCTTGTATTTTGCTGCCGTTAATTCTTCCTGGAATGCTCAATATTCAAAAGAGTCTAATTTGCCTAACAGTTGAATATCATCCACGGATCGAAGGTATACTTACACTTCAAAGGGGATATCCATATTGGTCAGATGCAGAAGCTTTTGGCTTTTTAGTGTTTTAGAACCTTGTTCTGCCTCCTGATCATGTTGTCGCCCCCATGGTGCCGAAGAAATTGAAAAACTTGGCCTGGGGGCTTTTTTCTTGGCTTACTATGTGGTTAAATCGATATTAGCCCCTAACGGATCAGCCCAGATTCTGTTTCGGTATCTCGGTCAGGCATTCTCGGCTTCGATTTCCTGGGGTTTGAGTTCCGATCGGGCAGATTTCGGAGAATATATAGTCGGGGCCCCAGTCAACCCCGGTCCTGCTGAGCCGTCCGACTCAGTAATTGGGTGTGTTTGCCCGTAACTTTGCCCGTGCCTGTTCCTTCCGAGCGGGGGGCGAGGAAGGTTTTTGTCGGTATCAGTCGGCTCAGAGTACTCCGTATTGAGGCGTCTCTCCTCTATTACTCCATCTAGTTTGGCATGTTGGGTCTTGAGGTTCCGGCCATACCAACAAGGACAGGTATTCTGTTTTTTGACAACCCTACTTTTAGCTGTTCAACAACCTCGAACCTCGAGCCTTCCACTATTGCTGTGATTAAAATAGCCCTAACTCTTCCTCGACGGTCTGGGTAGGATTTATAGTCGTTGGACGCATTGCTTCCATCATGTAGATGCTGGGGCAGCCACTAGTGCTTGGCAATGTTGGACCTGATACGCAGCATTCCCTGTGCTTCTCCACAAAGCCCCATAATAATACAAGCCTGATACATATGCAACAAACCTTTCCAGAGAAGAAAAAAAAAGTCTTCATTGGCGGAGACTCTGGGGACCTGTGGGGTCTGGGGCACGGAAGCCGGGGATTGGGGAGAGGTGCCTCGTAGTAAACTCTCCCATAGACAAACTTTTCGGCGAAACAGGGATTATATAGAGGGCAACGGGGTCGCCTCACCTACCTTTCTTTTCTCTCTTCCATTCTGACCCCCCACACTATTATTTTGTCATATTGACTCGACCGACTCTCGAAATGAGCGAAAAGTTCGAGGAAAAACCTGATGCCATTGGCAAAGAGTTCAGCGATGAACTCACGCCCGAGGAGCGTGAGCATGAGATCGAGACACGCGACCTACAAAGCCACCAGTATCTCGCCAACGAATCACTGTATGACCGGATGGCCTTCGCGCAGATACCAGTGCACATGAAGAGCCCTCGCACGCTAGTTATCACACTGGGCGTGTTCGCGGCGTTTAGCGGCATGCTGAGTGGGTTAGACCAGTCGGTGATTTCGGGCGCGTTGCCTGGTATCCGCAAGCATTTCATCGCGTCAGGCGAGTGGGCGAGCATGGACGACCCGAAACTGGCCACCGACATTTCGCTGATTTCTTCACTGATGCCGCTAGGCGCAATGGCCGGGGCGATCATCATGACGCCGCTGAACTACTACTTTGGACGCCGCAACTCGATCATCATCTCGTGTCTGTGGTACACACTGGGCGGTGGACTTTGTGCAGGCTCCCGCAGTGTGGCCATGCTGTTTGCAGGCCGATTCATTCTCGGCATCGGTATCGGAATCGAAGGTGGATGTGTCGGTATCTACATCTCGGAATGTGTGCCGCCAGAGGTGCGTGGCAACCTGGTGTCGGTGTACCAGCTGATGATCGCATTCGGAGAAATCATCGGATACGCCGCCGGTGGTGTATTCTTTGGCGTACCGTCAGGAAGCTGGCGCTGGATGCTGGGCTCGTCTCTCTTGTTTTCGACGATACTCCTGGTTGGAATGGGCTTCCTGCCAGAATCACCGCGGTGGTTGGTATCCAAGGGCAAGTATGGGCGCGCGTGGCAGGTGTGGAAGTCGCTGCGCAACATGGCGGACCCGAAAAGCCTGGACGAGTACGTTGCGATGGAACTCACAGTCAAACATGATGTCGAGTTTGCCGCGAACGAGAAATGGCACAAGAGGTACCTGGAAGTGGTCAGGCAGCCGCGCAACCGACGGGCGCTTGTCTATGCCACTGCCATGATCTTTTTCGGGCAGATGACGGGCATCAATGCGGTGATGTACAACATGTCAAACTTGATGGCCAAGATGAACTTTGATGACCGCGAGTCAGTGCTGATGTCGATGGTGGGCGGTGGCGCATTGTTCTTGGGAACAATTCCTGCCGTGTTCACGATGGACAGGTTTGGACGACGCGTGTGGGCACAAAACATTGTGATGTTCATCGTGGGTCTGGCGCTAGTGGGCGTCGGCTACCTATACACGGACAGTGGTCTCGATTATTTCAATGAGCACAAGGCAACTGCCTTGGGCTTGTTTTTCTCCGGTCTGGTGATATACATGGGGTTCTTCGGGGCGTATTCGTGCCTGACCTGGGTAGTCCCAGCGGAGAGCTTTGATTTCAACACCCGCAGCCAGGGCATGGCAATCTGCTCTGTATTCCTTTATCTGTGGTCATTCATCGTGACATACAACTTCGAAGGGATGCAGAAGGCTATGACCTACACCGGCTTGACAATCGGTTTCTTCGGCGGCTTGGCCGCAATAGGCTTCTTTTACCAGCTGTTCTTCATGCCCGAGACCAAAGACAAAACATTGGAGGAGATCGACGAGCTGTTTCTGATGCCGACAAGTAAGCTGGTTGCGCTGAACACAAGTAATCTGGTCAAGCGCTTCCGCCCGCGACACAGGCCGGAGCAGGTCGACGGCCACGACGCCTAAGACTTGTCCTTTTCACCTACCAGAATAACGTTCATGGAACCGACACAGAGTGACAAGGCTACTCAATTTGAATGTAACGAAAGCATGAGAACCAATCCACCGCCTATTGGCGAAAACATTTTGATTTGATAGAAAACCAAACTCTCTCAGTAGATCCATCGCTGCCATTCCGTAGCACATGTTGTCCTGCCAAAGAGGAAGCAATAGCGTAGAGCGAGAATCTGTATATCTGATAAAGAAATTGTCCATCCATGCGAAGCATATTATTTGATCGAGACTCGATTTTTGATTCTCACATTTTACAATCCTGACATAAGAAACATCAAATTCTTCAGTATATGTGGCCATATATTGGGCTTTCACTAGTTATAGAGTTTGCCCCATGGATAGGGAACTACACCCCCCTATATCTATACCCGTCCCATAGCGGGTATAGGCTAAAAAGGTGTATCTATCACGGGTATAACCCTGGGTAGTGGCCATGTCTAACAGTATTATTTATAACCAAATAATAGTTTAAAACAAACAAATCCTAAGTAGCCCATATACACAACAATCAGAAAGGGCACTATACCGGCCATATTCCATACCAGCAAAGAGACAGCAAATCATCTAATAACTAGCCCTTCAATAGAACACCGATTATAATAATTCAAGGTTATTTTGTGGTATAGTGTGTGCCCCAAAACAGTTCAGTCTTTAGGTTAATTCTAGCTCTGCCGCCAAGAGACCCTAGACTGTATAGGTAAAAACTCAGAATATCAATCTTCCCATAGCAGTCTCAATACCACGGTTTACTTTTGTTAAAAGACAGTACCTTATATCATAACTGTATTAGACTAAATGAATCAACCACTAGAGCTGGAGAGTGCCACAGGGGCCTGGTGACCTATATCACCTTCTGTCACTCCCATATCTAAGTAACAGTTGGGGAGGAAGGGTTGACACCCCTGGAAATAGTAACTCACATTACCTGGCTACTGTACTGGCAGACCACTCATTAGCCTGCTTTATCATACTAACTTTTCAGCCACGGCTCTCTCTATTTAACACTATAACATACGTAGTAGAAGCTAATACACAAACATGTTAATAAAAGCACATACTAGTCGTATCTTCCCTCGGGGGTACCTTATAGTCCTCTCTGTGGTGACGATACTCAATTCCCAAGTGAGTCCAGAATGAGCACATATTTCACAAACCCGAAGTCCACAGCTTATAAACTATTGTAAGACGGGAATGCTCTCTGGCAGTCTGCGTTGGCAGACGGGTTGATCACAAGAGGACAAAACCACCACACTCGCAGAGTGCAGGAGAGTAGTAGACAAAGCATGTCACGGGATTCGAAGTATACGATACCCCGGACTCTC